ATTTCAGGTGCTTGAAAACTGAGTCCTTAATGTCAGAGCCAACTCGGCTTAATCCATGTTAATTAAATTTTATCGAACGTCTTTATAATTCTGAATGTTTAATTTGGTGGTGCTGTCGGAATCATTAGCTTAATGCCAAAGGACCTCCCTGCTTCCATTGCGTCTAGTCAAACTCTCAATTTTGGTTCCGAGAATGAAAGAATTAAGAGCAACGGCCAGGTCATATTATTATTATATTGCTGTCGCGATTGGGTAACCGTTCAAAAAATTTCGAATTAAAAGTGTCGTCCAGATTCCACTAGTTTTGTTCACTCAAATATTCTCGTGGTTCATCATCACCGTGGTCTATGAATTGATTTGCGGTCCGACCTCCATCGACGACACACCGTCTGACTCTAAAACATCTTGGCTCGGGGCGGGCACGGGTCGGTCCACCCAATGGACCAACACTGTGAGCTGATAGCGTTAGGTCTGCTAGCTGGGGAGTAGCAAGAACAGAACAAAAAAGTGCAAATAAGGTGGGACCTACCACCATGTGCATATAATGTGATTAGTAGGCCGCCTCTCGTTAGCATTTTATTTTTTTCTTAGGAGCATGAAGTTACGGCAAGAGCGAAGTGTTTCCACTTTCCACACTACAACGTTCGATTGTTTAGCCTGGCAATGATATTATTTAATTAATTTAATTTAATTAATAAATTAAGTATAAACTTCTAGAAACTACCCATCGCTCAGCCACTTCAGAAAATCCCGTTGCTTTTCTTACTTTCACTGCTACTCGAAGTGTAAACCAGGTGCGCTTTATTTTTGGACCGCTCCGAGCCCGCTCGGTTAGAGTGCCTTCTTTCCTTTTTTTTTTATTTTTTTATTTTTGGCCAAAAGTGCCTTCTTCCCTTCATCATCTTGGTAAAGAGACGACTTTCCATTATAAAATAAGAGGGAGAGAAGAGAACTTTCCTTCTTTTTTCTACTGTGGGGCGCGGATTTGCGATGGAATCGCCCATCGGGCACGTCATTCCCTCAGAGAGAACACGTTGTCGTTTCATTTGGCAAAAATGCCCAACTGCCACGTGCCTAGAACCTAGAGTGTGAGTTGGGTTCTATGAATTGGCTGGAAATATGAAGTAATTTGGATTGAAAAAAAAATGACCCATATAAAAATAAGTTTTTATTTTTAACCCAACCTAGATAACACGTGAACCATATAAAATAACCTTAATGGATTAAGGTTGATTATTTAACTTATATTCTATTTTTTTAAAAAAAAGTGAGGAATACAAAAAATTCATGACCTTTGACAAATTGATAGGCATATCTTGATTGACTCAGTTCATATATTATATACAAATATTATAGATTAACACGTAGGTGTATTCAGAATAAATCATGACGTGTCTCTCTTCATCCCTTGCCGCTACAAATCTTACTTCAAATCATGGTATATTTTCGTCATATCGAGATGGATAGTGTATTTATTTCTATAAGCTTTCTCCAAAAGGATATTCCTCAGCCTTAGATTGTTGGGTATACAAACTCTCCCCTCATACCTCAACAACATGCCATTAGAAATAAAGAAATCCAAGGCCTTATTTGCTTCTACTTCCTTCCTTATGCCTTATAAGTAATTGTTAATTGTTACGCTACTCTGATGTCATCTCAAAACCAACTCTCAAAGTCAGCTACTTAGAATGCGGCAAATTGATGTTCAATTGCGTTCGCTAGAACATTATAGAAATTGTTCCACAATCAGTGTTCATGTACTATTAAGTACATTGCATAGATGGTCTTCCTACTTAGATTGTCATCTACCACGTTAGCTTTATTTGGATGATAATGTAACTCGAAGTCATGATCTTTTAAAAATTCCATCCATCTTCTTCATCTCATGTTCAATTCCTTCTTATCAAACAAGTCCTCAAGGCTTTTGTGATCACTGTAGGTATTGAACTTAGATCCATATAGATGATGCCTCCATATCTTTAAGCTAAACACAACTGCTGCCAATTATAAGTTATGTGTAAGGCATTTTGTCTATATGGCCTTTGTTTTCATCGAAAAGTATGAGACTACTCGTTTGTTTTGCATCAATACACATCTTAGTCCCTTCAAAAAAGTATCATTGTACAAAGTGTATGATATTGCCAGGTTAAAAATAGTTAACATTGGAATAATGGTTAATCTCTTCTTCAACTCTTGAAAAGCGACTCCATACTTGTCAGTCTAGGTAAATGATTCATCCTTCTTGGTTAACTTGGTCAAGGGCATCACAATTTATGAAAATCCCTTAATAAAATGGCGGTGGTGACAGGCTAAACCTAAGAAACTCCATATTTTTGTCATTGACTTAGGCTGTTCCCACTTTATCATTGCATCAATCCTACTTGGATCCACTGTTACCCTATCTTTTGATATAATGTGGCCTAAAAATTTTACTTCTTAGAGCCAACCTCACGCTTGCTCGACTTAGCATAGAGCTTGTGTTTCCTCAAAACTTGTAGGATAGTCTTCAAGTGCTCAGCATGAGCGTCCTCATCCTTCAAATAAATAAGGATACCATCGATAGACACCACCATGGACTTATCTAGATAAAGCCTAAATATCCTATTTATGTAATCTATAAACACTACAGGGGCATTTGTAAGCCCAAACGACATCACTATAAATTCATAGTGCCCATGTTTGATTTGAAAGGTGGTCTTAGGAATATCCTTTGCTCTAACCCTCAACCGATGATACCCTAATTTTATGTCAACCTTTGAAAATATCGCCAACCCCACCAACTGATCAAGTAGATCATCAATCATTGAAAGTAGATATTTGTTATTGATAATTACCTTATTTAACTGTCGGTAGTCGATATAAATTTGAAAGTTTCCATCTTTTTTTCTTACAAATAGAACCAGTGAACCTCAATGTGAAATGCTTGGTTGAATGAAACCCTTCTCGAGTAGCTCTTCAATTTCCCTTTCTAACTTAGCCAATTCCAAGGGAGATATTCGATAAGGAGTCTTAAAAATTGGCCTTATGTCGAGTATTAGCTCGATCGAGAACTCCACCTTACATTCTTAAGGCAAGCCGTAGATCTTATCTGGAAACACGTCGGGAAAATCCTTTATGATTGGAACGTTCTTCACCCCTTCATCCAATTCATCTTGAATAAAAAGGAATACCATAAAAACCTAACACCCTTTCTTCACATGTTTATCAACTTGTGCCACTGATAGGAAAATTCATTCTTGGTTCTCTAATGAAGTCATGCACAAAGCAAATAAGGACACATTCCCTTCTCTGCAGTCTATAATAGCTCCATTTGCCAACATCTAACTCATCCTCATAATTAAATCCACGTCTTTTAATGGTAAGACAATTAGATCTATAGTCATTTTCTTATCCTTAAACTTGACCACTGAGTTAAGGCATTCCTTAACAGTCCTTACGTTAAAGCCACATTAACTTGATCCACTGTAGTAATGCTAACTAGCATCCATTCCAAGATATTATTGAGTAGGTAAAAGCATTGTGTTGAGAAAGTGGCATGTCACGATTAACTTCATATTTAGGGAGGCAAATTTTTGTGCTTATTACTTAGCTAGGAATGCTTCATTTTGTTTTGGTGGCCGATATATCTTCAATCACCTATCCTCTTATTGCATCGAGGTGGAAGATGACGATAGAAATTTCTCTTTAGTTTATACTTAGTACTTTTATGCTTATCTTAACATTCGTTATTCAAAGGAAAAAAGAAACACTTGAAACTTTAAAACTAAAATGCATATTTTTTTCCAACCATGTTCAAACCTAAAATTCTGGTTAGTAAAGAAGTAACATGCATCTACTTTTTAACCAACTTTAATTTAATTTTGTCTAGCCTCAATCTTTCTAAGAATCAAGTTTGCCAAATCAGTTTCACTTGAAAGTAAAATCCAAACACATCTTGTGTGTGTGTGTGTGTGTGTATTTCTCTATTATTAAAATAAATTTTCTCTCCCACTAAAATGCTCCTGTTGTGCTATTTACAACCTGTCGATTGATGAAATTTGGCAATTATTTCTATTGGAAACAAATCTAACAAAATTAGTCAAAGGTCGAAATGTATTTTTGGAAGAATTTTAAATAAGGACTGACATAATTACCAGTGACTCTCAAAAATGTTAAAATTTCAGTTCAATTTAAAGAATGAAAGTAAAGTTAATTTTAATTGTGAAAAAATTAAAATTTCACTTGCTCATTCCGTTAAAAAATGAAAGATATTTTTTGAGGAGTTGAATGTTAAAAAATGTAAGGCATTTTTAGTCTTTCGAGGTGCAATCATTATCCTTTTTAAAAATATCACTATTAATGAATGACTTTATATTTATCATAGAGTGTTTAATAAGGATAAATATAGAAAAATATGGTTAGTTTGAAAGTATGTAATTATTTTATTGGGAGTAACGCTCAATTAAAAATGTCTTATATTTTAAACAAAGAAAGTATTTGTTATGCAGAATATTAGTTATTAATTTTCTTACTTCACTTGCTAATTTACTAACATCACTTGTAAATTACATTTGTTTGTCGGATAAGCAGTAACATTAATTGTTAATTTACCAACATTAATTATAAATTATAAGATCCATCATTAATTTACAACTAATATTAATAAATTACAAAATTTATCAATAATTTATAACTGATGTTAGTAAATTAATAAATAAAGCTAGTAATTTAATAATTGATATTATTGTTAATGATTGAACAATTGATATTAAGTTTTATTTTCTTATTAACATGTCAAGCAACTTATATTAATAAATTAATAAATAAAATAAAATAATTAATAATTAATAATTTTGTATAATGATTAAATAATTTTTTAATCTCTTTACATTTCAAATTATTTATACTTTTATCCTTATATTGAAGTAAAATTTAAAAATTTTTAGGACTCACTAATAATCATGTTACATTCCTGAACTTTATTTAAAATTCTCCCTATATGATTTGCCCTTCAACAAAAATGAGCATATTCCGCAGAGGGAACGGAAAGTGAACTGAAAATCCACCAAGAGGCCTGCCTGCAGAGGTGCTTCTGTGGGTCTCTCCTTAGAGAGCTGAACGAACAAGTAAGAAAGCTTTCTGAGGAAGCAAACCCTTCTTTCTCTCTCCCCAAATTTCCCATTGTTTGTGTTCCAGCGTTCGTAAGCTGATTAAATCTCAAAACTTTGCTCTGACGTTGCTTCTATTTGCTTCTCTCTGCGTTGAAACCCCTTACTTCAATTCACATGTGAAGCATTGTTATTTAGCCCAAGCTTCACAGTTTATATACGTTTGCTTGAGGGTCGAGGTTGTGAATTTGGAGCGAAGGTTATCTAGGCTTGGTAGCTCGACCAGGCGAAGGCTCAGCCGCGACCATGTTTACTGAAGGACTTGACAGGAGTGCAATTCGATGGGTTCGAGAGGTCAGCTTCATTGACTTGTTTCTACCTTTTCCCTTTCTCCCCACATTCCATTGTAAGGGATAGACATCGATCTTCACACATTCCCCTTGCTATTGCATCACATTTTGGATTTCTGAATAATGGCACGTGTTTTTGTAAATGTATACTGATCTCTCTAAGTTCTGATTTTGTTGTTGTCCAGAAGGAAGTTCCGTTCTCTCATTCAAGTTTAAGATCCCGAATTGATCCTGTTGGCGGGACAAATAGCAGTGGCGCTAGAGGATTCGGGTTACCACCACCAGCAAAATTCAGAAGTGGTCATCTTCCTGCGAATGCGATTCCTGGCGGGGTCGATGATAGTGGTACTTATTCTGATAATGGTGCCAGTGACTCGGAAGAGGAAGTTTATGGTGGCAGATATTCACTGGATTCGTCTCCCCAAGACCACAGAGTCCCCAATGGTGCCGGTCACAGATACAGGAATTTCACGCAAGGGCAATCTCCATGCGGTAGTGACAATACGTTCTCTGAGGTGAGTTCCTCGAGGGAAACAGCGGTTAGAAGACCTGGCGCTGCGAGAAATCCCCAGATGCGGGTAACTAGGAATGCAATGCAGGGCAATTTTACGGAGGACGAATCATCAGATTCTGCTGCGAGCTCGGAATTCTCAACTTCACCGACAGGAAGCGTCAATGGTACTTTATCAAAGACAAGAACTTATCTTGCAGAGGGGTATACTTCTAGTGTGCCTTCAAGGATTAATGTGAACCATGCTACTGAAAAGGTATGTAACATGCTAATATAATCAAATCAAGTGCATGGCTGTAACGTGTTATATTATATGATTACATTTTTAACGTCCAAAATTAGGCACAGGGTTACAGTGTAAATTTCATCTATCTGTTTTGTATGATTGCCAATTGTGTTGTTGAAGCTTCTTTATATTTTGCTTGAAGATCAAGGACTTGTATAATGGTGAGTATAATCATAAATGATTTTCTATGGGCAACTTTCACTAAAAAATAGAAAAGAAAGACAAAAAGAAATTAAAGAAAGTCGAGCGCTAAATGCTCATTCAGGCATAATTGCAATCTCTGAAAGTGCTTTAAGAATTTTCTCTTCTTTAGCTTCTAAGCTCCTACCTTCTACCCTCTACAAGTATAAGTTCTCTTATAATGGAAATTGACCTAAACTCGTGATTCCTATATGAATATTCTTAGAATGGAAGATTGACTGGTGATGATGATGAAGATGAGGTTGAAGACATTCCCAGTGCCCCACCATTTTGCAGTTCTGATCAAGAAATCAAGCAAATGTCTGTGAAAATTGCAGCTTCTAGAGTTCATGCAGTTCCTCATTCGGCAGATTCACAAGGGTTTTCTTTTGGAAATGAATCAAGCCCTTTCAGATCTATGTCTAAGGATAAGATAGAGAACAATAAAAGAAATGAGAATCCTGACCAATTTGTCAGGTTTGTGTACTTGACGAGAACAAGCATGTCTCAAGGCTCTTCCTTTTATCTCATACAAAATGCATTGACTTTCTAGTCACACAACATATGCAAACTTTATACACTCAGTATCAACTTATTTTGAAGTGTATATGCTACAGAACTACTGCTGGTTTGGAGGCTGTTGCATCTTCAAGTTCATACCCTGCTCGTGTTCCAACCTTTCATGCAAGGTATCGTTTATGTTAATTGCGCTGATGATTGAGGGAAGTATTCTTCTGGTTTATATTCATTAATTATGTGCTTATGTAAATGCATTTCAGCGCCCTTGGGCCATGGCATGCTGTTATAACCTATGATGCTTGTGTGCGTCTTTGTCTTCATGCTTGGGCTATGCAATGCATAGAAGCTCCTATGTTTCTAGAAAATGAATGTGCGTTACTAAGGGATGCATTTGGGTGAGTTTGAACTCTTCCTCTTAACGTCATTGATTCTGTTATGCAAAGATGAACCTTGCTTTATTCTGCTTTTTTGTCCTTGGAGAGGATAAACCCATATGTATAACTCTTCTGGCTTTGATGTGGAGAGCATCCATCTGAGCTTATGAGATTCCAAAATAGATAAAAACTAATTATTCTCATGGATTCATAATTCTATAAGAAGCAATCTTATGTTAATTCTGGTCTGAAAATTGCTGAAACCAAACAACTGTAGCCATGGTTCTGGCTTATAGTCTCGAATTCTCATTTATGTGCTGTTGTTTCTCCACCCTCATTATATTTTTTGAATTGTAGATTGCGGCAGGTCCTATTGCAGTCAGAGGATGAACTAATGGTGAAACAAAATTCAGGGCTATCCAGTGAGGGTTTTGCACCAAAACATAAAAAACTCATTGGAAAGATGAAAGTGCAAGGTTGATTTTTATGACAGCTTTGACTATTCAATAATCTAATTTCTTGATATAAAATCTTTGTTGATATTGTTTTACTGTGCAGTACGTAAAGTCAAACCAGGCCTGGAACCTCCTTCTGGCTGTAGCATCTCATCTTTAAGGACACCTTCAATTAAAATGGAGTCTGTGCGACAATATTTTACCAGCCTGCAGTCTACAGTCTCTTCTGGATGGCAATCCCTCAGAAAAGTTCGATTCGCCCCACGTGTGCCGGCGAATGGTTCCTTTGCACAGCAAAGTTTGGCATATGCACGTGCCAGCACCCGATATATACAGCAGGTTTCTGGACTCCTGAAAGCCGGTGCTAAAACTCTTCGGAACTCTCCATCATCATATGAAGTTGCGCAAGGTATGTGAAGATGCTATTTTTTATGCATTGTTTTGCAGCCCATCAAGATTTCTTTATAACGTGTGCATTTTTTACTCCTACGGGTGCTGATTCCAATATTTGATATCTTATACTGTCCTGCTGCCCTAGTCTCACTAGATAGTTGCTCGGGTTGTAAAATGTTGCAGTTGATTGAGTGAAAATGGAGTACTGTTGGAGAAATTCCTTCCTTTTTTAATATAGTAATTATGACCCTATAAACTTTGTACGCGATCATGTGCTTGACACAAGGATGCATTACCTTTGTTGAGTTTGTGCCTCTTTGTAATTATTGAACTTGGCTGCTGCCCTTCACTCTTTCTTACGAGCTTCTTTTAATTCTTAGAATTGAGAGTCAAAGGAGCAAGAAATTTAGAATGACATCAGGTGCTTAATACCTAAGCTGCCAACTTATTTTATGTGGGGAATAGATTGTACAAGTATTGAATTTTGTGTTTGTGTATATATATGTCTATCTGAAATATTACTATTATTTGAATGTGTCAAAGAACCATATGGGCAACTAAGTATTACTTTTGTTCTAAATGATTCACTTTGGAGTTTCTGATTTTTCCAAATAAATATTACTTTTGAATTTCAACAAAGCTTTTATCATTTCCCCCCTATTTCCCCTTTATTTTTATCTCTCCACTAATGAAGAAAGTATTCAAGATAGTGCTATCTATTTATTTTCTTGCTTTGTGTGAAAACCCCAAGGAGATAAACATTATGGAATGGGGGGAGTAGTTTCAAAGTGCAAATTTCATGAATAATATTTCATTGTTGTTCCTTCAGAGCAGCATATGATTTCCCAAAAGTAAAATTGGAGCTATTTTCTTTTGGTGTAGTACGGAAAGCTTTTGATGCATTTTGCACCCTTACCATTGTTTCCTCTCAATTTCACTACAAGCGAAAGTTTTGATGCTTTTTGATTTTTTTTTGTGGAGAATTAATTTTCTTGTTAATTTTTCTTTTATTTCATATTTTCCAGTAACAAACATAACAATTTCTTTGGTGTTTCAGAAGTCTTCACTCTTTAATTCATTTCTATGCGCTTGCATGTTTATTGTCTGCATTCGTGAACTACATCGTCTCGTAATAGCTGTGAATTCCTTCGTGCTCCATTCTCATTTTTTTCTTATAAAGTATTAATCTGTTGTTTATCCTTTACTATATAAACTTTTCTGCCTATTATGTGTCCAGAAACATACTCATGTTTGTTAAGACTTAAAAGCATGGTTGAAGAAGATGCCATCAGGATGCAGCCTGGGTCATGTGAAACCCACATGTTGTAAGTATTGTTTCGTAGTCTTTTATGACTGTACTTTCTGAACAAACTGCCGAGTACTCTACAGTTTTCCAGATAGCCTAGGAGATGATCTGCTTGTTGAAGTCCAAGATTCCAAGGGGAAGCATTTTGGCTGTGTTCTTGTCCAAGTGGCTAATGTCGCTGATGACCCGGTAATATTTTCTATTGCATTTTCTTTTTAGAGGTGTTATTTGTGTGTGTCTTGGGAATAGAGAAGCAAATAATAGAATAAATGAAAAATGAGTGAAGGCTCAGATGATCCTGACGACAATCTCTGAATTACATGGTGATAGATTCTGTTACACTTGCATGGCATGTGTAGTAACACAAATAAATAATTGGCACATGCTGAATCAAGCACGCCACCTGTGCATTTCAGAAACCCAAAATGCATAAATACCCTTTGCCTGCAAGCACACTTACAATGCATATTTGAATGATGATGATTATGCTACAAGTCATGAGCAATGTGAATGCAGGCTGACAAATTACGCTGGTGGAACATTTATCACGGGCAAGAGCACAACCTTGTGGGCAAGATACAACTTTATATAAATTATTCAACAAGTTCTGATGACAATAGTCATCCCAAGGTTAGTCACTATTAATATAAGCAGAGTTTATGAGCTGTTTGCCTTAAACAGTTAAACCATGATCTTACTATCAAATGTGTGAAATAGATGTGCGATTTACCTCATTTTATTTAGTTGCCATGAAATAGGAAGCAAGAAACTGTTTAAAGTTAAAAGGTGCTGTTATCTCCCAGTAGTTTCCTTGGGCTTCTGATATATTCTTTTTGTTAAGTACTGTTAGAAGCTGTGATAAGATTTTTTCAACTAAAGTTACTGGAGACGCGCTATCTTTTTGCAGACTGTCAAAAAGATATTATAAAGTATTAAATGCAATTTTCAGATCCTCCTAAATACCACCTTCCTCTTCTACTATCCCCAGCAGAAATCTGGACAAGAAAAGCATTTGAGATATATCCTTGTAGTCTTAGCAACTACCACATGAGTGCACAGAAATGGTTTATTAAGTAGTAAAAAAAAAAAAGAAAAAAGAAAAAAAGACTTTATTAACCATTTGATTTTAGAGTTTTTGACTAAATGATATCTTATTATGTAAATTATGAGTTTCTTATTGTACTTTACCTGAAGCAGTTACACTGTTGTCTCTTTCTTGTGATCATAGTGTGGCTCTGTGGCAGAAACGGTGGCATATGACTTAGTTTTGGAAGTTGCCATGAAAGTTCAAGGCTTTCAACAGAGGAACCTAACGTTACATGGTCCATGGAAATGGCTTTTAACAGAATTCGCATCATATTATGGGGTGTCTGAGATGTATACCAGGTTAAGGTAATCTGATGTTAATTTGCTGATTTTCTCTTGAATACTAGAAATACTAAATTTAATGAATTTTCTCTTTGATAATTTTCCTTATTCATTACTTGTGTTGCTCCTCATTTTCTATCCAATTAGGTACCTATCTTATGTAATGGATGTGGCTACTCCAACAGCTGACTGCCTCAACTTGGTTTATGATTTGCTATCACCTGTTATTATGAAGGGCAACGGCAAGTTTTCTTTGAGCCACCAGGAGGTACTATTGAAATGTCCGAGTCAAGTGATGTAACTTTAAGACTGTGTGCTCTGCTTTCATAGTGTTTTATTTTTTGGATAATGCTCTGGTAACATGAGCAACTATTCAGTTAATACTTTTGAGCGCTGTCTGGCCTAACATAGTGTGAATTTGGCTTATTTTGATCAGAACCGAATACTTGGAGAGACTAAGGATCAAATTGAACAGATACTCACTCTTCTTTTTGAGAATTACAAGTCACTCGATGAATCATCTTTTTCTGGTATCTCAGAGGTTTTCAGACCTGTGTCTGGTGTCGCAGCACCTGCACTGGAGCCTGCTGTCAAACTCTACAAACTTCTTCATGATATATTATCTCCTGAGGCTCAAACAGCTTTCTGTCACTATTTTCAGGTTAGTGAAACTTGAGATTATCATCATGATGCTTGCTAAGTATATGAACGTATTTGCTTCACTCACTACTGGTAACCCCCTAGGTTGCTGCAAAAAAGAGGTCCAGAAGGTTCCTGACTGAAACAGATGAGTATGTTTCAAACAATAATGAAGGCAATCTAATGGACAGTGTGTCCACACATACTGCTTACCAGAAAATGAAAACCCTCTGCGTAAATCTTAGAAACGAGATCTTTGCTGACATCCAGATTCTGAATCAAAATATACTTCCCAGGTATTAGTTATTTCTCACGTCATCTTTTCTGTTTTTTAAGTAGTTGGAAATTTGGTTCACATTCATGTCTATTTGTGACGCACCTGTGTAATTTTATGATAAAAAATGCTGAAATATTAAAAAATAACCAAATCAGTTTATTGCCCTGAAGAATGTGGAATAAGCTGTTTTTCTGTCTTGTCGAGATATATCTGTGGTGAACTGTCTTTTCTTGTCAAATTCAGATTGAGTCTTCATTGTCATTTGATTCTTGGTTTGCAAGCTTATGTTACTAGTGTTCAGAACTAAATTTCATCTTAGTAAATACTCTTTGATGCACCACGACCACCCCCCTCCTCGTACCACTATAAAAATACCTAATGCAGTTACTGTTAATCATCAACACACCCTTTCTTTAATGGAAATTTCAATTTTTGAGTGTATCATTTAAATGAGTGTCTCATTAACTGGGGTGATGATAAAGCAGCATGCTATTCCTTCTTACCAAGTACACCGTTCAAGTCTTCATCAGTGAATACTCGTTTTTGAGACTGAATGAAGGCATAATCACCATTCATGTGAACTTTAACAGAGGCAGAGGTAGCAGTACTGCAGTAGTCTTATCTGTTCGGGAAACAAGACAAGTAAATAGCAATGAATTAGGTTGTAGTTGATATCATTCTGATAAGACCCCATCACTGGTCAATGTCAAAACTTTAAAAAGGAGACATGAAAAGAATAGAAAAGTGACAGCAAAAATGGGACTGTTAAAAATGGGACTGTTGGTACCAAAGTGAGGAGAGTTCTGGCCTCTAGAATGGTAGATCAGGGGTGGAGAAGATCACGTTTTCTTCATCATTTTATCTTTCTACCTTAATTTGTATTTGTGAGAGGCTTGTGTTTGTGTTGCTGTTAAAGAGGGTGTATTTTATGATGTTTCCTGTACTCCGTAATTGTCATCTGAATGTAGTTTCAGTTCTTATTTTGCTTGTAATCTCTCTCTATTATTCAGCAGTAGTAATTTTTAGTTACATTTGGAGTGTATTTTCTGGTTTTCCTTGTTTTTAAGCTTAATAGAGTAGAGGGTTCCATCACATTCTTAAAGGCTTAGAAAGCAATAGAAGAGAAGATGGTTTTATTATTTTAACTCAAAAATTTGATGGATTTAATTACAATAATTGCAATTCTTGGTGTTTTATCTAATATTTATTTTTTTGGGACGTTACTTTGATATTATACACTATCTAGTGAGATAAGACTTGTTATTTACTTTAATATTATGATAAGTTAATTGGCGTTAAGAGATGTTTCATTTACAGTGGAATTATTCTCTATTACTCTTCACCAAGAAGCATTTGAAGCACTTATATCTCGTGTGCATGCATTTCACTCTACGGGATTGTGAAGCAATTAATGTCAATCAAAGGTTCTAAAACTGTTTTTTTTTTCTCCATATATTTTTGCAGCTTTGTGGACCTACCAAATCTTTCTGCATCCATATACAGCACTGAACTTTGCAATCGATTACATGATTTCCTCATTGCTTGTCCACCAGCAGGCCCTTCAACACATGTAGCAGAACTTGTTATTGCAACATCAGATTTTCAAAGGGATCTTATCAGCTGGAATCTTAGGTAATCGTTGATGCTTAGAGTATATATGGCCCTATTTATGTTGGCAATCAACTTTGCTGTAACTCTGAATAATATTAACACCCTCCCCCCATCTAAAATTCTTTATCAATCCTATCAAAGGCGGTGTTGATGCTTAGAATATATATAGCCCCATTTATGTTGGCAATCAAATTTCTGTAACTCTGAATAATATTAACTTTTCCCCCAATTTCTTTCTCAGTCCTGTCAAAGGCGGAGTAGACGCGAAAGAATTGTTCCACTTATACATTCTTGTCTGGATCCAAGATAAACGCTTATCTTTGCTTGAGTCATGCAAACTGGATAAGGTACATTAATTTTAATGTACTGCTATTGCATGATACTCCTAGATTTATATCTTGTATGAAAGATGATTTGAAATTGATCATGTATCTGACTGCTCTCTCCAGTAGTATAATCTGTACACCAAATCTATTGTCTAAAAGCATCATTTTTGCCAGGTGAAATGGTCAGGAGTCAGAACACAACATTCTACTACTCCTTTTATTGATGACATGTACGAACGGCTGAAAGAAACATTGACAGACTATGAAGTCATCATTAGCCGCTGGCCAGAATATACCTTGGTTCTAGAGAATGTATGTCAGTAGGGATCTTCATCTTTTCTATCTCGTCATTCTTTCTAATATCTGGCTCTGCTACAAATTTGAACTTTGTAATAGATCTTACTTGCATCCTTTTTCAACTGTGTCCTTAAAATTATACTGTTAATCAACCCTACGCTATATTACTAAAGATATTTTGTTACATCAGTAATCACTGTTTGTCATCTTCCTTGGCAACTGTATTATTTTCTGGATAATTCTTCGCTCAGGGAGGTGTTAAGGGTAAGGAGGCTCTTAGTGCTAGATAGTAGATCCAACTATATCCTGGTATGCACTGGGGTTTTTAGTAGATTTTAACTATTTTTCAACATCCGTCCCCACAACCATCTTTTTGTTGTCTCTCCTTCATGTCTCCAAAGTCCAAACACACATATTGAGGGTTATGTGTGTTGTGTTATCATTGAGGCACTGTTATTCTTTTTTTTAACCCCAAAAAGAAAAAAAGTTTGTTCTAGAAATTTGTATTTTTTTTTTTAATAAACTCAAAAAAGAACTGAGAATGTGCAAGTTGTAATTGGGCTCCTAATTTTTTGGCATGTGTCAACAGGCCATTGCTGATATTGAAAAAGCCATTGTGGAAGCTTTAGACAAACAGTACGCAGATGTACTGTCTCCAATCAAGGAAAACATCATCCCTAAGAAATTTGGGCTCAAGTATGTGCAGAAGCTTACTAAGCGATCTGCATCCTCTTATATTGTTCCTGATGAGGTTAGTGGAACTTCTGTAGTGTTCTTCTAGACATGTACTTTATTATTCAAACTGTTGTTGCTTCTTTCAGCTTGGAATTCTTTTGAATTCCATGAAGAGAATGCTGGATGTCTTGCGTCCCAGGGTGGAATCACATTTCAAGTCATGGGGTTCGTGCATACCAAATGTTGGAAACATAGCACCTGGTGAGAGACTCAGTGAAGTGACAGTGATGCTGAGAGCAAAGTTCAGGAACTATGTGCAGGCTATTGTGGAGAAACTTGCTGAGAATGTGAGTATCATGCTATAAATAAGGAAAATCTTAGTCTGTTATAAATTTATGATATGATGATTTTGATAAACTCAATAATAGAGATCTTGCTGGGACATGGAACGTGAGACCTATGAAGTGGCAGGCATGATGAGCTTCACTTTTTCTAAATTTCTGATAAAACCTTTCCAGTTTATGTAAGCAGGGCAGCAATGCATTCAATGTTTTCGTGCCATCATCTAGTTGTTTATACCCAATATAAAACCTATTTTAATTGAATTGTAGAAAATTACTCTTTGCATATAACTAGCATATCTCTTACTAAATTCCTAGCGGCATCAAATTGACCATGTAATCTCTGATACCTTGAAGTTGCTTTTTTCTACATCCACAGTTCAAGATATTTCATTCTCGTTTCACTGATTCTTCTAAAATAACGTTAGTCAAGTCATGTTTGTGTCCTTACTATTCATGATGCATCTTTTATACCCAGACAAAGTTACAGAATGCCACAAAATTGAAAAAGGTTCTTCAAGAGTCAAAGGAAACTCTGGTAGAATCTGATCTAAGAGTAAGAATGCAGCCATTGAAAGACCAGTTGGTTAATACCATAAGTCATGTTCACAGTATTTTTGAGACCCAGGTCTTCATTGCCATCTGTCGAGGTTATTGGGACCGTATGGGACAGGTAAGTTCCCTTGTATATTTGACTTCCTCACCTTTTTGAAATTGCAGATTTCAGGCTGTTAATTGTTCAGTATCAATGCCCTTGGTTTACATCTTGTTTCAACAGGAAATTTTAAGCTTCTTGGAGAACAGAAAAGAGAATAAATCATGGTACAAAGGCTCAAGGGTTGCAGTATCTGTGAGTACAGCGATCCATTTAACCAGCAACTAGTATGTTATTTGTTTGTATAAAGTGTATAGAAGACAATGTGATGGAACCCTGCTGTTCAACACACAAAAATGCAGAAATAGCAATAATAGGACAACCAACAGATCAAGGGAAATGTTAAAGTTTGATATTAATAATTCTAGAAGATTAAATCAGTGTTACAAAAATACTTCACTGATTCAGAACAAACCTTATTTCCTACAACAACCAAAATATTCAACAAAACAGTAACAATGCAATGTTATCAAGCATGCCCTCTAGTTTTCGAGAGCTAGTCTCCTCTCTCATTTACAATCAAAATATGACCTACCTTCCAAAAGACACTAGCGACTGCTATAATCCCAAAAGTACCTTGCACAGTCTCCAACATCATTTTCTGCTAAGATAGGCCTAACCCCTGCCCCCCAAGCCCACTCTAAGTCTGAATAGCTTTCCTCTTACGGGTAAGAATAGCAAAATCAACATTCAGCCCCTCCTAGAGGTGTTGTTCCTTCTTCTTGTATTTTCCTATTTCTCCTCTTACAGGTTTGTAGCTTCCTATTTCTGCTCTTACAGGTTTTTGCAGCAAAAGAGATTCCATCACAGTGCTGTTTGCCTTTTATGGGATTTGTTTGTTTTATTAAAGAATACAAAATTTTAGTGGTTTCTGTCCATGTTTATCCGACTCATCTACCCAAAAAGAGGTTTCTATTTATAGGTTTATTTGTTTATGAAGACTGCTTTACCTAACCTCATTGTCATTACCAGATCAAAAGATCAGAAACTGTGTTCTTGCTGGATCCACTTCACTAGATGCTTCTAGTGGTACTTCTAGAAATGTGGCTTAAGAGAATCTTGTATTAGCATTGTAGTGATTAAATTTGGGTAACATGAATGGTGCCAATGTAGGGTTTTCTGACTTCTGGCATATAAGCAAAGCTGTCATGTTGGATAATTCAATGAGTGGGGATCCGATGATTTAATTGTGAAGATTCCGTTTTCTCAGCTGTGTTTCACTTTCCACGTATTGTAGGCTGTTACATACCATCTGATCTCTGACCTGAAGATTTCTGTGCAGATTCTGGACGATGCCTTTGCCTCACAGATGCAGCAGCTTCTGGGAAACACATTGCAAGAGAAAGACCTAGAACCGCCTAGGTCTATCATGGAAGTTCGTTCTATGCTCTGCAAAGATGCTCCCAATCCTAAGGATAATTCTTTCTACTATTAGGCTTATACCTGTACATAAAAGGTGGTTAATACGCGATGATAACAGCTTCAGAGATGATTTAGTTACAGAACTAGTAGATGATAAACGCCAGCATTACCTTTGCTTGTTGGCTTGGTAGATTGTTGATAGAAAAGCTCGATTTTGTTAGGAGGGCACAAATACTGAATTTATAGTAGCGAGGGGGTTGTCATCAATTTTGTAGGCTAACTAGCAACTTGGCTGCTCCTGGAAAGATTAATATATTCCCCACGTGGGATCTTTCGTTGTCAATCTATATTACAATTGATACAGTTATGTTATCCTATTTCTTAGCATTATATATATATATATATATATATATCGCAGCCTTTTGCTATATATATATATATATATTGATCAATGTGGTTTGATAATTTTTCTCGCAAGGGTACAATTCTGCAGAGTTGCTTTCCGCTTAGGGCTAGCAGAAGACGGACTTATGGGCAAGTTATATCTTGTCACCCCAATTTACTTGTTCTCTTTCTGGCTGTTAATTATACAGAATGCCAATTATACAAAGTAAAACACGCCATTCAAATCCCCTCCATCTCGTCCCAAATACATTTCACTCTCTTTTTCTTAGAGAAGTTACATTTTATTCTTGTTAATGTAGCCTGATTACAAGAATAGGATTCAAACTAGAATGAATTCTTGCAGTCTCTAATAAATCAAAGCCCGTGTTTATTCTAAGCAAATATCCAAATGTTCACTTTTCTTCAATTATCTATATCTTCATTTATCTTCTCTAAAAATTTCCATCTTCGGCTATAATCATAGCCTAGATACAAGAATTTTCTACTACATTTGGAGCATTTGGCAACGTTTTCTCAACACAAAATGCACTATGTACCTCTGCAAAGATAAGACATGAAAACTTAACCTTAGGACAACACAATCACTTGATTTTATTGCTTTCCATTCAATGATTAAAATTGGACAGCTAAGAAGAGCACCATATAGGCAAATATTAATAATAAACACACGCCTTGAATCGCACCCAAGCATTTAGTAGAGAGATATTTACAGAGATCGAACTACATCCAAACCAAATGAACTACGGTGCAAACGAATGGAATTATAAACTGCAGATTGTGGAACACCACGCTGAATTGCAGCACAAGCAAAAGAGTTAAAATACAAAGCAACTTTGCTCCTAGCTGCATTGGCGAATTAGAGAAGCTTTGATATAACATGACAGGAAGTCCAGAGTGCTTTAGTAGCAACCCTTAAAATAACAGGGTTTTGATATATCCTGACAAGAATATAAAACAGAAGACGGTCAGAAAGAAAGGGAAAAAATGATAAGTTGGACAGAGAGGAGGAATCGTTATATCAGAATGACTTCCTATGAATACACAAATAAATGTGAATAATCTCAGACGAACAGAAAACAGCAAGCACCAAAAGCAAGGCATGCCACATAAATAGATGCAGGCTCCCAAGTGTTAACATGTTGTTAACAGGTTCTTGTAGTTTTTATGGAAAGAAAACGGGGGGAATGGCTTACCCAATAGCAGTAGCTCCCCAGGATGCAACGTTGTAAATGACTTTGCTCCCATCCCATGCCTTTTGAAGCTTTCCCTTCTTCTTCTTCATTGAAAATGTCTTGCTGAGCGCTATTTAAGACACACACAAGGAGAAATTAGGAAAATGTTTGCCCATTTCTTTTAGCTTACTGGTTTAACATGAGCATAAACTTGCAAAAAAGGGTGCCATTTATTCATTGTATCTATGAAGGAAGCAATTAGACTCACCTTCCTGAAGTTGGTTAGGGGTTAAATCCTGCGAAGAGTAAATCGATCAGTGAGAAAGAAAGAGAGTAGAAACTTTAATATACGTTTGATACAACATTCTTAACCAGCAAGAAGAAAATGACACATCGTATAATTCTGTAAGAGTGATTGTTAGGCTGCAGCAGCATGAGAAAAGGTTCTAGATCTAAATTAGAAAGCAATACAGCTCCCAACAAGAACTATATTCCAGAATAGACGTGTATATCAAGTGGTGTGAATTCTCAGCGATAGGGCTGCAAAAGAATCTTAATACATGGCTGCAAGTATGAATGGGCATCATATTTAAAGTCAAAAAGTCCACAAAAATGAAACCTATTAGCAATGTTCATAGCAGATAGAAGACACTGATCTATTTGTACCGCATACCAAAAAGTAATTAAAGGCCAAGAGGTTGAAATCTTCATGGTTGTCAAGTCATCGTCAAATAATATCATTATGATTGTATTTCAATGGATCTACCATACATTTAGTTATTGAATAAGAAGTGAGCCAAAAGAATTACAGGTACAAAAGACTCTTGCATGAGAGAGCATTACTTTAGTCTGTTTAAGAGATAACAAATATGCAGCCATGAAGCAAGCAATGCCCTCCGCTATATCTTCTTGTCTAACAAGTACATAATCTTCTTGGTCTGAATCAGTATTTTCACCTTCCCATAAATCATTGTCACTGATCATATCCCAAGAATTACCATCTTCTGTCACAGGCCAAGAAAATTGTTATGAGCATTCATTAATCAAGCAATAAAGAGAACAGCTTTTATAAATTCCAAATAAGATTGATGTCGTCCCCAACTATAAATCTTTTTGGTGTCAAAACTCAAAACCACCATGTACAAGACAAGAATTATATGTGGATGCATACCAGCTGCATTCTGTGAAACTGATGCCTGGGCACACTCCAGCTTTTCAAGGAAGGCAGGGCACTCAACCCTAGATTTGAGAAGATCGCAGAACTGCATAGGGCACATGATACGATCTGTTAGGATTTAGGAAGGATAATCTCCAACAGTGAGGCATTGTTTCCTTAATGAGTCATTAAGTGTCCGTGATATTTAAAGATTCCACCGCATTTAGCATGAGGATAAACAGGATGACAGTATCAACTATCAATAACTTGTATTGCAGCATTATTTGTACATGTATCTTCAATAACAGACATTTGTCTTCAAGTGGTGTCTACTGAATGTAAGTGGAAACGCCATTACAAACTAAAGCAAGAAAAAATATATATTCAAAGACAAGAATTAAGCATATAAGAGGAACGTGACATTAATATAATTTTAACTTAACAAATTATAAATGTTCAAGACAGATACAACCTGCAGTGTCATAAGTTCACTTAAAGACGCACGTATGCAAAACGCTAAAGCAAAAGGCTCGTGCTACAAGAAGAAATCACCTCTTAATCTAAAATACCCTTTCTTTAACTTCGTTTCCTAGCTTTGGCTCGTAATAAACCAACTCACTCATCACAATCGAAACAACACATCCAAACAAAAGCAAGCTTTAAAGGAGGTTTTATTCAACCAACCTACTCCCATCTCAATCGCCGTCCTAGTTTTGACATCAAATCATCAAATGCTAAAATATCATCGAAACAAAAGCCCGCCTAAAAAATTAGAAAATAAATTCTACCTCTTCCGCTTCTCGATCAGCTCGCATAGAGGATGAGCCTTCAAGGCGACGTTCCTCATCGGCCACTGCAGCTTCATCCTCACAACTCTCCTCATCGTCACCATCACCGCTGGTTGAATTGAGTAATTCTAGAGCTCTCTGGCACTGCTCTAGCACGGCCTGCAAGGTCTTCCTCTTGACCCGAACCCTATCCTCCTCCGAATTCTCCCTCCGAATTGTGACAATGGGTTTCGGATCGGGCACATCGACCTCCATTAGAGCTCCCACGGACTCGCACGGGTCCTGCAAACAGTTCCCGGCAGCCACAAGTTCCCTGATTCCGATCCTCTTGCGTGAGTACTAAGAAACGATAACACTGTTAATTATTAATGATTAACAAATTAATTGTGAAATCCCCCCTCTGTCCATAGGAATTTGAGAAACCCTAGGAGGAAGAACTAGAAAAGTCTTGCGCGCCTCAGTTACCGATAACGCCGAACAATGGGGAATTATTGATGCGGCTAAGCAGACACGTGCTGTATCGTTGTCTGCGCCATGCAAGTTGCGAAGCAGAGTCCGGTGGTGGCGGCGAACCGGAGGTGAGAAAAAGGCGTGGCGGGACCAAGAAGCGTCAGCGTTTTGGGCACTTGATGCCAAGTTTTCCAACCCTGCTTGCTTTCTCTTTTGGCTTTAGCTTCCGTCAATCTGTATCTTCTGATTCTGTCCGCTACAAGAAATTTAATTTTTCCCTTTTAATTAAGCTCATTTGCATGAAGATGAAAATAACAAGTAAGATGAACGTGGAATATACTTGATGGCCTTTAAGGAAAGGATGGGAAAAAAAAAAAAAAAAAGTCACATGACAATTTAATACTTGACATTAATTTTGTAGCTGTATAGGGTTTAAAAAATTATAAAAAAAATCAAAAGAATCACAGAATATTATTTTTTATCCTCTTACATAACTTTTGGGTTATTTTTAAAAATTTTTGAGGTATCTTTTTATAATTTTTTAATTAATTAATAGTTAAAATTAATAGCAAAGGAGATATTATTGAGATTTTAAATGTGAAAATGTATCGAAAATGAGTTTACATCTCAGATACTTGATCAAATTATTATTATTATTATTATTATTATTATTATTATTATTATTTTGTTTTTTGTTTGGGGGGTGGGGAGCGCAGGGCAGAGGACGCAGTAGGAAATCTACCGAGGGGCCTCCAGCAAAAGAAAAATAATATCTCAAGAGACACCGTAAGTGACGCTTTACTTGCCATTTGAGCTGGCCAAACTTATTGAGCTGGCTTCTCTCCATTTCACATTTTTTTATTTTTTTATTTTTTTTATTTTAATTGTTAAATTTTTTTTATAATTAAGATTTAATGTTTCATAAAATTAATTTTTTATTTTTAACTATAATTTTAAATTTTAATTTTATCTAAAATATAATTCAAGATTTAAGATTATGATTAAAAATTAAAAAAAATTAAGATTATAGTTAAAAATAAAAAATTAATTTTATGAGATATTAAATCTCAACCATTCAAGAATGAATCTGATAGTTGAGATGAGAAATGGAGAAAGAAAAAATGAAGAGAAACTAGCCCCAAACTCTTCATCCTATTGCTCATATCAACAATTTCGTTAGCTCCATGTGCGTGGTGTTTTCTGGTTTGTGTGTGCATCTATTCCCCTGCCATCAGGAAAGCTCATCTTGTATGCTGGCGGCCTACCACATCCGTAAGTCTGGTAAAAACCTTCTTTTCCAATAGATTGGTGCCTGCCACTTGAGATAATGATTTGATTGACTAGAGCTGGAAACGATGATGAAGAGGTGCTGGGAAGTGCGGTTAAGTCATGTCAGTAGGAGGTTGAATTGCGCCGCAGACTATCTCGATAAAACTGGCCTCAATTTGCTGCTAAGTTTCAGTTTTATTTCACAGGCTCCTAACGAGCTTCCAGCCATCATGGATAGAGACTTTATGAACTGTAATAGGGATATGGGCTAATCTTGCCTGGGTTTCGTCGTTTTCAACAAAAACAAAAAAGAGCTCTTCTTCTTCTTTTGCAACTTTGTATCTTTGTACACATCACCAATTCACACGAGCCTATCAACGGCCAATCTTATTAAGATCAGGCTGGCCTGTTTTCCCACCTTATGATCCGTTAGGAGACTTATCATACTTGTGACCATGAATCTCGACTATGTGGCATTTCTATGGGCCCAACTTTGGCGAGTGTTGTCGTATGGAATCTAGGCTCCGAGCCCAGATTCTTTGCACATATATTTGGTGTACATTTAACTTGCTAATTAAACCACGCGTTCACTCGACTCCCCGAATTGACTGCAACTGATGAAGACAAATAACTGACTGCCATAAAAAGGTAATGTCATAATTACTATTAAACGAATACTGCTATGACACCCACAAAGTGAGATGAATTTGCTTGTTATGATTGTTTATTTCATCTTGTCTCGTGAATCATCAAAGGGTGGTCACAGCTAGAGCCGATAATAAATGTCAGGTTTAAAAAGTTAAGTTTGAAAATTATATTTAAATAAAAGTTTGAGTTTTAAAAATTATTTTTTTTAAATAATTAGATTTGAGGGCCTGATCTTGATAAGTTCTTCAATCCCTGATAAAATAAGTTATCTTATATATGTATATATACACATAAATATATTTAATTAATAGTGACATAATTTAGTAAATATTTATTATAAGTGGTGAAGAAGAATTTATAGAAATAAGTGACATTAAATCTCCACTTTCATCTTAAACAAATGGATCTACATGTGAGGATCTAAAATTTTATTTTTAAATGATGATGATGAGGATTTTCAATTTACATTGATGAAAATTAAAATCTTCATCTTAAATTTAAAATTTTAAATTTTTGTCTAATTTTATGTGAGACTTTAATTTGTTTTATGTTAATTTTAGAATGTTTTATTTAAATTAAAATTTTGAATTTTTTTTAGAAAAGAAGGCTTAAGAGCCTGATTTTAAGCCCTATAAATAAGGACTGGCCTTTAGAATTAGGTTAAATTTTAGATAATTGAGTTTTAAAGTCTGAGCTCTTAGGAGCCAAGTCTTCCCTAATTTCCATCTCTGGTCACAACCACTCTTTTAAGCAGTCTCTTTACGCCTTGTGTCATAAGAGCACCTTGGTAGATTAGCAGAAAATAACGATGATGGAGATGAATTATAAGGATATTTGAAACTATTTTGATTTTATTGTTATGAGAACTGATGTTTTGTAAAAACATGTTACGAAAACAAAAAAATAATAAAAATAAGTGTTTTTTCATTTTCCTTTATTTTTAAGAACAATAATCATAAAATATCTAAAAGTTATTTTCATTTTTTTTTTCGTTCCCTATAATAATATTTTGTATTTTGTTGGCTCTCCAAAATACTTTTTGAAAACATATTACCAAATAACATTTTTTGTTCTCTTGTTTTGAAAAATAAAAAATGTTTTCAAAACAAGTATCCCTAATTACAACAAAATGCTATTAAGTTTTTTGTTGGAGTCAAAATTATAATGGAGGACTAAAGCAAACAAATAAACTTAATGTGCAAGCATATAGGCTTGAGACGTACTCCATCCATTTTTATATATAAGAGAAAAAAATTATATCACATAGTTTAAGAAAATTAATTAATCATAATAGTTATGTTTGAAAAAAAAAAATTAAATAAAATTTCTTATGTTAATCAATATAAGCATGCATTAATTATTTTTCATGAGGAGTGATTTAAGAAATGTATAATAAATGTTTATTAAAACATATGATTTTACTTATATAAAAAATGAATAAAAAGTAATAGTTTTTTCTACAAATGAAAATGAAAAGAGTAACGGTTATCTACTTGCACTCTAATTTTTTAGTCATTTAGCACACTTTCAATCTTGATAAGGAATTTACTAGCAATTTTTTTAAAAAATAAGACATTTTTGACTGAATATCACTCTAATAAATTTATTAACTACCTTCAAATTAACATTATATTTCTATATTTATCTTTATTTAATAAGGTGCTTCACTTAAAAATAAATGCAGACTAATTTATTTATTAGGAACATTTAAAAAACATATTTATTATATATTAAAATATTAAAAATATTTTACATTTATTAATATTTAATTTTTTTAAAAAATATATTATATTTTCAAATGAAGGGGGTAATAATTGCAAGGATCTGGGTATTTTCCTCCTTTAGAGAATGTAGATATGAGCCTGTTTATTTGGCTTTCAAAAGAAGATTTCTCTCCGTCCAAGCAACACAATTACTCATTCCACAGACGCATGTCTTTATCCTTCCATTTTTTAGATTAAAGTATATACTCTTTTAGTTTAAAAATGTAAAATATTTTTAATTAAAATTTATTTATTAATAAAATAATTATTTATTTTTAAATTAAATTTATATTTTTATATTTATCTTTATTAAATACCTTATAATAAATATAAAGTCATTATTAATAAAGATACTTAAAAAAAGGTAATGATTACATCTCAAAAAAGTAAAAATATCTTATATTTTTGAATATATAACTCAAAAAATACTTTACATTTTTTAATGAAGGAAGCAAGGTTTTTCTTTAGTTTTTTTCAATTTTATAAAAAATATTTTTAGCTCTTTAATTCTACTATTGTTAGTTTTAGTAACGATAATTTCTTGCATCAAACTTTTAAATCTTTACAACATATTTTTTTAATGGTGGCATGCTAAGTTTAATTTTTTAAAATAATAATGATTACTATAAAATTAATTAATTAAAATCAAAGTTAGTAGAGTTATGGAACTAAAAAGTAGTTCTCTTAATTAAAATGCACGATGAATAATTACGTGTAAGTTTTTTTTTTTGGCCGAGTAAGGTTCACTTTGTTATAGTTACGCTTACCTATTTCTGTTTACTGTTTTTTAATCTCTCTTTCAAAGTGTCCAATATATTCATTGTCGTAAATATAAAGGATCCAAACGCGAGATTATAGAAGCATGCAGAAAACAAAAGAAAACATTTTGAATGCTTAGGTTGTAAATTGGGGAGTTTCCCCACACTGCAACGATAACACTCTTTAATTATTTCAATAATTTTGCATGAAATAACTAACAATTTTTTTTTGGCCTTTCGCTTTTTTGTGAAATCACTGATTTGGTGTTGTTTTTTTTTTCTCGTTTTGTTTTTTGGCATTGTAATTTTTTTTGTTTCTTTTTTTGATAACATATTTTTTTTTTGGTTTCTGTTAATATATAGTTCCAGTTTTCATTAAAAAAAAGTAGAAGAAGAAGAGATCACTGATTTCGATGGTCGAGGGGAATCAATGGCGGCGTCTAATTTGGGGTGAGGGGAAGGAATAACATATACGCTCAAAACTACTCGTACTTGTTTCCTTTTTCCTTCAGTCATGCATTCAATTCTGCAGCGAGGCAAGGGTAGCATAATCAATCACAGATATCCATTAATTATGATTCCCTTTCGACGTTTCTCAAGGCTTTCACGCCATCACTTATCACTTCACAATATAAATTTACCAAAATGATATACAAATTAATTTAAATCTAAGTCATCAACCCAGCAAAATTTTGCCGCGATTTTTGATTTACAACGCTCCAGTGAAATGGTATTGGATTTATCACTGCAATTTTCTGTCTGTAGTATTTGGATTAAAATATAAAACATCTCTTAGATAGATTACAAAATTAGTTGAGTTGAGTAATTGAAAAGCCAGACCCAATAAAATAAAATGGCCGACCCTGAAATTCAATAATAGATCATGATGAAATAAATATATCAAAATCTTGTTAGTTGCAAATATTGGATCGTGGCACGAAAAAATACAATCTTAAGTAATGCCGAAATCTAAAGACTTTATGTCCAAATATTTCAATAAAACAGACTAATTATCAAAATAAAGAATACAAAGACCGTGTCATAAGTTTTGTGAGATTCTTAATTTTTCAGCAAAACGTATTAGGTCTTAAAGGAGAAGCTACCACCACTTTAATCCTATAAATAGAAGACGAAAATACAGAAAAATATAATAAACACTCAATCAAAAACTCACACTTTTACATCTTGTAGCCTTAATTTTATAAATTAATTTTACTTTCAATTTAAACCTGTAATTTTTCATATCTTAATAAAATTAAATATTTATTTTATTAAAATTTTATATTTTTTTATATTTGAGTGAATTATTTTTTTATTATTAATTAAGACTTAACGTTTAATGTTTATTATTTACCACGACCTCGTAGTTTTGGTGCTTTTCCCTTCCCCCTTTTTTACCCCCTCCCGCCTGCCGGCCTCACGTGGTAATAGTATTAGTATTAAGCTATTCTAACAGATAAGCGGTGGGACCCATAAATTATATAGGCGTGACTTGGATGCGGGGCCACGTGCCTGCAGGATGTAATGGAGGAAAATTGAGAAGGAACGAATCAAAAAATACGTGACATCGGAGACGTTGCTAGTGCTGAAGAAATGGTATGTTTGGAAATTATTGCCCAAGAAAACTTAGGCCCTTGTATTCCGTCGTCCACGTTTTTTCCCTCCAACACGGTGCTCCATTTTGATGGGTTGACGTGTACAGTTCCAATTGTCGCAGATGAGGAGGACCCGCTCTTTTGTCTTCATCACCATCGTTTCCGCTGCCTTGCATTTCTGACTCACCAATTCACCATTTGGAAGACGCAGGGAGGGAGGGAGGGAGAGAGAGAGAGAGAGGCCATCCCCAACATCGGGCACACAGACAGAACCTCTGTTTTCACTTCCTCGCTTCCCCTATTTCTTCTTTTCTCATTTCATCCTCTCTTTTCTTTTCGATTTCTGGCAAGGTATGCTACAATGCAGATTGATGGGATTTTTCTTCCTCAATCTCTATGAATGGTCCCTGAGCGGCATTGCCATTTTAATGAGTGTGAGTGTTGATTACATGCGGTGACCTCTGCCGTCTTGTAGCCTTGGATATGAATCTGTGATTTTGGGATCACAGATATGACTAACAAAATTCTGGAAGTGTCTCAGGTTAGGAAAAAAAAATGAAAATGAAAATTTTCTTCCACAGGAATAAAGGGATCGTTTCCATTCATTAGCCTTTTTTTGCCAATGCATTCGTGAATGTACATTTCATCCCTGATTAATTAAGAACGAGGAAGTATAATGCCATGGGATATGGAAATCTCATAATAGGTGTTGAGTATATCTGGTTTTCTGTGCATTGTAGGGAGATGGCGGTACTTCTCTACCCTCTTCTCAGCATGGGCCACCAGAGCATCAGTGCTCACGCGGCAGCAATGGCAATGCGGTAATTCTTCTTGTTTGCAATTATGTAATTATTGAATGAATATGGATCCAGTGGACTTTTTCCAGTTTATGTGAGCATGAATTTGGTGTCAAGTTTCGTGTCTCGTCAGGCTGGCCACATGGCTATGGAATGACGCTGGCGCATGATGACTTGGAAATTTTATATAGTGATTCGCAACAAAATCTTCGTAAGCATACCCTAACAGGGCCAATTTGGATAACGAAAAAACAAGCAAATTGGAAAGTATTCTGATCATTCTTGCATGCGGCTGGTTTAAGTCAAATGCATTCCCCCCGTATTCACGTTATTTCACCTTTTTCTTCCTTTCCTGGAGTTAATTGCATTTCTCAATCACCTCGGTTTAAATACCTGTCATCTCTTGCAGATTTTCAAGACTGGGCCACTTTACATATCTTCTAAAGGTGGGTTTTAATCCACTTGTTTACGTACATGCTTATAGGGGACTGATCTATTTATGAATTATTTACTTATATAACACAATAATGATAGATTCTTAAGAGCCCAGAGAAAATGGGTGTGGTAATGTTTATTTCCCTTGGCTTGTTCATTAATACATCACATACCTGCTGCTGCACTCTTTTACACTTTAGAATAAATAACTCTTGATGTTTTATATACCTAGCTAGGGAGAAATAACCTCAATTGAATATCAAAAGGATAGGAAAGCTAAAAAAAAAAGAAAAATTCGAGCAGCCATTAGTTGCTAATTGCAAAGGACAAGTCTAAGAAAACTCAGTAGATATTTGAACTATAGCAAGGGAAGGGAACTCTGATCTGAAGATAGTGGCAGTACTATTCGTTGCAAACAAACGACCTGGGGTTAACTTGTAAGGATGGGATAAGCGTGGGTAGTTACTAGGGTTCAAAACCTGCTGACGCGGTCATGTGAAGTTATTTAAGATATCCATATTTTATAAATTCTCGATGTGTAGGAATTGGATGGACATCCTGGAAGAAAAGGTGGTTTGTTTTAACACGCACTTCACTGGTTTTCTTCAGAAGTGATCCAGTAAGTATTTTTGTTTTGGCATCTACTTTGTTTATTCATGCGTCTGTGGATCCAATGATAGTTTTTCTGGAGTAGAAATATATAATGCTTGTAGATTTTGAAGTTTTGAGCACTTTAGGTGACAGAAGGCTAACAGCTTAATTGGGAATGGAAATAAATTCATTTCCCCCCTTTAAGAAATGGTAATATATCTGTGGAAGATGCAATACATTTGTAGTTTTATTCTATAAAGTGTTGAACCCTTTGAAGGCTAATATCCTAATGGAGATTGGAAGTGAATTTGTGTTTGTCTTTAGAGTATTTTCTCCTGTCCCTACCTTTTTTTTTCAAGCTGCTGTAGTAAATATTTCCAATAGCTTTCTTGTATAAGAGTCCTTTGTGGATGCTTTTCTTCTAGTGCTACCATGCCTCTTTCTTTTTAAGAGAAGACTCAGATACTTAACCTTATATGCTTAATATGCCTTTATCCAATCAAATTACAACAAATGAATTTCATGTATTATTAAAATTATAATAAGTTTATTATGTAATAAATAATGTATACAAAATTTACATGTCTTGATTGGATTGAAAACAAGTATCTTAAGTATATAAAATTAAGTAAGATTTGTCCTTCTTTTTATTGCTTTATCATTTTATTTTCTGATTTTCAGAGTGCTGTTCCTCAGAAGGGGGGTGAAGTGAATTTAACGCTTGGTGGCATTGACCTCAACAATTCAGGCAGGTTAGCTGTTGTTTAAACACAAAAATCATTACATTCTTGTCCTCTTCATTATTGAATGTAGTGGAACTTGTGAAGTGTACTGATCACTAGAAAATTACTTTGTCAATTTTGCAGTGTTGTTGTCAAAGCAGATAAGAAACTTTTAACCGTGCTGTTTCCTGATGGACGAGCTTTCACACTTAAGGTGCATCACTTCTCTCTCTCAATATCTTTCCTCTTGGAAATTTCCTCTTTGCTTAATGAGTTATTGATTTATTGTGTTGCATTATATTTATGTAACACCCTCAAAAATTCTTCCAATTTATTTGCTTAACCATGGAATCATTCCATTAAGTTCAATCAATGCTAACAAATATTTATTACCTTTAAATTTTCTTTCAAATTTCTATTAACTCATTGAATGTTAAATTTTAAATTGGGATATTACAATTTACATGACATTCTATACACAGGATGCCTTGAAAGTGATTGCCTCACTTTTTTTCATGATTTATCTATATTTGTACGGTATATTCAATTTCATTGTTAATGCATTGAGGTAAAGATAAAATAGGAAATGACAATATGCATATTATTCATTTCTGCTGCCCTATGATTTTTATTATTGCTACTGCAGGCTGACACTGCAGAGGATTTACATGAATGGAAGACTGCACTTGAGAATGCTTTGGCACAAGCCCCGGGTGCTTCTGATGTAACAGGGGAAAATGGTATCTTTAGGAACGATCAGACTGATTCAATTGATATTTCTTTGGACCAGTGTATGCTCTTGTTATAGTTGTGCTTTCTATATGTTGACTTCACAGTTCATGTCCTGTGCAAACACTTTGTATGTTGCACATGATCTGTGTACTTATCTCACGAAATTCAGTTGTCATCATGCTAATATTTGTTGAAGCAGAAAATGCTAAGTTCTATTTGTTTTCTGGTATGATCATGGTAATCATGTTTAAATTTTAAAACATATCCATGTAATGGCACTTGAATATTGATTTTTATGTATTCCAGGTTGCATAAAAATAGATGTACATTTGACTATCCCTTTTTGTATATTTGTGTTGCTTCTGCTGCATTAACTTTATGTCCTTAGTCCATTAAAATTTATCAATTTTCATTTTGGTCTGATTTACCTTCAAAATGTCTACCTAGTACCTCCAGTGTGAATTTTTCCATGAAGTTATTTCTGCTTAATGCTGTAAAATATATGTTATTTGCTTTCTTTCCTTACGCATTTTCTGAATTCCTATAGCAAAGGATGTAGAACCAGCAAAATCTACAGTTGTTGGCCGGCCAATTTTACTTGCTCTTGAGGATGATGATGGAGCTCCATCTTTTTTGGAGAAAGCCCTTAGGTTCATAGAAGAGCATGGTGAGTTTTATGTTCTCATTTCCTTGAAGAATTCCTTTTGTTATTGCTTATGATGATGCATCGTAAATGCCATTTTCTGGATCATGTTGAGTGCACAGCTGTTTCTCATCTAACAGATGTAATTTTTGTCGGTGAATGTTAGCATTGAGGATTGAATCTTGGAATTTTCTTTTTGCAAAATACCTCCACTAGATAAAACAAGAGTGGCCTGTTGATGGATCATGTCATGGATGTGTTCATGCTTACTTTGGTAATTTGTTGCAAGGAATAGCTCAACCTATTTGGCATATTTAATTGGAAAAATCTCATCTAAGGACCTTTGAAGAAAGTTATTCACAGATAAGGACCAACAACAAGTCACCATTAGAGAAAAATAAGTTAATGTTCCTATTTTAATAACAATACATTTCATATTGGTTTTTGTTTGCTAGTAACTTTCTTCACAGGTCTTTTGATGCGATTTCCCTATTTAATTCCTAATATTACTTGTCGACCAAGAAAAAAGTGCAAAGTTAGATTCATCTTGTCAGTAAAAAGTAGTAAAAGAATATAATAGCCAATACGGTGCTTTGAATAAGTCATAAACATTACATGTCAGCTATGTCTGTTAGCTTCTCTTTTTATGCTTTTGAGCCTTGAGTGGGTTAGCAACACTTCATGCTTGTGACTTTTATCAGTAGATTTGTGATAGGAAAACTTAAGCTTTGCAACTGAATACCATTATGTTCTTGCAATGAAATTTTAATATCAAGGTTGTTTTATTATTGGGAGTTGAGGTGAGGGTAGGGGATTTTGCAATAGATTTATATCAATTATTTATTCTGAGTCTTACTATCAATATTATTAGCGCTTATGCACCTCAAGTTTGAGCAGAAGATAGTCTCAAGGAATTGTTTTGGGTAGACTTGGAGGGGCTGATTCAATGCATATCACAAAGTGAAAAAATCTTTGTTGGAGGAGACTTAATAGTCATGTCGGGTGGAAGGTAGGTAATTATGTGAGGGGACAAGGTAGTTTTGGTTTCGGGGAGCTAAATAATGATAGAAAATCTATTTTTAATTTTCTCTTTAGTGTATGATTTCAAGATTGTTAATACTTGTTTCAAGAAGAGGGATGAACATCTCATTACCTACAAGAGTAGAGCCTCAAGGTCACATATTGATTTCTTTTTGGCAAGGAACTTGGATAGAAGACTTTGTAAAAATTGTAAGGTGATTATTGGGGGTGGCATAACAACATAATATAGGGTCCTTGTCCTTGATATGCATATTATGATGAAAATAAAAAGTGCCAACAACTGGCAAATCTGAGGATTAGGTGATGGCAGTTAAAAGGTGAGAAGTGAGAAATTTTCAAGTGAAATCTTTTGACCAAAGGAATTTGAGAGTCTTAAGGAAGTGCTGTATCTTATGAGAGGATATGGCTAAGAAGGAAAGGAAGGCTGCTAAAGAAGTTTTAAAAGAGTTAAAAGGTTTTGGTTTAAGAAATAAGGAGTCCTGGTGGTGGAATGATATTGTACAAGAAAAAGTCAAACATAAGAATGAGTGTTTTAAAGCCATTCATTTATGCATTAATGATAAAAGTTAGGAAAGGCATCGTATGACTAAGAAGGAAACTAAGAAAGTTGTTAGTGAAGCTTGTTCTAAGCATTTGGAGAGTTTTACAAGTGTCTTGAGACAAAGAATGGAAAACGAAAAATTTATAAGATTGCTAAGAGTAGGGAAAAAATATCAAGAGATTTGGAATAAGTAAGGCACATAAAGGATAAAGAAGGAAGATTTTTGATTATAGATGATGATATTAAAAATGAATAGGATACCTACTTTTACAAACTCTTTAATGATAAAGAAGGCTCAACTAGTAATTTGGAGGATTTAGTAATTCGTGAAAAAGAACAGAATTTGTTATTCTATTAAAGGATATGCGGTAGTGACATAAAAGAAGCTCTTAAGAAAATGGTAAATGGTAAAGCCAATGGACTTAATTTTATTCCCATTAAAGTGTGAAAATGTTTTGGTGAAGAGGGGGTGCGGTGACTAACTAAGTTATTTGATGAGATTTTATAATCTAAGAAAATGCATGACGAATGTAGAAAAAGCGTCTTAGTTCTTATTTACAAAAATAAATGAGATATTTAGAATTATACAAATTACAAAGAGATTAAACTTATGAGTCTTACAATGAAATTGTGGGGAAGAGTGACTGAACAAAGGTTGAAATTGGATACTATTATTTTTGATAATCAATTTGGCTTCATGACAGGTAGGACGACTACAAAAGCAATTTATCTATTTAGGAAATTAATGAAAAAGTATTAATATAAAGATAAAGATTTACATATGGTTTTTATTGATTTGTAAAAAGTTTTTGATTGTGTACTAAAAGAAGTACTTTGAAAAGCCTTGGAAAAAAGAGAGTCTAGGTTGCCTATATTAGAGCTACACAAAATATGTATGAGGGGACAACAATTAGTATAAGAACATCTAGCGGTGAAACAAATGACTTTTCTGTAAGGATTGGACCATATCAGGATCTTCTTTGAGTTCTTATTTATTTGACTTGGTCCTAGATGTTTTAACTAAGCGTATTCAAGAGAAAATCCTTAAACGCATGCTTTTTGCGGATGATATAGTTCTTATTATGGAGACAAGAGAAGATATTAACTACAAACTTAAGTTATGGAGAAGGATATGGGAGTCAAAAGGTTTTCACTTAAGTAGGAATAAGACGAAATATTTGCATTGTAATTTGATAAGAGGTTAGTTAATAGTAATTTAAAAGTAAAATTGGGATATCAGATTATATATCAAGTAGAAAAGTTTAGATATTTGGAAACTATTATTGAACATGGTGGGGATGTTGCAAATAGAAAACAAGTAAGGTGGTTTAATTGGAGAAAGGATAAAAGATTTATTTATAATCGAAAGGTACCTTCTAAACTCAAAAGGAAAGTTTTATAAAATTACTATAAGACCAGTTATATTATATAGTAGTGAATGTTGGGCTTTAAAGGAATAAGAGAAATATAAAGTTAGAGTAGCAAAGATGAGAATGTTAAGATGAATGTGCCTGCATATACATAAAGATAAAATCCGAAATGAGCATATATGAGAAAAAGTGGATGTAGCATCTATTGAGGAGAAAATGGTAGAGAATCATTTGAAATGATTTAGACATGTATAGAGAAAACTGTGAGCGGCACCGATGGGGCGAGTGGCATGGATAATTTTGAGCTCTATAAAAAGGGGCAGATGAAGGGCCAAAGAAAATGCTTATAGTTAACAACATTCATAAAAGTTTGATAAACGATAGAGCACAATAGCGTAGTGTAATCCATAAAGTCGACCCCATCTAGTAGGATAAGATTTGTTGTTGTTATTGTTGTTGTTGTTGTTGTAGTATTTGTTCTGAGTCTTGAGGACCCTTTTAGCATTGTTTACACGTGACATAAGTTATTTTTCATATGTGTCTTATGAATATTATAAAACAGGAGTCAAAGTTGAAGGGATCTTGCGACAGGCAGCTGCTGTTGATGATGTTGAATATCGAGTTCAGGAATATGAACAGGGTCAGGAATTTTCCTTTGAGCAGCCTTTGTTTTAATGTTTTTCTCTAGTTACGCCTGATGTAGCTTTCTTGTGTTTTCTTTACGTTGTGTTCTGAACTTCTTTCATAAATGGCAAACAGCAAACTGTATTGAGGCCTTACTTTATTTCAGGCTTTGCCATGCAAATGTTTTGAGAGATTTGAGGGTTGTTATATCCTGAACGTAATTCCTTCTAAAATATGTAAGTTAATGGGTTGTCATATTGGATGCCCTGGAATTTCCCCAAATCTCCACGAGTCTTGAGCTGCAAGGCCCTCTCTTTCTACATATATTAATATCCATCGATAATATTAAGTTTTCCATTGTTCCTGTCAGATACTTTCCTGATCACTGATCAAGTCTAACGTTACTGGATATGGCATATGGATGCAGGAAAAACTGAATTCTCTGCTGATGAGGATCCACATGTTGTTGCCGATTGTTTGAAGGTATCTTCTTATAGACTGAGCATCTGGTTCTTTTATGGAGCGGTCATATATAATTTATTCTATACTTTTTCAGTTTGTACTCAGGGAATTACTTTCATCTCCAGTCCCTGCATCTTGCTGCAAGGCTCTGTTAGAAGCATGCCGTAAGTGTCTGGTTTTTTTTCATCCTTCTCTATCTATAATATAAGTAGCAAGCAACTTGCTAAAGACTTATTTTATGTTTGGAATAAATCTTAAACTTTCTAGAATTTAATTGATTTCCATTGTTCGGATTGCATTTTAAGGTTATCAAGTTCAATTAGACTGTTATTTTGCAATGATACCCTTTTCTAATCTTGCATATAGGATAAAGAAGTCCTTTGTCACCAAATGAATTCTTGACCGTGAAATCCACATATTTTATTTTTAATTTCATTTTAGGCAAGATAATTTGAAAATCGGGTATTCAATGCAATTGAATTGTCATTTTCTACAACAACAACAACAACAACAACAAGCCTTTATCCCACTAGGTGGGGTCGGCTACATGGATTGCAAGACGCCATTGTACTCTATCATTTATTAAGCTTTTAGAAATATTATTAATTAAGAGATCACGTTCAACAACTTCCAAGAGTGTTCTCTTAGGCCTTCCTCTACCTCTCTTAATCGGACTCAAAGTTATATGTTCCACTCTTCTCACTGGTGCCTCCCTTGGTCTTCTTTGTACATGCCCAAACCATCTCAACCGATTTTCTACCATTTTTTCCTCAATAGGTGCCACCCTCACTTTTTCACGTATGTGCTCATTTCGAATTTTATCTTTACGTGTATATCCGCACATCCATCGTAACATTCTCATCTCTGCTACTCCAACTTTATGCTCTTGCTGTCCCGTTAGAGCCCAGCATTCACTACTATATAACATTGCCGGTCTGATAGCAGTACGATAAAACTTTCCTTTAAGTTTATTAGGCACCTTACGGTCACAAATAACTCCTTTAGCTTTTCTCCAATTAAACCATCCAGCTTGAATTCTATGTGAAATATCTCCACTGATTTCGCCATCATTTTGAATAATGGCTCCCAAATATCTAAACTTTTCCACTTGAGGTATAATTTGATCTCCCAATTTCACTTCCAAATTATTTTCGAATAATCCTTTCCCAAATTTACAATATAAATATTCCGTCTTACTTCTACTCAGACGAAAACCTTTCGACTCCAATGTCCTCCTCCATAACTCAAGTTTGCAATTAACCTCTTCTCTTGTCTCTGCTATAAGAACTATATCATCCGCGAAGAGCATACATTTCGGGATTTCCTCTTGAATATGTTCCGTCAAAACATTTAAAATCAAGTTGAACAAATAAGGACTCAGAGATGATCCCTGATGTAGTCCAATCTTTATAGGAAAATCCTTTGTTTGACCACTAGGCGTTCTTATACTAGTTTTTACCCCCTCATACATATCTTGTATGGCTTTAATATAAGCAATCCGTACTTCCTTTTTTTCCAACGCTTTCCAAAGCACTTCTCTTGGTATACGGTCATAAGCTTTTTCCAAATCAATAAAAACCATGTGTAGATCTTTATCTTTACAACGATACTTTTCCATTAATCCCCTTAGTAGATAAATTGCCTCTGTAGTTGATCTACCTGGCATAAAACCAAATTGATTCTCAGAAATACTTGTCTCCAGTCTCAACCTGTGCTCAATTACTTTCTCCCACAATTTCATTGTGTGGCTCATGAGTTTAATCCCTCTATAGTTAGTACAATTCTGAATATCTCCTTTATTTTTATAAATAGGAATTAATGTACTTCTCCTCCACTCATCAGGCATTTTCTTGGACCGTAAAATCACATTAAATAACTTAGTTAACCATCTCACCCCTTCTTCACCTAAACATTTCCACGCTTCGATAGATATACAATCAGGTCCGTTAGCTCTACCATTTGCCATTTTCTTAAGAGCTTCCTTTACCTCCTTATCACGTATTTTTCGATAGAATGACAAATTTTGTTCTCCTTCACCAGTTACTAAATCCTCCAAGTTACTAGATGAATCCTCTCCATCATTGAAAAGTTTAGAAAAATAAGTCTCCCATCTATTTTTAATTTCATCATCTGTAACTAAAATTCTTCCCTCTTCATCCTTAATACACCTTACCTGTTCTAGATCTCTTGATTTTCTTTCCCTACTCTTGGCAATCTTATAAATATTTTGCTCTCCTTCCTTCGTCTCAAGGTTCTTATAAAATTCTTCAAAAGCTTTGGAACGAGCTTCACCCACAGCTCTCTTAGTTTCCTTCTTAGCCATACGGTACCTCTTCCAATTTTCTTCATTGTTACACAAATGTATGGCTTTAAAACAGTTCTTCTTATACTTGATTTTGTCCTGTACACTATTATTCCACCACCAAGACTCCTTATCTCTCGGACCAGAACCTTTCGATTCTCCCAAAACTACTTTTGCAACCTCCCGTATCTTTTTAGCCATATCCTCCCATATGATGTTAGCACTTCCCTGAGAATCCCAAATTCCTTTATCCAAAAGATTTCGCTTGAAAATATCTTGCTTCTCACTTTTAATTGCCACCACCTAATCTTTGGTGTTACTACTTGTCGACGTTTTTGGATTTTACTCATAATACACACATCAAGGACTAGGACCCTATGTTGTGTCGTTACAGCATCTCCAGGGATCACCTTACAATTTTTACAAAGTTTTCTATCTGTGTTCCTAACCAAAAGAAAATTAATCTGCGACCTTGAGGCTCCACTTTTGTAAGTGATGAGATGCTCATCTCTCTTCTTGAAACAAGTGTTGGCAATCTTAAAATCATACGCCAATGAGAAATCAAGAAGAGTTTGCCCTTCATTGTTTTGCTCTCCAAAACCAAAACCACCATGCACCCTCGCATACTGACCAGCTTCCCTCCCGACATGCCCATTAAAGTCTCCTCCAATAAAAATCTTTTCACTCTGTGGTATGTGTCGAATCAACCCCTCCAGATCCTCCCAAAATAATTCCTTAAGACTGGCTTCTGTCCCGACTTGCAGCGCATAAGCGCTAACAATATTAACAGTCTCACGTCCAATTATCATTTTTAAAGAAATAATTCTGTCTCCAATTCTGCTAACTTCTACAACGTTCTTCTTCCACTCATTATCTATAATGATGCTTACTCCATTGCGTGCACTTACTTTTCCTGTATACCAAAGTTTGAAACCTTGAATATCCTTAGCTCCTTCTCCACGCCATTTTGTTTCTTGCAAGCAAAGGATATTGATTTTCCTTTGAATCATAACCCCTACAACCTCTACAGATTTACAATTTAATGTCCCAACATTCCAAGTACCAAATCTAATTTTGCTCTTATGGACTAACTTCTTTAGCCGCGTGCGTCCAGAATGACGCGGTAGCCCTTGCTCATTTAACACTACATCCGGGCGCCGATGCAGCGGCTCTAACTCACTTATCACTGTACTCGAGCCATGCAGCGCGTTACTTACGGGCAACGACCTAGCATTAACATTATAACGTCTATTGTCCATGTTCATGATAGATTCAACAAATTTTTACATTGGCTGTTGATGGCCTAACACAACCCTCCTCCTTTACCCGGGCTTGGGACCGGCTATAAACATAGGCGGAGTTTGAATTGTCATTTTCTGATTGTTCCAAATTTGGGCTGGCAACAGGGAGGAACAGGGAGGATTTTTCAATACCTATCCCTGAACGCACTTGTGTTTTGTCGACTTCCAAACCCCCTCTGCTGGGTTTGAGTACTGAGAATTTGAGCAATTAAAGAAATTTCTTATTAAATCATTTATGGCATTCTAGTGAGTTGATTGAAATAAGTTATGACATTATAGCAACGTCTTAAAAATTGAGTTAGCACAAAAAATGGTTTATGATTCAACGGAATGACCAAAGTTGATTTTCTTACATCTTTGGAAATTGGCATATGTACCAGGAACTGAACGTGCTGGTAGGATTTCTGCTATCTGTGCTGCAATATGTGAGACTTTCCCTGAACCAAATCGCCGTTTATTGCAAAGGTAATGGGTTATTAATTCATTGTCCCCCGTTTCTTTCCTTTCAGGCAAACACGTGAATCACTCCAGTTGTGATCCCCCCCCCTTTTTTTCCTGCTGGATGAACATATTTAAAAGAGGATTAACAAGACTTGAACAAGTAAACTTGAGCATCAATATTTATGTCGGATTGAAATCTCAATTATCATGAAAGTTCAAGCTACTAGTGAATGGGATGCTAGACAAATTAGCGGCTGGAATGTGGATTTATATTTCACAATGAAAGATGTCGTCGTGGCATTATATCTATGTATTGTTTGGTGACGATCATTCCATATGGAGCAGAATTTTCAGCCTAATTGGTTTATCTTTGTGATTAACCTTGTGAAATGTGAATAATGGAAGCTAGTGAGTATATTCTATGAATTATGATTAAATTTCAGTTGTTGCACTGTTAAGAATTACACTATATGTTTCCATGATTTAATCCACTTTTTTTACATGCAAAAATTGATTCTTTTTCAGAATACTCCAAATGATGCAAACCGTGGCTTCCCACAAAGCTGTGAATAGAATGAGCTCCTCCGCTGTGGCAGCTTGCATGGCACCCTTACTTCTTCGCCCCCTTCTCGCTGGGGAATGTGACATTGAAAATGATTTTGATGTGGGTGGTGATGGTTCTGTTCAACTTCTACAAGCAGCTGCCGCAGCTAACCATGCTCAAACGATTGTTATAACGTTATTGGAAGAATATGACAGCATATTTGGGGTAAGTTTATTTATTTTATATAAATATATTGCATGGCTTTTGTTTATAATATATGCTTCCATCTCCATGACAGCATATGCACAAACATACATCTCTTGTATCAGTCTTCAGCTACAAGATTGTGTCTACTTTCTTTTATGTTTGTCCATGTCATGCTTTCTTCCTCATCTACATAAGAACCAGGGATATATATATATATATATATATTTTAAATTATTGGATTATCAAGTTTGTCCTCATTAGAGGACATAATCAGATGCTGATGAAGTACAGCTTGGTTTTTTCGGATAGGCTATTCTTATGGTGAAACTCCCAAGGTGGGTCTTTTGATGAATATGCTATTTCTTATATCAGCTTTTATATGAAATATGGTATTATGATTTCTCTTTCCCCAGGGGCCTTTTCAACCTAGAAGTTTCCTATCAAATTAGAAATTAACTACAGAAGGGTCAACATTTGTGTAAATCTTTTATTACGTTGGGCTTTATGAAGAAGATTTGCTCTGTGCCTCTGAATACATCCTTCTTTCACTATTTTATTTATGACTAATCTTCCCTACTATCTTTTTGTTGCTGTTATTATGGTTCTAGGAGGAGGGAACTGGGTCCCCGGGCATATACTCTGATTCAGAAGAGAGTGGATCTGGGAGCGAGGAGGGTACTGAAGATGAGGAATCATATGATGATGAAGATTATGATGATGACTGTGATGATGAGTGTGATGAAGAATCGATACAAGAGTCCGATGCAGATGCAGAGGGAAGTGAGACTGAAGACTCAGGGTGCAAGGATGATAAGGTTTTTGTCCCTTTGATTTTTTTCATGATAATTGGAAGAAAAAGTAGTAAACTTTTGTAGCTCTGGAAATTATATAACCCATTTACGAGGACTCAGTCAATTGGCTTTCTGCTGGAAAGAATTTTCCAAGAACATGTTTTATAGGACCAAAAGGAGAAATGTTATGCATTAAGTTTTCACATACGGTGCAGATGTAGCCAAGGATATAAAACCGAAGTGCTAACAAAATTCTGGAATAATTTTGATGTCCCCCTAAAATAACCTTTTCCTCTAACAGGTGTTCTTTTACCACTTCAAGAGATCTTAGCCTACGTATTGTTGTCTAACAAGCTGTTCCCTAGCCATGTCCCAATTGACTTGGTGCCTCTTTGGATTAGTTTTCCTTGCTTTTTTCCTTTTCTTTTAAATTCCAAACATGTTTCTTATTATAAAGATTTCTTTATTAGGAACATAAAGCATTTCATTATTAAAAAAAAAAACAATCTTAAATAGCTTTTCCTTGCTTTTTTCTTCAGCTGAAACTCTAAAAGGTGCTTTTTGAATTCGATCGTTTACCAAACACTTCAACTTTATTTTTCATATATAAGATTTTGATCTTACTAAACGGTATTCTCATTTTGTGAATCTTTATGTACATATCTTGCATTTCCCCCTGAGACTGTCCTTTTTTTTTTTGTTTGCTTTTTTTAAGAAATCCCCTCTGAGACTGTCAGTGACGCTGCAACCTGCATCTTTATACCTTTTTACTTGATGTTATACAAAATAACCATTTTGTTCCTGGTGGTTGGTAATAATTCACTGTCTATGTGATTTTTCTGTCTGGTTTTGGGGAAGGGCACATGGGAGGAGAGCGGAAGTGTGAAACTACCCTTCTTATCCTGATTTCTTGAAACATGCAGAAACGTGATCATTCAAGGTCAGATGTAAAATCCTCTGGTGACAAGGAAGATCCTAAAGTCAACCAGATATCATCACAGCCAAGTGAAGTCTCACTATCTCCGGATGTTGCTGTCAAGAGCCGTGAAAACCTGACGAGTTCAACCAAGACTGCTCGTGCTGAAAAGTCCAGCACACCTGCTAACTTAGTTGAAGTTGTTTCCACTGACCAGAGTACAGCACATAATTCGACTTGTCCTGGTGACAACAAATCAATGGACATATATGATGATCCAGCGCATGCTCCGAGCCACACAATATTGGGGCGTACTTCCGTAAGTAAATTTGTAATGTCTCTCCCTGATCTTGGCGTTTATTCATTCCTCACATGCCGAAAACTGGCCAAAACTCACAGCTGACACTGAATTTTTATGTCCATTTACTTTATTCCTTTTTGGAGCCTAGTTATGTTGATTTTATGTTACTATGCCCCAGTTAATTTTTTATTCTTTTGTACTATGTCTAGGCAATGAAGAATCTTACCATGGAAACTGTTGATTCTTCTAAAGAGGCGTGAGTAATTGGCATCCGTTAACTTCTACTTTATCTTCTTCTGGTTGCTTTGTAGCTCCAATTTTATCTATCCGTTGCTGTTTAGAAAAGCAGGGGAGCAAAAAAGTTTGAGAAAAGTGATAGAGAACACGAATATTATAAACCGTAACATTTTATAGGACAGTCTGAGATCCTCCTTATTCGTAAACTTTCTTTGGGTAGTCCACACCGTAATTTTGTTGATGCCGGACCATGCTGTGTTACTTATGCCGAGCATCAACCCAGAGTAAACACATCTGACTAGTTTCTTCATCTTTACTGATATATGTTTTTGACCATTCATAGAGCTGAAATCGAGAATCTTGAAGCTATCAAGATAGAATTGCAAAACCAAATCACGGAGGAGGTAGGCACTTGATTTTCTTACTTGATAGTTATGTTGATATGGACGTAAGTATTCTTTGTTGGCAATTTTCCGTTGTTCATTTCTACTTTCTTTTGTAGTCTAACGCAAACCTGCAATCTTATCTGGAAAAACAAAAGAAATCCATGCATGAGCGTCGCCTGGCTCTTGAGCAAGATGTAAGTTCATCTCGCAAGTATATAATTCCCCCTTCCTCCGATAAATCATTATATGTATATATATTTAGATTCTGTTCTCTAACTTTTCTTTCTACAGGTGGCTAGGCTACGGGAACAGCTGCAAAAGGAGAAGAATTATTGGGCAACTCGAGAAGCAGGAAACAAGTATTCTCCTAGATCCTCATCCGATTCAACCAGTGATGAAAAGGTTAGTCTATCTCACTTTCAAGTGGTTTTTGAGCACGCATCAAAATACTAATAAAAAAGCTGCAATAGACCAAGGCAGACCTTGAGGAAATAGCTCTCATAGAAGCAGATCTCACCAAGTTACGGCAGCGGATTGATGATTTTGGCAGGCGGTTTAATTTACAGCATGAGCACACCTCAAATCATGAAACAAAATTGTATGTTAATCACTTGTGAGCTTATTTATGCACATCCGTTTGCTCTTACTTTTACAATATCATATTCCTAATTGGTTTAGTTTTCTTGAAAAAATTGTTAGCTATGTTACTTTTCCAAATAAAAAGTAATTCGTTTGGGGATTTGTTTGTTTGCACTTGATTGTCTCTTTCTCTGTATCAATTGCTGGGAAACTTTGACAGGAAGAATAAGCTGGATACTGAAGATGCGGTTAATTGTCAGTCTCAGATTGAAAGGTCAAAAAACAAGGTAAATCTGGAATGTCATTGAGAATAGCATCATTATAGTGATGAAATACGATTGATAACTTCACATAATTCGATGACATTGTTCCGCTCCCAGGCAATAGAATTTTGAAATATATACATTTAAATTTTGGAAGTGATGCCCATTCACTACTACTCTCCGATGTTTATAACTGTATATGATTTGGGATAACTATTTTATGTGTGTGAGCAGAGAGATGAAAGATTTTGAGATAACTTCTGGAACAAAATAATTAAATAAAAATGCTCTAGCATGCAGATTCTAGTATCAAAGACACGTATTATAAAGCCTTAGCTGGCAGAAAATTAAATAGGATAATTGCTCAAGCTACTACTATTTTCTAATTAAACCATGTATGTTAAGCTCTATTAGAAACCAAAAGGTTATTTGAGTGATTTTCATTTATTTATTTGTGATCATATGATGCTTAGTAGGATATCGAATTTACATATTATTTTTTAACCTTTGGGTGTTTGGTAAAAAAGGAAATTCGGTATGGTGGAACTGAAAGTGAGAATGAGAAAAAGTCGGAACCAACATCTTTATTGAACAAATATACTCCTCAAGCGACTTCCAAAAAAGTTGGGGCAAAGGTTGAGGTATGTTTCATGAATTTGGTTATGAACCAGCCTTTTCTGTTTATCCTGTACTCAGTATAATATGGCAAAATGAGGGCGAGGCGAGCTAACCACTTCTTTTCATTTAATAACAGCATCAGGCATCCAACTTCACTACTTCTAGACTGACGAAACTGTCTACCAGACTTAACTTTCTGAAGGAGCGTCGAAATCAAATTCAGCAACCACAGCCATCTCTCAGTAATAAGTCTCGAGTATCTGAAACTCATTCTGTATCAAACCCAGAAAAGGGCAGAGCTACGGACAGCACCCAGCCATCCCCGATTCCAGATAAAGGTTCAGGCAAAGAAACTTATTCGCTCCAAAATTCGGATAAAATGAGAAAATCAGATGGTCAGTCAACCCATCACCAAGATAAATGGAATCAAAATCAATCCTCGGAAAGAGGAAGGTCCGAAGGCTATCAGTCTTATAATGTGGATAAAGGTCGATGATTAGAACGCCAATTTTATGTTACGAAGAACAAATTCCAGATTATACAAGGCCATTGCAATCATCCAGCTTTCACGTGGCATTGCTTATGTCTTCCACAATGTTTTGAGCGGGTTTATAAAGCAGAGTCACAAGAGAAACTTCGTTTGATAAGGTTGACGCACGGGCCGATGTTTAAATCGAATGCCAAAAAAAAAAGTCCATTTTCCTTTAATTTAGGATGCTCAAGGCACAGTTCAACCTTCCCCCGTTAGATTAAGTGGAACTATCTATGATCTGAGCTGCTTATTTTTGCAGTCATAGTGACAGCACTGTGGTTTTGTAATCACATTACCGCATTGATAAATGCAGTATTGTTAGTTTCTCGGTACATAAATGCAGATTAACCTTTGACCCTAGCTTCCTCCGTGTGAGATCATCGAAGGCAAAATTCGGGGCTTGACTTCATGCTGCCTTGATTTGTGCTGTGGGGATGGTAACCATGACGCCATAATATTAAAAAAAATGATAAATTGCTCGAAGACATAAATTCAATTTAAGGCCCATTTAATTAAAAAATAAGTAATCATTAAATAATTTAAATATTTTATATAAAAATATTTATTTTGTATAAGTTATAATAATAAACAAGTTATTATTAGCTAGTTATTTTTAAATTTTATGATATATTTATTAATTTTTATTTTATAAAAAATATTTATTATTAAATTATTTTAAAATCGTATGGTATTTCTGTTTATCTCATATTTTTATAACATTCTCTCTCATTTACTGTATCAAATTATTTTTATAAACTATTCAAAGTAACTTTTTAAAATAATTAAAAATATATATTTTTAGATTTTGGTTAATTTTAAAAGTTTAAACAAACAATATACAAATCCACAAAATATTTTTTTCCAAAAAATAAGTAATTTTTTATAAAGTAATCTGAAACTAACAAGAGTTATACTCCTTCCAACTCTATAAAATAAAAAAAAATGATTATTTTTTGTTATGGTTATAAATTATATCATTAAATTTTTATTATAAGTTTTTTAATCTCTATTAAATATTGATGAGAAGTACATTATAAATATATATATATATATATATAATTGAATAGAAAAAAAGTTAGAAACGCATTAAACTTCTGAACATATTTAATATATTTAAAAATATATTAAGTGGGGAGTGACTTGTAGATAAGAGAGAAAGGGTATCAATTTTGTTGGAAAAAAGAAAAGAAATTATATCAATTACAACTTGAACATTCTTAAAAGAATTCCAAGTTCGCCATCATCCAGTCAGTAATCCTTTTTAATCCTAATCAAAATTCCTTGAATAACTTCCTCACTCGTTCGAGGGTCACGTATAGACCACAGTAAATGGTCCCTCCCTTGAAATTGTAGGAACCAATCCCTATATAGAGGATTTTTTTACCAATACATTATAAACAGTAAAAAAAATTGCCTAGAATTTATTCAAATATTATGTCAAAAATCATTCAAATCGGAAACGTAAAGGACTCGTTCAAATCAACAATAATTTTATAATTAGAGATTATTTTTTTTTTGTAGAAATTGAAATCATTCATTCAACTTTTTTTTTTAATTGAAAAGACTTAATATTCCTTGCAATATCCTGCGAGAATCTCCTGCTTTCCCTTTCGTGTTCTACTTGTAATGTTCCAATGTAATTCATTTGTCAAATCCCTACCCATGTGCCTTTCTCAATCATGTCATCACGTGAAGCTTGTAGAGAATTGGCTATAGAATTGTTTCAAAGCATGATAACACATGTGGCAAGGCAGCAATAGATTCTTAACTCCATTGACAAGTGTAGATTTGCATATAAATACTTGTGAGATAAAAATTGATGGTTAATGTTGAATTACAATCAATGAATAATTGAGTTAAAATCTAATATTTTATTATTTATTTTAGGTTAATATAATGGAGAAATTATATATGCTAATGATTAATCCTCGTGTACTCATAGCATTAGTTATTGAGATAAGGTTGCTCAAAATTAATACAACATCTTACTTGTAATAAAAGAACGATGATTTAACAAGAGCTCTTAATTTACTTTATCAAGAATTAAGTTACCTCATTCATAAATTTCTTGGGATAGATTGAGCAAGTGTTGTGGTCACTAGTTTACCCAACTACCAATTGAAAATAAAAATATAAGGAAACAAGAGCCTTAAAATTTTAACAAACCTCATTACATGCCAATCTCATTATTACCATGACCCTCTTTCACTTCTCTCAATTTTATTCAATTCGAATCTCGTTACATGTCATTCTCATTATCATCCCTTTTCAACTTATCCATTCCTTCTCAATTTAGATCATTCATGTGTTTGTTTGATAATCTCGCACTATTTTCGATTGAATACAATACTTTTATTTTTGAATATAGTCAACCATCAAATGAAGCATACGCCACCTCTCGATAGTCAATTTTTTTAATTGAATTACCTTGATTTGATTTAAATCTACTGACTATATATATATATATATATAGATAAATGAAACACTTAAATCTCAACAAGAGAGAAACATACAACAACGACAATGACCACAACATATAAGAAGAACAAAATGTGATATTGAAAGTCACTACTCGTGAGGTAAATTAATTTTCATTTTTTATTCATATAACTTAATCATTCATTATTAATTTTCATAAACCTAAAAATTATTTATTTATTATTAATAATTTTTAATTTAAGAAATTTTACATATTAGTAATATTATGTAATTATTAATACTTTCCTTTTCAATTATTTACTTATCATTTTTTATTCAAATGATTACTAAATCATTAGACAAACCATTCATTTTATTTGTAAGAGTAAAGAATGCATTGGAGATGAAGTTTAGAAATCATCCATGCCAAGAATAATTGTAAGTCTTTGGAGTATATATTGAAGAAATTATTTATAGTGTCATTAAATTTGTAAATTGTTCAATGCAAAAACTATTTTGGGTGTAGCATTTTAAAAAATAATTCGTAAAGTATAGTATTTTGGTTCCTTTTTTTCCTACAGTATCTTTATTAAAAAAAAAAACCCTAGATAAAGCCATAGGCACTTTAGCATTCAACGTCTTGAATGCACAATCCAAGGCTTCATTATACGGCGGGATTGCCTCCACAATCATGTTCAACACCCTCGTCCTTATCACATCCACCGGATTGGATGCCACCGCCACCACAAAATCCTGCTGCAAAACTTGCGTGACGTTGGTCCCGAGGCCGTCCTTCATCAACTCCTTTCCAGAATCATCTCCTTCAATTCATCATAAGAAGCCAATTAAGAGGCTGTCATGGTCATTGCACGGCTCACTGTAAGAGCCGAATACCGCCACAAGCTAGTAATCCCTTCCTAACTCGCTATGCGCGCAATTGCTTCGAACATGCATTTTTAGCCGCGCTGCTGAGTCGTCGGAAGCCGACCATTGGCTTGCATCCGGACCATAGCCACATCAACAGGATTTCTAATGGCTGCACCAATCCCAACCGGCGATTAGCCCCGTCGCTAACTTTCAGGTCAGGAGATCTTACCCATATCTGGATCGGCCCACTTATGCTTGAGCACATTGTATGGATCCATACGGATAGTGGAATAGAGTGTTTGGCGGAGCACTGTGGCGGATACACCAGAAAACAGGGCAGTCATGCCTTCGAGTTGTTCAATCCATACACCAACCTATATGAGTCCAGCACGAGGTTGAAGACAGAGCGTGGCCGGAGAATGTGAGTGAAACGCAAGAGTTGGCCGCAGATTCTGTATTAGCTGAGGTTTCACAAAAACAGATTGTTTCTCGCCCTGAAGCTTCATGCGAACTTTGATCAGATCGAGTGGATGAGTTGCACAGCCGACAACAGTGGAAGCAAGCTGCCTTCAACAAATCCTTTGAGACCCATGGCAAGGGATATAAATGTGTTGACGCTCTAACGGGAAAGACTTGAAATTTGATAGAATTCTGTTCAAAATCAGATCCTGCTTCGTGAGATCTGATTCGCGAACAGAGAATGACAAAACGTGTCATGTTTTGGGATTCATAAGGAAAGGAACGGGCATTGGGTTTAAGATGCGGGGTGGAGAAAGAGCTTTGGAGTGTGTAAGGTGAACTGTTAAAGTTTCCTGCTTTTTAAAGACGAATAGGCAGTGCCAAGCCAATATAGTACATGTTATAAAATTAGGGCAACGCCAATTTTTTTTTTTTTTGAAAAAAACAATTAAATAATCAATACACGTAATTGTAAAGTAATGGTTTAATAGGGCATCGACATCGAGTGGTATGGTCAGTAATTTGGGCAAGCCGAATTCATTCAAACCCAACTCAATTTAAGTTGAACTTATTCAAGTAGGTTTAAAATATGTGAATTCATGAAAAAAACTTATATAGTCAATTTAAGCCATCACACTTTCAGGCTTCAAATTTGTCCAGACCAACTCAAATACCTGAAACCTTTTTTCATTCATTTTTAAATTTTTTGAGCTGATTTTAATTTTTAAATGAAAAGTTAAGATTTCAAAAAAAAAAAAGTAACACAACAGCATGCTACAAAATAAACAAGATAAATAATATAAATTAAACAATGTTGACAGCAAAGTGATTATGGGCACGTTTAAGATTAAAAAAAATAAGCGATCTTTAGATATTTTGAGATTTTATAAAAAGATATTTATTTTAGAGAGATTTTATAAAAAGCATACATTTATTTTATATTTGATTACAATAATTAAAAAGTGATTATTAATTAGTTATTTTTAAATTTTATGATATCTTCCTTCATTTTTGTTTTTTAAAAATAATTTATTATTATATTATTTTAAAATTTTATTAAATTTTCGCGTGTCCCGCCTTTTTAAAGTAATCTCTTTAATCTATCACATTAAATTATTTTTAAAAACTACTCAAAATAGCATCTTAAAATAATCAAAAATTTATTTTTTAGTTCTAATTATTTTCATAATTTTAAACAAATATCAGAAAAACTTACAAAATACTTTTTTGAAAAAATAAATATTTTTTTATCAAATAAGCTAGAACAAACGGCCGTATATTAATATGTTGTTACAGGATGAAAAGCAAGTTTGAACCTTAGCACAGTCCGGTCTTTTCTTTAGTTCTTTTCTTGTCTATAGCTACCACCTACAAGCAAGTCCTTTGTATTAAAAAAACATGATTTTGGATCCTTATATTTTGCTCAAATTTTGCTATAAATTCTGTACTTTTTTTCAATGCTCTAGTTCTATACATTTGTTTTTTGATATTCTAAGTCCTTCCATGAACGATGTTTTTATGACCTAGAATATAAAAAAATTAAAGTGTAAAGACTTATAATATTAAAAAAAGTACAAAAACTTATAACAAAACTCAAGCAAAGTACAGGGATTTAAAATTATATTTTCTCTAAAAAATGAATGCAACAACAAATGCATACATATAGTGATGCACAAAAAAAATCATAAAAAAATTGAAAGTGTCTCCCCAGATTCGCAATAATGGAGATGAAGAAGAATGAAGGTTGAGGAAATGGAGATGGATTTGAAAATTTGGATGACGCATAGGCATTGTCAAGCGAACTAGAGTAGGTTTGGCTGGGAGAGGTCGAGGCTAATGAGCGAAGAAGAAAGAAGAAGAAGAAGAAGAAGAATGATTGAGCCTAGATCTGAAGGAAAGTCACGTCATTGAGCAAGAAGAAGAAGAATGAAGGTAGAGGCAAAAAGTGGCTATGAATATGTGATGTGAGCGAAGAAGCGAAGAGCAACATTGAAGTAGTGATGCGGGTGTTGGAATGAGTTTAAATATGAAGAAAGGTTCTTAGGCCCTTGCCTTTTCATTAACCTTTTTTAATAAAAAAGTAAATAGGCATTCAACCTTATTCAATCAGCCTAAATATCCAAAGTATAAGAAATTTTTTCAACCTTTAAGCTTAGTTTTAAAATTTTTCAAACTTATTCGAACTAACATGTCGAGTTTGGCTCAAATAATTGACTCTTGTTCAAGATTACAAGTAGTATTGGTCCCATTATGCTTGGCTTGGGTTTGCCTCCTAATAGATTTTTTATTTTTTTTTACAGAGAGGATAAAAAACAAATCTTTTTTGGTAGAAGATAAAAAAACAAATTTAATTCATAAAAATAATGTTTTAAAAATTGGATTGGATTAACCGATTAAACTGGTCACCATTCACTAGTCTAGTTCACTTGGTGCATGTGAAATAGGGGAGAATTGAACCAGTCTACAACCAGTAAATCGGTTAAAGAATCAAGAAAATAAAAAAAAGTGATGGTTTGGCCAGTTCACAATTTATTATTTTTTCCTTCTCTAGACATCAAAATGAGATCTCTTTGAATTTCTTTTTTAAATTTTATAATTTTATTACTAAAATGTTATCCTAGCTCTTATTCTCTTCAGTCAGTCGAATGAAAATCTAAGCTCACCCCCTCTTTAAACGAACAATGAACACACCTTTGAGCTTGCCACGCCTATCAATTGCATTTTTCATTTCATCTCTAAGTCCTTCATCTCCAGCTTGAACATGTCTCATCTCTAAAGTTTGAACACCTCTTTCAGTCTATGTTCTCTATTGTCATCTTCCCCAAGGTAGAGTACTCAAGTTTAATGTACGCATCTCTAATTCTCTTCATTTCTTTCTTAAGGCTTCCCTTTTCGATCATTATATGGAAGATTACATTTGAATCATTAAACTTTCAAATTGCCTTAGCTTACCCTAAATTTTTTTTGAAAGTGTTACTTAAGTCTTGAATTGCATGTTTATTCTTTCATTTAAGCATAAAATCAATCATCCTTATCTTGTCTTTACACATACATAAATGTTTGCTTGTAGCCTTGTACAGAGTCCATGCTTTCATTTTTATGGTTGATTATTTATATTTTTGTGAATTTAACTATTGTTTGTTTAAATTTAAATTTTCAATTTAAGATGATAGATATTGGTGGCCTTGAGAAGGATGACACTCCTACAACTATACTCAATCCCACACCTATTTCAAATACCCCTACTACTCATAATTCTAATGCTATAGGAGGAATTGATATTGGTAGTTTAACAGAGAAACAATTAACAACTAGCTCTACCTATAGGAAGATAGATCTTGCTTGAGAACATGTAGCCTTGAAAAAAGAGGAGGATACTATTGTTTATACATGTTTGTATTGTTTAAGTGAATATAGAGGAAGTGGCATAAATAGATTGAAGTAGCATCTAGCCGATGTAAGTGGTCAAGTTGTCTCCTATAAAAACATTCCTCATGATGTACGCCATCGAATGATAAAACCTTTAAAGGAGAGGTTTCAAGAAACAAGGAAGTTAAAAGATATTGAGGAAAAGTATGGTCATATTGATGACTTACAAGAAGTAATGGATGCAAATTCAAATCCTTTACATACCGCTCTTTCAACTCCAACTAAAAAGAAGGTTTATACAAGTGGTGCAAAGAGATAAGTTTTTAGTGTAGCTGACAATTATTTTTCCTTTATAACAACTCATGGTGCATAACTAAGTATTAAAAGTGTTTTGTCAACTAAACAAGCACAACACAAAGCAAAAATAGCTATTTTTGAGCAGTTTGTTATCAATTTTATTCCTTGCAATACATTAAATTGATCATTCTTTCAAAAAGCTATAAATGTAATTGCTATTATTAGACATAGATTCAAAGGCCCTACTGCTTATGTTACAAGAGTAAATTTATTGAGGGATTCGAAAAGGGAATGTTAATTAATTGTTGATAGTTATCGAAGTAGATGGGATAGTAATGGTTGCACATTAATGGATGATGGTTGGATTGATGTTAGATAGCATACACTGATAAACTTTTTAGTTCATTCTATTAAAGGTATGTGTTTATGAAGTTTATTAATACTTCAGATCTAGTCAAAGATGCAAGATATTGTTTCAATTGTCCAATGAAGTGATAAAGTGGATTAGCCCTAAAAATATTATTCATGCAGTGATTGATAATGCAACTAACTATGTAGCATGTGGTTGGCTAATTCATGATAAAAACAATCATAATTATTGGTCACTCCGTGCTACACATTGCTTGAATCTCATCTTAAAGGACATTATAAGTTTGTCTAATGTGTTAAACCTTGCATGTAAGGCATCAAAGGTTACCATTTTTTTGTGTATGATCATACTGTCTTCTTGTCATGGCTTAGAAAAAGACACGGTTGAAGGAAGATTGTGCTTTTAGGAGCAACTAGATTTGCTACCACATTCATTACTTTATGAAGTACACATAAGCACAAGAACGACTTGCAAGCTTTGGTGGTTGATAGGCATTTTGTTGATCACAAGTTATCGAAGATTGTAGCAATACAAGATTTTGCTAGCATTGTCTTGGATAATGGATTTTGGAATAAGTGTTACAACATTATGGCACTTGTTTATTCCCTCATTAGGTTGCTAAAAATTGTTGATGGATATGAAAAATCTTCTTTTGGTTATGTCTATAAAGGCATGATGAGGGTGAAATATGGAATCAAAAGTATTTGTAATAACAATCATCATAAGTATAAGCCTTCCATAAACATCTTTAAAGCTCGATGGGATAAGAACTTGAAGACTAGTCTTCATACAGTAGCATATTTTTTGAATCTTGCAGCATTCATGTATGACCCGTCTTTTCATCTCAAAATAAAAATCATAAATGGTATAGTTGATTTGCTTGGGGTGTATGGCTCTAATGATTATGTTCAATTGTGGGAGCAATTGAGTTCGTACAAAAATTGTGATGAATCTTCTACTCATAATCACTTAGGTTAAGCAACAAAAAAATTAACACCTTGTAAGTTTTATACTTTTATTGCTTTAATTATTAATTATTATTTGAAATGATAAATAAAAAGCTACATTTTTAATTGTTTTTGTTGCAAATGAATTGTGGTCATGTGTTGAAAGTGATACTCCACAATTGCAACAAGTTACCATCCATATTCTTTGCCAAACTTCATTGTCTTTAAGATGTGAGTGCAATTGGAGCTTGTTTGAACATATTCACATAAAAAAAAGAAACATATTAGATCATCAATGCCTAAATGATATAGGTTTCACTAATTACAAGTTGTGGTTATAGCAGAGGTAGTTATATTTAAATGATATAGTTTTAATTTATGTTTAGTTGAAAATTAAATAATACATAGTTTCTTTCATGTTTACTTAATAAGTCATAGTTGAAGAAGAAAAATTATTATTCCATTAATTATGCATCTATTAACAAACTTGACTTTTGGATAGTGGAAGAACAATATGCTTTTGAGCTTAATGAAGTAGATTGTGATGCTTTGCTGTGACAAGAGAATCCACAACCTCTCACTATCAGGGATAATAAAGGTTTATATGTTTTATTTTTATTTGACATGTTATTATCCTATAATTATTTTTGAGAGAAATGATAGTTAAGAACTTAAGATTAATTTCTTTTATTTGTAATAGGTGATGAACATATGAATGTTACAACTTCTTCACCTTTGATTGATGATGTTGGACTTGGAGCTCAATCTACATTTGTTGGACTTGGAGCTCAATATACACCTACTAGAGTTGAAGTTTAATCTACTCCTCAAGTTGCTATCATCTAGGATTTCCCTTCTAATATAGTTACTAATAACATAACAACTAAAGATCTTTTAAGTTGAATGAGTTTTATGGTAATGACTAATGTTTGGATTTGTCAATTTGGATATGTGTGGCCATGGTTTAATGGTTTTCACTTTGGTCTAAGGAAGAATGCAATAATCATGTATTAAACTCATGTATAAAGATATTGGATGATTTTCCCTTCAATGTTGGATTGTGATATTATGGATTTGATGTTAATATTTGTGATTTTTTATTTTTAAATGACTTTTTTATGCTAATATATGAATTTAATTAGTAATTTTTAAATGTATATTATTTAAAATATATTAATTTATTATTGATTGGTTCGAACATTAAATTGTGAATCACTATTCAGACTTTCGATTTTTAAAACTTTACATAAAAAGCATGGGACAAGAGGCTCCATTCATTTTTTGTACTCCTGGATTCCGAGATATTGAACAATATCGAAGCGCTAGAAAGAAAATAAGACAACATAAAAACTTATTAGATCAGCCCAATGCATTGTAACTGAGACAAATTAAACAAAGAAAATTTTAAATTAAGATATCCAAATTACATGATGTGATGGCGGTAATAAAATCTACAATTTTACGAATAGCTCCAAGAAAACCTCTACTCTCTCCTTCAAAGGTACGGAAATATACGAGAGTTGAATATCATCTGCAGAAAGTGAGATCCCCGACCACGACATACAACAAAAAATACTTGATTAAAAATTGGAAATTCAAAAATAAAAAAAGTCATCCAACAGCTTAATAGACTCAGCTGATGAAACAAAGCCAAGTTTACAAATCAACACAGAAGGATCAAACTTCGCGATGATACTCTCGCATTGATAAAGATAAGATCTCTCCTTCAACATTTCCCAGAGCCACCACGCTTATTCACCATCAACTTTTTTAGCCACCAGGTCAGACCGGCCGGGGCAAACAGCAAAGTTATAAATACCAAGAATTTAAATATAGCAAATAGCTAGCCAGCTAGTTACAGAGTTCACGGGCTATTCCAACCTTATTATTGACAGTATCAAACAAAATCCTAAGGTTCTGCTGCTGCAAATTGGCTATCACATTCAACACCGAGTTCACATTATTGGGTGACGCCGCCATAGCCAAGCAGGCTAGCGACCCCGAACTGCTATGTACGAAGCTGTTCTCCAATGGCAATTTCAGCTCCAACCCTGAGAAATGTAATGTAATGGTGGGAGCCAATGTCTCGTAGCTCTTCACGAAGCAAGTGTCAAATGCCCCCAAGCTCGAAAAAGGACCTTTCACCTGTCTTCTGAACTCGTCCCTGATTGCACCGTACACTGGTTCCACGAATCGGGTAATCACCGTACCTGAATCTATAATCGTTCCAGCTCCGGTGTTAGGGTTGAAACTCAGGAGCTCGCTAGGTAAACCGACGTGGACCCGACCCACGCTGACACCGGTCAGGTTCACGTAGTACAGAGACGGCCGGCGGGGATTACGCAATAGTGGGGTGGTACGGATGCGTTTGGGTTGACCTCTGGGTCCTAACTTCAACGACCCTGAGAAGAAATATGACTTGAAACTGGGAAGGCAGTAGGAGAATACTCCTCTGTAGAGTGATCCGGCCGATTGCGAAAATAACGACAAGGGTCCCCGACCCAGACCCAGCAGCCCTTGGGAGGGGAGTGGACCGCCGGCGACGTTATTGACGCAGCCGAAAGCATAATTGGGGATGATATCAGATGCTAGTCCGAGAGAGTCTTGGACCAGCGTGGCGGAGAACGACGAACCAGCGTAGGAATGGTTAAACGAACACGGGTCAGATCCCGCGTCGGGGCACGAGAATCCACGGACCTGGCTGCACTGGGGAACGGAGCAATCCAATGACCTGTATGTTGCAGAAGCTTTGGGTGAAAAAGTGACGGCGGCGGAGCAGCCCGTACAACCGGAGCATGGGACCCAGGCCTCATCACTACTAGTATCCAGGACCATGAACATGAGCTGGCCGGGAGTGCCGAGCTTGACCCGGACGACGTAGTTACCGATATTGAAAGCGAGGCCGGAGGCGATAGGGACAGACGTGGAGCGCTTCTTAGGCAGAAGGGAAGATAAGTAGTGGAGGCGTTGGGAGTCCGTGGATGCCATGATCATGAGAGTGTCGAGCCATGAGCGAGCGCTGGGAAGCTGGAAGGGAGAGCATTTGGAGTAAATGGGAATGAGGGCGACGTCCAAGTGGAGGGGTTCAGAAGCACAGTGGTCTAAAGCAATGGCGTTGGTGAAGGCGAGGAGCTGAATTGTTGCAGAGAAGAGGATGAATGTGATTGACAACTTGGCGTCCATATTTATGGAACTTGACGCCTGGACTGTGTATGCATGCATGGCGCTGGCGAGCTCCCTTTGATATATATATATATATACACGCCAGCGCCGGACTTTCTGGGGATTGAAAATCAGTGCTCATCAGAGATGAGGTTGGTACTATTTAGATTTTAATCGTTACAATTTTTATAATTTTTTATTTTAAATTTGCACTTTAGATTTAATTTGATGGGTGTAATTTAATATTAAAATTTTTATAATTATTTTATATTAACTATTTAAATATACTCTGCACAGTTTAAATTAATATCAGATTAAATTTGAATTGTGTAGAATACATTAAACCATTAAAATTAAATTTAGGCCAAATTTAAAATAAAAAACTTATTAAAATTATTTTATAATTTTTATTTTAAAAAATATATCATAATACTTTAAATTTAAATTATTTAAATTTAATTTGAATGGTCCAAATTTTATGATAGTGATGAGCATGGGCTTGATTTTTTGGGGATCCATCTTTGATAATGGTCATCACCCAAAAAAAATATAGGCTATTCAGATTTAATATGGATTGCCTAGGTTTTTAAAATTTTAATCTTATTAAAATAAAAATTTATAATTTTTTTAATAAATATATTTATCATTAATTGGATAGTATTGATCTAATTTGCATCATCCGATTTAATCTTATAATTTTTATAAATTAACTATCTGCTTCCTCCGTTTAAAACTATAAAATATTTTTAACCGAATCTCACCTCAATAAAGTAATTACTTACTTTCAAACTAACCCTATCTTTTTATATTTACCCATATTAAATACCCTATAATAAATATAAAGTCATAATCAATATGGGTACTTTTAAAAAAAGACAATGATTACACCTCAAAAGATTAAAAATGCTTTATATTTATTAATATCCAACTTCTCAAAAAATGCCTTATATTTTTTTAATGGAGGGAGTATATATATTCTGAATATTTTAAATTTAATATTAAATTTTTATTTGTATGGTTCGAATTTCAAACCTTTATTTTTTTTAATTTTATATTTATTAAAATAGAAAAATTATTTAAAATTTAATATTAAATTTGCATTATTCAAATTACATCTAGGTAATTAATTTATAAAATTTACAATGTTAAATTATATCACTCAAATTAAATAAATACTGTTTAAATTAATGATGAACACACACACACATATATAAATTTTTATTTTTATAATTATAAAATTAAAATTAAGATTAAAATAATTTGAATGGTTGAGATTTTTTTTTTTTTTTTTTTGGTGATGAGCTCCACCGAAGACGGATCACTTTATGGGGCTTACTGTTTTTTTTTTTTTTTCCCAAAAAACTTGTACAGGTGTGTCACGTGTGAGAGAGAGACAGTCCCATCCCAGGCAGCTGTTTATCTCTCTCAAGAGAGACTAATGATTTTCTCATTCGTAGTTGTCTACAGTCTACACTCTACGTTTCCAGTTGTTTAAATTACACAACCATCCCTCAAATAGATTTTCCGTTACTTAAATTACTAACGTGGTGCAAATTTAATTAGGGTCATCTGCCTCCTAATAACATTAATAAATATAATCCAATTTAAACAAAAATGCCAAAAAAAAAAAGTTGTAAACATCAGTATTATACAAATGATAAAGTATAATTTAAGGATATTTTCTCTTGTTCACTGTTTATTCTGATTGCTTTCAGGAGATGAGATTTCAGGTGTTTAACGCATCCAGGTGTTGGAATCATGGGAAGTTCGGAGTCGCAGGAGAAATGAACTGTAAAATAGGATAGTTAGTGTTGGATGGAGGGGATTGACAGGCTATAATACCTCGACTAAAATTCTAACATAAGTAGTTTGTGGAATAACTAAATCTGTTAAATATCTATCATTACAATCTTAAATTTTGAATTTTATCACAATTAAGGTGTCATTTGGTTACTAAAAATGTTGAGAATGAAATAGATTAAAAAAATTAAAATAAAAAATAACTAAATTTCTTCTTTTACTCATGACAAATATAATACTAACTCATTATTATATATTACAAATGTGAGAGTTATCATACTTTTAAAAAATTTTATAAATTATAATTTTTAATCTCATAAATTAAATTATATTTATTTTTTATTAACGTGATTTACTTACCCTTTTTAATTATTTTATTTTTATTTTTATTTTTTTATTTAATTTCATAGTATGCATTTTTAGCAATCAAATGGCACCAAAATCTTTGGCTCACTCCTGCCAAGATATTTTGTTCGATGGATAGTCCGAACAGGACACGCGGTCGTTCACGGGCTCTCCAAGACATTTAATTCGTGTTGCTAAAAAGCCAATCTTGGTCCCACATTTCTAATTCCGATTGCCGTTTATCAACCTGCAAAGGAGCAGAGAAATCTACACAGCTTTCAGCGTCTCAGGTCCAGAGGATGAAGCAAGCACTGGTCTGTCCTATCGTCTCAACAGCCCTCTTTCACGCTTCCATGTTCAAGGGCATATTCACTGGTGGAGTTTTACTTATAGCTAAGAATCCAAAGCTCATTATCTGTTTCCTCACACTAGGCAAAAAGGAGAGATCACGGAAATTCATTCATTTGATTGATCATTTCGTATACGCTCCAGAGAGTCCCCACCAACACCATGGCCCCATTGCACTTTTATTATTATCATACACGAACTGTTAAATTAGGTAGTGTTTTCATTGACAAAAGTGAAAGTGCTGAAAAGGGAAAACGGAAGACTAACCCAGGATGGAGAGAAAAGGAAGGAAACACCAAAGAAAAAAAAAACGAGGATAAACTGGCAAGGAAAATCGATTCTCCGGAAATTGGATTAAATAATAATAAAAAAATGGGAAGGAAAAAAAAAGTCATTATCCTCATGCTTTCTTGCTTTCTTCTAAAGCTTTACCTTCCAAAGCGGAGAATTTTCTCTCTTTCGAAAAACGTTTTTCAAAATTTCTCTATAGAAAAGAAAGAAATGAAACTTGTATAATTTATTTTTCATCTAGGTATTATTATCATTGTGAAATTCCCTATGGTTTAACTTGTCCATCTAAACAAGAAAAAAGCATTTTCGTCCACTTTCCTATTTTTTCACCTTTAAGCTTTCTTCCTCAAAATAAAGCATCCAAGATAATCGCGCTCCTTCAATGTTCTTAATTATCTTCATATTTTTCTTTTATATATCTCCCTTCCCGTACAAGAAAATTATGTTCACCTACAGCCATGAATTTTACAAGTTCCCGCATCACACAAAAGAACATATTGAAACACATAACATTAATAAATAAACCAAGTATGAATAATCAAGAGTGGGAAAGTAGAACAGGTCGACCGAGGCAAGCAATACTTGAATCCATATAAGCCTTTCTGCGACAAAATTATATGCGAAAGACGAAAGCATTACTCCCTCTATTTTAGCTATAAAAATATCACCCTCTTATTAATGTACAACAATGCAAAGGAACGCGTGAGGTTTGATTCAGAGACGATGGAAATCAGACTTTTTCTTGAATCACTGCAAAGTGATAATAGCATGGACGAAGCACCCTTCACTGCAACAACTTCACACCACATCAAAGTGGCCATAGTCCACAAAATGTGAAAACACATGGCTGTAGAACCTGCATCAGCAGTAGACAACTAGCAGACAGAAGCATTGGAACTGAGCTACACACAGGTTCCGTTAAACACAAAATCCCGAGCATGAAAAGGCTTGAGGTCCGACCAAATGAATGCATAATTAGAGATGCACCACTAACAACTGAAATACAGCAACCCACACCCAGAACATGGAATCAAATTGTTTCAAAATATTGTCACCTTGCAAACTGTATGTGGCAATAATGCCTTGTGCTGTAACAACAGAGAGTTCCAGAAAAAATTCAGAGACAAAAGCAGAAATCTGTAAGGTTAAGGGAAGTAACTGAAGTTTTAAAAGCATCTGAGAACAAGAAAATGAATAACATGCAAGCACCAATTATAGAAAATAGCTAGAAAAACTCCTCAGACCTCTCTATATCTCCTAGCCTCATACTTCAATTTGATAAATTCATATATGTTTTCCCATAATCTATCAATTAAAAGATAATTTACAGAGCTCCTCAAGAATATTCCAATTAATTTAAAGTTGCACTCCAACTTCAATAACTTGTTTGGGCTGCCAGCAGTGAAACTTAATGCCAAGCATCCGTGTCTTCTTTCATTTACATGGGTTTTTATGGTGAATGCTACTCCCTTCGGTCCCTTTCTATAAGTGATGAATAACCGGATCATGTAGATAAAATATACGGTTAAAATTGGCTAAATGCAATAAATATGTTAAAAATGCAAATTATTTTTTCAAAAATACCCATATTTACAGAATTGGATGGTGGCTTATAACAACTGATGTCCTTAATACACAAACAATTCATGAGGACAAAATATGAAAATGCTAATAAATATTTCAGGCAAGAAGTTGGAGTCTCTTGTAAAAAGGACCAAGAGAACCCTTCTAAGTGTCTCTTATAAAAATGACCAGAGGAAGGGATAGCCAGACTCAACTATTAGGTGCAAGGTAAGGGTTGAAGGTCATTAACTCAGAAAAGCAAAAGAGCAATGCCAAATTTACCGAGGCCTATGAAAATGGTAATGGCACAAACCAATAACAGCCAGGTCTAGAAATCAAATTGTCACAATAATTAGATTTGGCGACAAACATAAAAGAGATGGATCGCTCAGATTCTTGTGCCCAAAACTATAGCTTATTTTTTCCCACAACCCAAACATTTCAAGGGAATGACCGAATCATACATCTAAAATGCTGCCAGAGCTTCTCATAATGCATAGTTAGAAGTAATACCTAGTTTGTCTTGTTGGCAGTATCCTTCTCCTTTGTAATAATAACAGGACATTGAGCATGGTGGGTGCAGTAGTTGCTAACGCTTCCCAGGAACATCCTGTAACAGAAATAATACTTACTTATGGCATGTCAAGAAACCATGTTTATGCAGTTAACAAGTGAACGATTCATGAGTTTTCTGACTTTTAATGGTTTATCCTTTTAATTCCAAAAAAATCATGGTAATTAATCACAAATCAAATTTTGTAATACTGGAAGAAACCAAGAAAAAATTGAAGAACGGCAATGGGTTCATCAACACAGCATCCACATATCAAGAAAGTTATTAAAAATAGTTTTTACTACTAAAGATGAAGTGTACAAATGAGCAGGCAACGTATCCTCGAAAAGAAATAACAGAAAGATCACCGCTCAATAAAAAATATAAGGGATTTTTAACCAAATATCACCACTTAATAAAGTAGTTACCTACTTTCAAACCAACTCTATTTTTTCATATTTACCCCTATTAAATACTGTATAATAAATATAAAGTCATTATCAACAAGGGCACTTTTAAAAAAAGGCAATAATTATACCTCGAAAGACTAAAAATGCTTTACATTTTTTAATGGAAGGAGTACATGATTATATTCCAACTTTCAAGTAACAAAAGGACTTGAGAAGAAGTCAAACAAACAATCGCACACTAAACAAAATGAAAAGATCCTTCATTTTAATAGTAATTGCACATCTACACCATAATTGCATCACAAACTGATCATTTAAGTGGTTGGATATTTTTCGAAAAACAAAAGGCTGGAATTTTTTAAGACTAGTTTTTTGATACTACAACAACAACAACAACAACAAGCCTTTATCCTACTAGGTGAGGTTGGCTACATAGATTGCAAGACGTCATTGTGCTCTATCATTTATCAAACTTTTAAGAATATTATTAATTAAGAGATCGTGTTCAACAACTTCCAAAAGTGTTTTCTTAGGCCTTCCTCTACCCCTCTTAATCGGACTCAAAGTTATATGTTCCACTCTTCTCACTGGTGCCTCCCTTGGTCTTCTTTGCACATGCCCAAACCATCTCAACTGATGTTCTACCATTTTTTCCTCAATAGGTGCTACCCTCACTTTTTCGCGTACGTGCTCATTTCGAATTTTATCTTTACGTGTATGTCCGCACATCTATCGTAACATTCTCATCTTTGCTACTCCAACTTTATACTTTTACTGTCCCATTAGAGCCCAACATTCACTACTATTTAACATTGCTGGTCTGATAGTAGTGCGATAAAACTTTCCTTTAAGTTTATTAGGCACCTTACGGTCGCAAATAACTCCTTTAGCTTTTCTCCAATTAAACCACTCAGCTTGAATCCTATGTGAAATATCTCTACTGATTTCGCCATCATTTTGAATAATGGCTCCCAAATATTTAAACTTTTCCACTTAAGGTATAATTTGATCTCCCAATTTCACTTCCAAATTATTGTCGAATAGTCTCTTACCAAATTTACAATATAAATATTTCGTCTTACTCCTACTCAAACGGAAACCTCTCGACTCTAATATCCTCCTCCATAACTCAAGTTTGCAATTAACTTCTTCTCTTGTCTCTGCTATAAGAACTATATCATCCGCGAAGAACATACATTTGGGAATTTCCCCTTGAATATATTCTGTCAAAACATTTAGGATCAAGCTGAACAGATAAGGACTCAGAGATGATCCCTGATACAATCCAATCTTTATAGGAAAATCCTTTGTTTGACCACTAGGCGTTCTTATACTAGTTTTTACCCCCTCATACATATCTTGTATAACTTTAATATAAGCAATCTGTACTCCCTTTTTTTCCAACGCTTTCCAAAGCACTTCTCTTGGTATACGATCATAAGCTTTTTCCAAATCAATAAAAACCATGTGTAAATCTTTATCTTTACAACGATACTTTTCTATTAATCCCCTCAGTAGATAAATCACCTCTGTAGTTGATCTACCTGGCATAAAACCAAACTGATTCTCAAAAATACTTGTCTCCAATCTCAACCTGTGTTCAATTACTTTCTCCTACAATTTCATTGTGTGGCTCATGAGTTTAATCCCTCTATAGTTAGTACAATTCTGAATATCTCCTTTATTTTTATAAATAGGAATTAATATACTTTTCCTCCACTCATCAGGCATTTTCTTGGACCATAAGATCACATTAAATAATTTAATTAACCATCTCACCCCTTCTTCACCTAAACATTTCCACTCTTCGATAGATATACAATCAGGTCCGTTGGCTCTACCATTTGTCATTTTCTTAAGAGCTTCCTTTACCTCCTTATCACGTATTATTCGATAGAATGACAAATTTTGTTCTCCTTCACCAGTTACTAAATCCTTCAAATTACTAGATGAAACCTCTCCATCATTGAAAAGTTTGGAAAAGTAAGTCTCCCATCTATTTTTAATTTCATCATTTGTAACTAAAATTCTTTCCTCTTCATCCTTAATACACCTTACCTATTCTAAATCCCTTGATTTTCTTTCCCTACTCTTGGCAATCTTATAAATGTTTCGTTCTTCTTCCTTCGTCTCAAGGCTCTTATAAAATTCTTCAAAAGCTTTAGAACGAGCTTTACCCACAGCTAAGCTCCACAGCTCTCTTAATTTCTTTCTTAGCCATACGGTACCTCTCCTAATTTTCTTCATTGTTACACAAATGTATGGCTTTAAAACAGTTCTTCTTATACTTGATTTTGTCCTGTTCACTATTTTGATAACAAGACAAAATAAATTTTACTGGGACCACGAGAGGGGGAAAAAACTTCAGAGGATTACAAGTTATCCACCCAAAAGGCATTTAAGAACAGAGAGATTAAGAGGCTCAAAACGAGTGACTAGAACTGGAGTCCAACTAAATGTGAAAGCTCAAGATGCTAATTGCCGCGGAGGACTTAGAGAACTAGCAAAGCATCAGTATTGCCCGTCACTATTAAGCAAGAAAAGGGAAAAAACTTCAGGCATAGCTCTAGTTTAAGAGTCCTGCCTGGGAGCATCTTCCAAAAATTGTTGAAATTTCATGTTTTCAAACAAAACAGGAATGTCGAAAAGACAGTGAAAAAGACAGGACCGTTGAAAAGATCAGTGATGGAATGGACAGTGCACCAAATTGTACACATGCCAATACAAGATGGACTCTCAAACTTCGTATTACCTTCCAGAAACAATCAATAAAAACAGTGCATTCTATCTAGGATAATGTTACAGAAGGGGAAAAAATCATCGATGGTAGATTTTTTAGTATCACTGACAAAAAAAAAAAAAAAGATTTCAGTATCACTTTTCAGCTACTGTAAATTTTTTAGAACTAGTTAAAACTACCTCTTAATGGGGCCAAACGCACGAGAACCCATCACAAGCAAATTAGCATGCAAATTCTGGACAGCTTCACAAATTTTCTCCTTTGGGTCTCCTATAACCACATGGGTTTTGACATTCACCTGCACAAGTTTCGTAGACTAAATACTTTTCCACGAACGCCCCCCCCCCCAAAAAAAAAAACAGAAAAGAAAGAAAGAAAAAGAAAACGTATTTTGCGGATGTGGGAACATGAATCTTGGAAGGGATCAAAATAAAAAACAAACACTTAATTTGGAGCAAATCCCTAAAGCGTGATCCAGTATGGCATCGGTGATGCGCTTTTGGTGCGCTTCGATCGCTGCAGTGAACGCAGGCACTTCCAGGTCACCTAATCGATTCAGAAACCGGTTAAATCTTGGGCAATTAGGTCAAGCAAAACAAAGTTCGATCAAAATAGACAAGTAGCAAAAGGAGAATGAAACAAAAGGGGGAGAAAAGTGCACCGAACTGGGTCCGCCAAAAGGAATGGCACCGGGGTTAAGACCGGCGGCAATGGAGGGCGGAGATTGGACGTGGAGAATAACAAAAGTAGAATCGGATCCAGGCGATCGGAGCTTGAGATTGTTGAGGGCCCATCTCAATGCGCTCATACTCTCCTCGCTGCCATCGACGGCCACGACAACGCATCCCAGGTTTCCAGCCTCTGACATAGCTATTCGAATATCTATAGCTTGAGTTCGATTAAAGAACCGATGGTTCTTCTGTCCCTGTTCGTGACCGGCTGCGCCGACTGCTGTGATGCTAGCAAGTGCTAGATCCTCCGCTTTGTTAACTGTGGGGATGATACACATCTGTAACCAGTCAGCGATCGACGGAAAAATAAGACATATTTTAACAGATTTATTTTACTGTCCGGCGTTTTATATAGTACTATTTAAAAAATATTTTAAAAAAATAATATAACATTATTTTTTAAATTTATTATATATAAATATATTTATAATTTTATATATTTTTATTTTTTATATTTTTTTATATTAATATCAACGAGATCAATAAAATAATTTATAAATAAAATTAAATGAATATCAAACTAAAGTGGCCAAAAAAATAAAAGGGAAATTTGCGGAGAAACTCCTTTTAACTACAGGCATCAACTCTCCTGCTTGCTACCCTGGCCTCTGGTGTGCCCGGTCATCCAGCATTTCTTGGCACTATTAAAGTTCAAGGCTTTAACATAAAAAGATGTTTATTTAATGCTGATTTTAGTCATTTGTTCACTTAATAGTTAATAATTTCTTAAGTCTCAATTATTTTGTATTCCTTTCCTGTCTTAATTATAGAGTAAAATTAATTAATTTTACGATTTTCAAGGAGAGATGGTTGATACATTAAACTGATAAAAAAATGTGTGGTTTTCTAATTTTGTCTTTTACTGTAATTAATGACTTTATTATTATAAAATACTCCCTTTAGTCCTATCTATAATGTAGAGAGAAAATATTTTTTTAATTTTATTTATAAGCCATTTCATTAAATTTTTATCATAAATTTCTTTTTTTACCTTCTATTAAATGTTGGAGAGAGAAAATATGTTATTGAAATATATTTATTTAAAAATGAGTAAGGCTAGAAAGGAAAATTAATTAGGGAGAATTTCTAACAAAGACTAGGATGTGACATAATTATTAGTGAATTTTAAAAAATTTTAAAATTTTAATTTAATCTAAGGTATAAAGGTAAAAAATTGTAAAAAGATCAAAGTACTCTGCATTTTTCATGAAGAATTAATAATTGTTAGTTGTCTTGTTTCACTTGTTAATTTATTAGTATGAATTATAAATTAAATGAGTTGACATGTCAATAATTATATAAGATTTAACATCAATTGTTCAATCATAAGCAGCAACATCAGTTATTAAATTGCTAACTTTATTTGTTAATTTACTGATATTAGTTATAAATTACTAACAAGTCTTGTAATTTATTAATATCAGTTGTAAATTACTGACAGGTCTTATAATTTATAATTGATGTTAGTAAATTAACAAACAAAATTAGTAAATTAATAACTAATGTTATTGCTTGTCTGACAAATAGATGTAATTTACAAGTGATATTGATAAATTAATAAGTAAATTAAAAAAATTAACAACTATTAATTTCACATAATGAGTAAAGGGTATTTTGATCTTTTCATAATTAAAATTATTTTTAATTTTATCCTCTATACTAAACTAAAATTGCAAAAAATTTTAAATTTCATTAATAATTATGTCACATTCTTGATATTTATTTGAAATTCTCCCAATTAACAATCCCGTCTCTATGCTGTATACTTGACCTTATAATTAGTAGTGGAATAAGTACATTTCAACTGCAATTATCCTTGAAAGCTGTTGGAGATGCTTTTTTCAACTCATGATAGAGGATAGCAGAGTTAGCCAATGAATCTACATTATTTGCCTCCTGGGAACGATAAGGGGAGGAGGGGATGCCTAGCAGGCTAGCATGGCATTAACACTTCAATAGTGTAGAGATTGAGATACCACGCATAATTCGAGACCATGGATGGAGCCACAATGGAACCCACTAGAATCATCATCATTTTTCAATAGTTTGTTCTCTCCCATGCCCAACTCTAAACCTATCCCGTTTTTTTTTTTGCTCATTTTGGTGCTCATGATAAATAATGTTGATCAGAATTTTTTTTATTTTTTATTTTATTTTATAAAATAATAATTACAAATTTTAATAAAAATTATAAACATTATAATTTTAATAAATATATTCTATCATCAATATGAACAATGAAGATTTGATGTGGATGATTTAAATTAATAATAAATATTTTTATAATTTTTATAAATTGATTATATAGATATAATGTGGATAGTTTAGATTTAAAATTTTTAGAATTATAATTTTTTTTAATTTTTTTAAAGTGTCAATCTAAAGATTATATTTATTTTGTTTTTTAATGTTATATTTACTAAAGTAAAAAGTTATAAAAATTTTAAAAAAATAATATTAAATTAAAACTGTCCAAAATATATCTAAATAGTGAATTTATAAAAATTATTAAAAAAATTATTATTAAATTGGACCATGCAAAGCATTGTCCAAATTGATAATAAGATAAATTTATTAGAATTTTCTAATTTTTTATGATCTTTTTGGAAAGAAAAAATATTTATAATAAATATTCATTATAATTTTTTATAATAAATATAAAATAAAATAATAAAATAATTTTAAAACTTGGAGCAAATATAGATAGTCCAAATGCTCATCAAGTGATGAAACACAACTCTAAACCCAATAAACCAGATCCAACAATCCACAACTCCTTGTATTTACAATATCTTTTTTTCCCCTAATGGATACAAGATGGCTAGTCATAAGCTAGAAGGATAAAACAACATAAATGAAAAGAAAACTAGATAGCTTCATTAGGATAGTTCCCTACAGTCATAGCATAGAGCATTAACAGTACACTCTTCAGGAGGCTCTTGTAAGAACCGCATAGCCCTAGGGGAGTACTACACCAATTTAACTAAAGCATCAGCGCACATATTTGCTTCACGCGAGACGCAGGATATTGTGATGCTCAGATGTTTACAGATGGCATTCTGTACTTCTGAGATCTCCTCAAGGAAAGGATGGTCCATAGGTACTCCTCGGTAGATAAAATTTATAGGCTCTAATCAATCAGAAACAATCCATGCTTTGCTAGGTGCAACATTCTTGCAAACACCACCTCCAATAGCTTTAACTTCTGCCACTGTAACAGGTAAATTCCTCATGTTATACGTGAATCCTTGTAGCCAATCACCTTTGGAGTTTCTAGCTAGTCCCTCACACGCTGCATTATTTTGCATACTCCTTGAAGTATCCACATGTATCCAGGTTTCAATTTGCAGCGGGATAACCCAATTCTGAACAAAAGTAGCATCGTAGTGACTATTGATATTATCTAGATCACGTTCCTCCGTCAATGTCCTTCTGCAAGCTCGGATGATATTGTCTATGTTGTATCTAGTGCCTTCGAAAATTTCCTTCCACCTCATTGTCCATAACAGCTAGCATAGATCCCAAACACTTTGATCCATGGCCAGTTCTTGAAAAGATTCCCTCCAATTTGATGTGAGGAGTTCCATTTGATCCACACCTGTAAGTTACAAGAGAAGAAAATGTTATGAAAAGCAAAGTTAATATGTCTCTCCCAAAGTCGTTTGGCTCTCACACAGTTTCTCAAAATGTGTATAACACTCTTTTTACTCTCACACTCAAATGGACAATTTACATTTTGTGTTAGCCCTCACCTCGGTCTTAGGAGGTTACTAGGCAGTCTCTCAAGCAGGACCTTCCAGAGGAAAACTTTTAATTTTTCCAGTAAAGGCCATTTCCATAAACATTTCCACACTTGACTAATAGCTTCTAATGCTCTACCTTCGAGGAATTGGTAAGTAGACCGGACAGATAATCTACCATCACTAGCTGTTCTCCAGCAAAAACGATCATTCGGGCCATTGAGGTCAAGCTTAACAATTATGATTTTCTCTCCAATGTCATTAGAAAAATAATTTTCAGCTATTATCAATTTCATTGTCCATATGGATGAATGAAGTTATATAATAACGATCGACCTCCGTAGAATTTCATCTGAAAATTTTTTTTTTGTCTACATCAATGAAAAATGATTAACTTATGTTTAAATGTCAGCTAAATGATCAATATTTAAGGGATTTGATGAGTTGATCACTTTTGCATCAATTTTGATAATGTTATGAATATTTTTATCATTTTTCTCATTTGAGGCTATTGGATGTTTTTGGCTAATGACTTCATAAGTATTTTTGCCCTTTTTTAGTCTATATCAAAAAAGATTGAATGTAATAAGCACACTTAACGTTTAACACTAAATATTAACCACATTAGGGTAAAGTTAATGATTTAGTTACTTTTACACCAACTTTAATAATGTTATAAATATTTTTATTTTAGACTATTAGATGCCCTTAATCGACTACTTGATAGGTATTTTTACCTTTTTTATCTTTTTTGAATTGGGAGGTGTAATTAATAATTATAAACATATACATTCTATTATGTGCGCGAGATAGGATGGAAGTGTTATGTAATTTGTATATTCTATCAACGCATACATTGTCATTCATGCAATTACACAAGCAAAGTTCTATTTTATTAAATATTGGCAAAAACTAGGACAGACAATTATGGGATGCACACACATATTCTTCGGAAGATGGTGGCAGGTTTTATCAAGTTGCGGAGATAGACACCCACTTCATCTCTGTACCCTGATGCCACATTGCCACTTATTGTTCAGTGATCTCTTTGTCAATTTCACTGCTCGTTTACCACCCCCATCGTCCTTTTATTCGCATTTAATTACGGCTTCAATTCTCCTATTACGTATACTGTGTTTTAATGCACCCACCAGTAGAAAAGTGGGATCAACGCGTTAACATGAATTTACCTTCTTGTTTATATTATGAATGAATCGTTTGCCACCTTAATTATTTGCATTTATCTTCATGCATGCTTCAAGATCATTATGAGGTATATATATTGTTTAGTGTCACAAGATCATCACTCTCTTTCTAAAAAGCTCGTTTAGAGAGGTGTGCGGCGTACCTTTTTATATATGACTAGAACATTTTTGAAATCCTTCTAATATGAGTGTAACAACTCTTCCAACTAATATGTGACATCCACGTCACAAGTGACCTATTGATTAGGCAAATTTAGGTTTTACTCTAATACTACTTTGTCATGGAATCACTATTTTATTTTAAAAAAACTAATTTAGTGAGATATGCAGCACATTCATTTACATGGTCATTAAGACCCTCTTGAAATCTTTTTGATGTGGGACATGATATTAGGCACTTGATTATAACTTATAAGCATGGTCAGCACAGCCCCAAACAAGGGTTAAAGACATAACTAACATGGTTACATGAAGGCATGCATGCTTACACACTTGGGGGGTAATGGGGACTTTTTAGTGCCTATACAAAAAACCTAAAATTGGAAGGTTGAAACATTACATTTTGGGATATAACAATTTAATGCTAAAGGCCTCGCACTGGTCGTGCGTCTTGACACAAGGTAGACTTAATATGTTTTTAAAATTAAACATGATGTATAAATCTAACGTGAAAAAAAAATCCGAAAACTACCTACATTACTTATATTATTGCACGTCAAATTCACAAACGGGAAAACAAGTTCAATTCAAAGAGGGTAGAAATGTGTGCGTACCATTTATTGGTTGGGAAAACGACGCAAAATGATAATAGAAGAAAATTAATAATTTAAAATTAGATTAGTATAAATATGTATAAAAAATACATGATCACTATCTAATCATGTATCAAGCTTATTTATGTTATTTTTTCCCGGTGTCTTTTATCTCTTTAACCTTTATAAAACCTTTCCAAGCTTTGCAAGTTTCAGGGTTCGCCTATGTGAAATAAAGATGACAACAAAGACAGGCACAAATAGCAAGTGTTTAGGGCTATTATAGATTTATTCCTTATCTTATTTAATCGAATCCATGCAAGAAAAGAAAATGGGCGAAAGAAAGAAAACAAAGTACAGATAGGAGAGATATAAAGTAGGATGGAGGGACAAGCAAAGGTGGAATTCTCGACAGTTTTCCAAGAACTGATAGGATAAAGCTAAGCAACGCACCAAGAAGGCAAGCCACCTTCACCCTCTTTTTCCCTATTAAGAAAGCTATCGCCCCAACATGCATGACCTCATCCATTATTCGTAGCAGTGACAGAAGCATATATGCTCTTCCCATCACTGCTTAATCGCATTTCACAAAAACAAGGCCAAAAAAAAAAAAAAAAGTCTATACATGCTGAGTGCAGGTCGGTGAAACCAGACGATGGCCTCCCGTGTGATTTCTTGTTAATTGATCATACATGCATATATTAATTCCACAAAAGTAGAGATCGAAGGCATCCAAACCGAGGCTATACTGGAAAATTTCTATGTAATTAACCGCAATGCCTATTAAGTTAAACATCTTTGTGTGCTAGCTACTACTTCATCAAAAATTCATCGAGTTGCATACACTACTTGCTAAGAGCGTGTTCAAGAGTCAAACCATAGAGAGATAATGAGCTACAGTAGCAAAATTGAAAATCAACCAACCCAAAGAAAATAATACGTACAAAGTTTTTCTCAAGAAGGAAGAGACGTAAATATATTGAACCCAGTTAAAAATATTGAGGAGGCGTCGAGGGCGCAGGTTGTGGTGGCTTCATCACTGAAGTCCAAAGCCCATGAACGGCGGTTCGGCTATCATTATTCAGAGGTATGCCACCAGGCAGAGGAGACGGCACGTTCCCCCTTTCTCCTTCTCCGGCGCCCGTGTTTCGCACGCGCTCTTCATCTTCAGATGACAACTTATGATAGGATGGGCTGTTGAATGAAGTTGCTATCACGTAGACCGGGCCCACTGAGACCAAACCGCCGAATACCAGCCCTCCGATGACGTGGCCGTTAGGGGCGGCGAGGCTGACGGTGAGGGGTTTGGCGGCGTAACCCGAAGTGGGGCATTGGCGAGGGCCGAATGCGGCGGACATGGAGAGGATGGCGTGGTGGCCGGGACAAGCGATGTCAGGAGTGGAGGCGGCGGAGGAGAGGCAGAGGGAGGCGTTAACGACGGTGCCGGAAGCAGTGAGGACGCAGAGGCCGGTGTTCTGGCGGAAGCTGAACCGGGAAATAGCCTGGACGACGTCGTTGCCGTGAGGGACTTCGAGAACGTAAGGCGTCATCATCACGTCGTCGCCGGGTACGAGAGGACGAGAGGCCTTGGGCTTGTTTTTGGAGCCTTTAGGGCGGCCTTTCGGTTTCTTGGCCACCTCTACGGTGCCTCCGGGGCTGGTAACGAATGATGAATAGTCACCTTCCATCTCCACGCTGATATCTTCCTTTGAATCTCTCTGATAGTTTTCTTGGCGCTGACGGGACGCTGGGAAGATATTATTTTGCACGGTGCGGGGGGGGGGGGGGGGGGAGAGAGAGGGGGGATGGCAGCGCCGTGAGACTTGAATACTTAGCTAAACGTATTACGCCGCCTTTGAACTTCGGAAGTATGACTATTGTGAATTTATAGTAATTAATTGAGGATTGATTTGGGGTACGAAGATATGATTATGATTGAGATGAGGTAATGACTTTCCTTTTTAAAACCAGACTCTAGTTATTAATTAGCATCAAATATCAAATTTCATCTTCAGTTCATATAAATAATCTAGGCAGATTAGATCAAAACCGGCTGTGTTTTGGTACGGGAAAAAATTAATTTTTGATTGAACCGGAAGATAAAGCTAATGATTGAAATAAGATTTAATTTAGATATAAAATTTGTTATTTAAAAATTGAAGAGTATCCAGATTCTTGATTTTTCAGCAATTTTTTGATTCTTATATTTCTTTAATTTATCAATTTACACTATATGCAGCATTATATTTTTTGGATATATATTATCGAAAAAATATGATAGAATGTTCTATATTTTTATGAGTTCAAAGTAATTAAATTTAGATATTCTGGATTTCTGATAATAATTTTGCTAATAAAAGTTAGTTACTGTCAGCTGGTGTAATTAATGAGTTGAAGGATTATTAGGCCAGATTTGTCAAAGATCATCATCACAAAAGTTTCTGTACTTATTGCATAAATATATCTATCTAATTTTTAAACTTTCTGTTTAAGGGAATCTAAACTGCATTTAAATTAATTTTAAAAAAAAGTGTGATAGATATTAAAAAAAGCAAGACTTATTAATCCATCTTTTGAATAACGCTAATTTTTGTTGGAAGGGAAAAAAGAAAAGAAAAGAAAAGCAAACACTAAGCTCTAGAAAGTCAAGATAGATAGACTAATGTTCAAAATTCTGATTTCTTGTTATATATATATATATATATATATATTTGTATTTATGTATGTATGAATGATATTGTTGGGTTTAATACGAGTATTGTTAAACCATTCATCATTAATTTATTGTTTTTAACTTGGCCTCACTCCTTAATCTACAAGGTGGGAAACAAGTCTCAATAAGTCATCCAATTAAAAAAAAAAAAAAAGACCTTGTTCCATTTTTAATCACGCGCAACTAATTGTAAATATATATATATATATATATATATCAAGATTGTCAGAGAGCCGTTCTCCAATTTCGTGACAGGTGAAGATAAATGTGCGTGGGCTTTTCAATGAAGGCAAAAAAAAAAGAAAAATAAAAAGAAAACGAAGGCTATTGGAGTGCTGTTGAATGGCTTCGGTGGTCCAGAAAAAGAGGATTCAACTTTGATGGCACGACTAACCAATTTTCTGGCAAGAAAATTTGTTTTGGACGTGACTGTTTGGATATTTCTTGCCGTGTGCAGAGGAGAAGTGATGGCTAAATTGGTGTTGTCTGGGCATCCCCAAGCTAAGTCTGTCTAGTTTTATTTTGTTTCTCATATTGAAAATTTCTTGCTCATGGCATTGGTTTTGACGTTTTGTTTGTGGTTAGGTGGTTTGCTGTTGTGTTTTGAGGACTGTATTTTTGTAAAGAAAACAGCTACTTCCAGGCTTTCCATGATATAAGGTAAATATGAGGGGATTCGAGTCCAGGGCTGCTGCTGCTGCTGCTGCTCATCAGATCGAATAGTTTGATTTGTTCACATAAAAGTCAAAATAAAGGACGCTTAATTCCGCTTATTTAATTGATTCTTTTTCTTTTTGGCTCCCGATTTCAAATCAATCGAAAGTGTGCGAGCCACGTATCAACGCGGAGATGAATACTATTTCAACTCCCATCTCGTAAGCCTACATAGGTAAATATGCTCATATGCACCACTTCTTAGTAGTGGACACCAGTATTGGGGTCGAATTGGATTCAATTGAACTCAAATCCTGATCAACCTCCATTTGACTACTAATGTGTCACTCAAGGCCAATCAACAGATCTTTTCAGTGCACACGACTTCTTTCTGGTGCGTGAAAAATGGGATTAAGTGAATCGATAATCAAATCATCATCTCAAATCCACCCCCCCAACCCCCCCTTTTACTTTTATCGGTATTTATTCTTTTTTTATCAACCGTGTTGTTTTTGGGTGGATAGCTTTCCCTAGTCTTTTACGACTCAGAATAGATTAGACACCATATATGATGCTTTTATGTTTTCATTACAGCCGTGGGGCATGCATGTAATGATAAATTATTGCGAAATTCGTGAATATAAACCCCTATTTTTTTTCAATTAATAGAAGTACCTTCGGCCAAAAAAAAAAAAAAAAGAATGTAAACCCCTGTGGTAATGATGTGAGATGTGATCGGACACATGCAAATAGCTATGAAGTTTACAGTTACACTGTACAACTAATTCATATCCCTGGTAAAATTAAAAATAGATTTTAAGCTGAATAAACAAAATCATTAGCTGACATTTAAATTGATGGATTTAAATTTAAATTTAAATTTAAATTTTATATTTAAAATTTATATGTTTAAAATTTTTTATTTGGATGGTATAAAAATTTCAAAGGTAAAGGAAAAATGAATGGAGAAAGAAGAAATAAAAAATTAAAATTGACAAACCTATCTCTATTTTTTAATCAATAAGAAGCGAGGGTGAGAGATGAGATGATGGACTAAAGTAACAGAAATATTGATAATAAAAACGTTAAGAAAAACAGAGAGAGACAAAGAAAATTAAAGTAGTTGAAATTTTAAATCATTAGAATTTAAAGAGAAATTAAAATTACAGAGAACTAACAGTAACCCATGAATTTGGAGAAAAACATGAATTTGAATTTAGATTCACAAACTTTTATATATTTAAATGAAATATTTGATTTAAATTTAAAGTTAAATTCTCATATATCCTAAGGAGCCTTGGTAAATTTCTTGTTAAATAGCATTTCTTCTGAACGAAATCCTTACACTAAATGAACAAACTTGATGCTTTATGTGACATACCTGTTCGTAGTGTAGCCCAAACAATACCAAATGTAATCATTTCATTTCATTTCATCCAACATTATTCACATTGTTATTCTCGTTCTCACTGGATATATAACAACTGTGTTTTAGACATCAAGAGTTCTTCATATAAATGAATTATAATCTTGTAATCCATACAAAAGCTAAGCTTTGCTCCACTTTCTAGTGGAGAAAAATCACGAGCTAAACTTATTCCTTTCTTGCAATGACTTGCTCCTTTTAATGAACTCTACTCACAATAGCAAATTATTGGTTCACCATTATGAGTGCTCTCGTGTAAAATTAATAGTATACTCTCTCTTGTTCTATTATATAAATTACTTTTACTTTTAACAAGTTTACTGAAATTAAAAAAAATGTTAAATTTTATTAAATCTGCTTTGAAATTTAATAAGTTTACACTTTTATTCTTAACAAGGAAAAAAATAACTATTTTTATAATTTTTTTAGCATTTAATAAGGGTGAAAAAATAAAGATGAACATAAAAAATAGTGAAATGTCCTATAAATAAAATTAAAATTAATCTTCTCTCTCTATCTTGTAAATAAGATCAAAGGAGTATATGATGTTATAGTAGAGACGACCAAAATTATAAAGATGTATTAATAGTGTAGAGAATACAAATCAGCAGTCTAGGATAACATCAACAATAATCTACATTGAAAGTAGCAAGATGGTCTTAACCAAAGGCTGGCAAAATTCTAGGTCAACCTTGTTATATTGACACTAGCACCATCTTTTACTATTTTGATTAGGATCAGCATCGTATGCTTATCTCTAGAAGTCCTGCTAATTTTCCCGTTGTCTCATATCCAGCCAGGTTCCCTTTTCTTCAATATATAACTAGGACATACATCTTGTGCTATGACTGGAAAAAAAGTCTTGAATATAGGAGATCTCAGTGTGCATTGTTATCATAAACTGCATGAGCGAGTGATCAGTGACTGATTGGTAAGGAACAAAAGAGGACGAAGTTACGAAGTTCATAAAGAATCACTTTAGCTGGTACGTTCAATAATTAAGCATAAAACTTCTGTCAATGTTTGACCTAGAACTAGAATGTAATTTACAAATAAAGAATAAAAATAAAGGAAATGAAATAACAAACAAAAGGAAATATTAGAAACCGACCGGGTCGTTTAATTGCATCATCATACGCGAGCTACATAGGAATTTGCCTGTGTAACATATCTCACCCATCGATATGGTTCCTGGGTTCCATACTTCTTTGCTATTTGCAAGTATTTTACCTGCATTAAATAAAGGTATTAAGCACTCAATATCTTCAAATGAACTCAGAAATCAGCAGAACATTTGACGTCACAGCATCATAAAAATGAAATTTATGTAAGAGTTGGCTCCAGCAGGACTTTTATTGTTAAGGCAAAAGAGCATTAGCAGCATTCATAACTCCAGCAGAAAGAAGCCATTTTGAATGTTGTCCGTGTCTAATGTCTGTTGGAATGCATGCAGGTGTAAATTAGCATATGTACCACGTGTTTCATTCTATAATTGGTAGGTTATGACTAAGTTACACTCTCTCCCATAAATAAAGAGCTTTATGTAGGTTAAACTCATTGACTATATTTCCTCAAGGGTTTTCTTTTCTTCTCTCCCTATACTTTTTAGCGTCTACAACCTGATTGAGGAGCAGGTGTTGCTCAATATCTTGTAGAGCCATCAGGCCATGCTTTACATGGAATTCTCTTTTAGTGTTAGAAGGAAATTTATTCCATCTAGGGAAACTGGCCTGATTAAATGGGTTTCAAACATGGCAATTAGAAACTGAAGGGAAAAACAGAATAAGAAGTGCAAAAAGCCAAAGACAAATCAAAGGACAATTTTTCAGTAAATTAGATTTTAAGTTGATCATAGCATGAGCTAGATCAACTTGATCTGTAATTTATAGTGACCAAAGTATAATAGAGGAGAAGCTATGTACGGAAGAGTAAACTCACAATCAGCTAGTTAACGTAATATGTTTACCTGAAGACGTGATGCATTATACATTGGTATGGTAAATGTCATACTAACAGGTCCAGATTCTTTAGTTATATTCCCTATCGAGAAATAAATTTGCATTAATGAGGATCCATTGAATATTCAACCTAAGAAACAACGAACTATCTCTTCTGTGCCAAATATAACGATATATACCACGTGACTCCTGAGAGAATGTTAGCTTTGCACGTAAAGTATGCTCAGATCCACCAGTAATCTGTTTCAACTCACTTATCAGTAACCCCTTTCTCAAGCAGAGAAAAATGACCAGAAATACTTTATTAAAATCAGAGCAATAATGAGACAACCGATAACAAAAAAGAGAGGGAGAGTTGACAAGAAGCGTTGCCTTCTTTAAACCCCATTCTAGTCTCTTATTTGCTTCTTTAAAATCAGTTGTTTGACCAACAGCTCCAGATTCCAGCTCAAAACTAACTCTGAGACAATTTTAGATAACAACTAAGATCAGTGACAATAATAGCAGTAATTATGAACATATCCAAGGTCGTTGCCTCGTAATTTAACCATAGTCCAAAAAAAACAAACAGTATGATCTATCTTGCCATTATGGTTGCAGAATGCTCTCAATCTACTAAATGCTCATTCTTTCAAGTTTATCAAACATATGATGCAAAGTAATGTCAGAAATTCCTTCAATATTTATTTTTCATAACGATCCTGTGATTCAAGAGCTCTCTTGTTAAACAACTCACATTCAGCCTTCAGATCGCAAATGCCATGTATAACGGGAGCATGCAAATGATCACAAAAATTGATGATTAAAAAAAAAATATATCAATTACTACACATTTAAGTAACACTGAATATCCCTGCGGACACAGTGGATTGAGGAAAAAAGGTTAATGCATCTTTTAGTTAACAAAATATATGATTACTTCTCCATGAAGTTAGCTCAGGCGATCAAGGGTTCAAACCCACTTAACATTAAAATGCATGTATGAATGTATGTATTTCCATCTGAATTCATTTTCTATGGTGATCCCTTAATTAAGTTTATTTTGAACCTTTCAATAACTTATTAATCCAAATATTTATGCAATGTTTCTTGCTAATGACAACAACTGTTGAAGAAGTTTTGGTACATTTGTTCAAAAATATACAGAGGATAGTATCACACCTGGTGGTGTGCGTTGGCAGTGGCATCTGCACTTTTATAGTATTTGCCGTCACACCTGAGGCAAACTCAGCATATATCTTTAAAATAACCTCAGCCTGCAAATAACACTTCGGAAGTGTCAGTACGTTCTTTGCAAGAATGAGGATCTACAGATTTGAAATGGAATGGCTTAAATATGTAGCTTGTAGATTACTTTAGCAATAGAAAACTACAATCTCTTCACAGTTTAGTATACAGTTTCCCAATACATAGTATAATTTTCTTTTCCTTTACAACTTTGTATGTAACACAACTAAAGAACGTTACAGTGGAACGAAAAAGGGATAAAGAAGAAGATATAAAATCATGACAAAGCAATATCCCTTAACTACCATTGCATTGCTGTAGTGCATAATAAATCACAAGAAATACGAATGTGCAAAGGAGAGTCAACCAAAAGAAAAAGGTAAAATAAGATTGCAATGAGGAAACATAGGCATCACCTTATGGGTCCCTGCTTCCTCAATCAATGCATTGATACGAAAAGGAGACCTAAACTCCTGGGTCATACGGTAGTTCATGACAGGAAATTCACCATCTGGCGGTATCTAGTTTTCGGGTATAAGAAAATTATTAAGTTTAAAGGAAGCAAACCAGCAAAACATGTTTATATTTTGAAAACTATTCTTCAAGACAGCACTTCTGTACTAACCAGAGTCAGAGTTTTGTCCATATCAAAACTATCAAGACGAACAGATTCATGGAAATTACAGTCATCTAATACCACTGCCCCAGAACCAGTCGAACTATTATAACCTGCTCAGAAACAGTTTAAATTTACAAATCAAAGCAAGACATGAGTTGTTGCCGTTGAATTCATTGAAAACATCACAGGAGCTGCAACATGGCATGATATAAACAGATGAAGAAAATAGGATTCAACACAGTGCCTCCAAAACTTAGTGAAAGATAGAAGTTCTATGCAAAAGCTTCGATCAGAAATGTACAAAATCAATTATCATCAAATTCATAACTGAAGGAATATCAGTTGTTACTCAAAAACAATAAAACCAACGTACTGGTTCCTCATAACCTAAAATTAATAGTCCACAGAAGTAAAGAAAAAGGAAGAAACCAGATCGACTGCTCAATTCCATTACAGAGGCCCATCCAGGCAAAAGGGAAATGACAAAAAATAAGGAAATAGGTACCATAGGTTGGTCCCTGGCCTCCTCCAATTGTGAGGTCATCATTAAGAGCCAACCGAATTTCAGGATTTCCAGAAAGATAGCTCTTCATTTGTATGGTGCCATCAATCTCAGAGGTCAGTATATATCCCTGTTAAAATATATAAAAAATATTAATACAGTTTGTTAAAACAGGCAAGTGAAACTCGACAGTACAAAAGAGAAAAGTTAACTTGCATGCTGTGGTTCGTCACAAAATTTCATTATGTTATACTTCAACAACTTATCAACCAAGAACTAATCCAAGAGCTCTGTAGCTACTGGACATGGCTTTATGCACGTTTCAGCAGTAACAAAATAGAAAAACCAATAAATTAATAAGCAACGGAACTTATAGGACAACGAAAGAGCATGCATTAAAATTGGTTGAAATGCAAAAGCATTATAGAAGGACAAGAGTAAAATGCAGTTTATATGTTTCTACCAGGTTTTTTCAATAATTGTGGAAATGGGGTCCTAAAAATATACTCTCTCCGATCTATAAGGCATTTTCTAGAAACATGAGTTGATCCAAATTTTAGGGTATTGAATAGTTATTATAATTTTTCCAACTATACCCTTACTCATTTATTATTCCTTTTGAAAAAAATGATCAATTGGAATTTCAATTGTCATTATTAAGGTACTATTATAAAAGGTATTTAATGAGGTATAATTGAAAAGATGTACAACTTTTTAAAAAATTAAGATTTCAACTAATTTTTTTTCAACGTGAAGTAGTTACCAATGTCATATATTTGTGAATTGGAAGGAGTACTTGACAAGAGCATTTGAAATTAGAGAATATTAAATTATAGGATCTATGCCCGCCCCCTCTACAATAAGAAGGTAAACAGTCTATAAATATGAATTTTATATAGTTTGATAGCTCAAGTAAGTTTCAAGTACTAACTTAGGACAGGGATCTGATCTCTAAGATCCAGGCTCATAATTATTTTTTTCAACACGTTAACATCATGAAAATCATCAGCACAACTTCTGTACATTTCTGCATTTTTGCCAGACCTCGAAACTTCAACGAAGAAATATACAGATTAAATTTGAAACAGTCACGCATGACACATGAAAAAATATAAAAACATGAATTATAGTAAAATTCAGAGTTACAAATACAATTATACATTTACTTACACTGGAGCTAAAAGTGATGCTGATTTTCTCAATTATATCTACAAAAATTTCCTCCCTCCTTTTACCCCCAGGGTCTGTTGCCACAACAGATTTTGTGACAGCTGTACCTGGCATTCTTTTTGCCCCTTGCTGCATAGAACAAATTCAGGAATTTCACACATGCAAATAACAGTAAAAAATTAAGATACCTTCCAAGTGTCTGATACTATGAAATTTCATACTGCAAAAATTGTAGCAGGTCCAAGAGGTGATAGACGTGCAGCATCTACTACAATTGGTTCATTGAAAACATAGGATTTCAACACTTCAGTAGATGTTGTTTGCACATAACCAAAGTCCTGGCACAAAGAAAATCACCAAGATACTAAGCAACCGAGGTTTTTAGTAAATAATACAGATTGACAAGAAACCTTAGATCGAAATAGTAGAACAACATATCCAAATATAGAAAGAAAGATAAAATAAGAAATCAAATTGAAGATAAGCCTGTGGATTAGTTATAAAAATACAGAGGAAACTCAGGAGACATGCAAGATGAAGTTAAAAGTTAGACTACAAGAAAACCTCAATGGAAACGCTGAAAATGCCAAGTAGGATTAGAGAGGACGCTCACAATGACTTCATCAAGCAACTCGTACACAAGCACAAAGTTCTTCCGTAACGAGTCTTCACTTAGAACCCCAAGGTAATCCTTGATTACACGAGCAATCCTTTGTAAAAGCTCCAAGACAAAAGAAGGTGATATATTAATCCTTGTGGTTGCAACAAACAATAGTCCAGCGACCTTCACATGAAAGTAGTTTACTCCATCCACATTCTATCAATGGAAACACCCCAAAAAAAAAAACAAAAAGGAAAAGGAAAGGGACAAACAGAAAGAAATAAACATTAGTATAGAGAAGAGTTATAAACTTATAATCGACATAATTTGAATAAATTTTGACAAATTCCAAAATAAATCAGAGGACAAAATCAATACTAGTAGTGGTAAATGGATCTATAAGAAGCCAGGAAGTAATTTTAACGAATGGCCTCCTGACTCCTTTTTCTTTAAAAAAATATTTACAAGACATTCTAAAAGCTTCAAATTGATTCTTCTGTCATATTCTGTGATGAGCGGGAAATCTAAAGAGAGAATGCCCCGTTTAAATCAACCACCTTATCTGGTATGGAGAAAATTTGGTTCAGAGAAACCTAGATGATGCGAGCATTAGGTATGCCACAATTACTACTTGCTCTTCCATTTTTCCAAAAACTAGTATATATACATTACGCTACCTAATTTGGAAAGATAATACTTACAAAGACAGGAGGTGCTTCCTCTTGCCCATCATCTTTCCAAAATTTAACTTTGCGGAAAAATATCTCTGCACTTCCCTTTTGCACTTCACCACGGTCTGCAATCATATAAATTAGGTAGCAAATAGCAATAGGGTATGACAGAAATGGTTGCATACCATGTGGAAAGGGTCTAAGAAAATAATCAGAGAGAACTTTTATGCCAATTGTTTCACTTGCAAAAATGTTCTTAAAATCAACATATTCTCCCTTCACAAAAGCACTTACAGATTAGAAACAGCTATATCTTTTTATAATAAGCTGCAGCAAAACTTGACATCATGAAATTAAGATTTACGAACGAGAAAGTCATCCTAAGCTGCTTGATTCTCATAACAACGTGATAAAGTACGGTAAGGAGACTGCAAAAGAGATAAGGTAAAATGAGGAGCACCAACAAGAAGATTTAATTAATTAAGGTTAGTTTTAAGTATACCCCCTCGCAAGTTGCAAGCATCAGTACAATGGTGCCTAACATTTTATAAAATTATATAGAACATTTAATACTATAATGACATAAAACACCTAAACAATTATAAGAGAAGAATTTAGTATCCTTTGCTACGGTACATAGACTGCAGGAGCGTTGGCCTATGAAGATGTCAATAGTAAGAACTTGGCTACATAATGCGCAACTTATGGTTTCTTCGCTCGAAGTAATTAGCAAGAGATCACTATTGAAGTAAGATCTCGAAGCATAAACTCTCAGATTGAGTTAATAATGTAGTTCATCACAAATAGTGATGCAATTAGGAGAGAACATTGGATCAATCTGCATCATCAGATCCACTAACTGCAATAGAAAATTGAAGCGCAGAGGATTAGTGCGGATATGTGATAGAAAGCTTACAGTCCCGGAAGACGATGTTATCGCCACGCTTTGACAAGACGAAGAACTGCGAGATCATGATTCCGTCGTCCCGGGAGCCGGATGCACCTCTAGCTGCTTTGTCAATGGCTCTTTCTCTTTCCGCAGGAACGACCCCTCGTGTTTTACAGTTGGGTGCGCCACCACTAGAACAAAATATATCAATAATATAGTACTCTGCGATTTATTTTATTTTTCGGTGGATAGTAACGTATCCATAGGGTTTAGGGAAATTTTTCTAATTATATTTATAAATTATATCATTAAATTATTTTCATAAATTTTTTCTTTAATATTTATTAAATATGAAAAAGTATATTATTGAAATATATATATAATAAAAGTAAAGTTAAAATTTATTAAATTAATAAATTTTAAATTTTTTTTAAATTTTTATGAGACAAGTTGAAAATGAATTATGAATGAGCTCATGAGAGTATTTATTAAAAATAATAATCAGGCGAGCTTCATTCCCACCAAATTTTAACGGCTTTTTTCCCCCCTTGAATCATTTTAACAGTTAACAGCAATGGCACAAATAACACTAAAAATGCATGCATTAAAGCCTGAGACAGTTGACTTCTCACGTTGTGACCTTCGATATGCACGAATTTTTAAAATTAGTAATAGTAATAGTAATACTTTCTTTTTTTAAAAAAAAAAAATATTTTTAATTAAATTTTTTAAATAATTATCTATTTTTAAACTAACCATATCTTTTTATATTTATCTCTATTAATACTCTATAATAAATATAAAATTATTATCAATAGGGGCGTTTTTGAAAAATGTTAATAATTACACATTAAAAAATTAAAAATGTCTTACATTTTAAATAAAAAAATAATAGTTTACAATTTTCTGTGTAATTTTTTTAATATAAATCCTGTGTAAATTTTATTTGCACTGGTGTCTATGGTTTGATATAACGGGCTATCATGATTAACAAGTTCAACTAAAAAATTTCATTTAGTTAGATACCAAAGATTTAATTAGTGATACTCATTTCATTAAAAATATAAAATATTTTTTTAAAAATTAAATGTTAAAAAAATATTAAAATATTTTTAATTTTTTAAAGTGTAATTATTATCTTTTTTTAAATATCTCTATTAAATAAATTATTTTATATTTATTTTAAGGTGAAACATCATATTAAATAGGGATAAATATGAAAAGATATAGTTAATTTGAAAACAAGTAACTACTTTATTATGTGATAGAATTTGATTAGAAATGTCTTACATTTTTTAAGGGAGGAAGTAGTTAGATTTTCACAAATATTTTTAAAAATAAATTATAAATATTGATTTATATAATTACAAACAAAAATATTATTTATAGTCAGAAAATTACACCTAAATCTTAAATATCTTACCTGTAATTAAAACTTCAAAATTTATAATTATCTAAAGTGATATTTTTAAAAAATTTATCAAGAAATTGTTATTAATTTAATATTTTAAAATTTATTTGTCATTCTCTTTATTTTTATGATCACAAAGGATTGTGTTTTTATTACATTTTTGGATTAAAAGTCAAAAATGTCTTTGAAATGCATACGAAAGATTACCAATTATCTTAAACTTAACAATGGATCATTTATATCTTTCAATTTTAAATTTTTTTATTATGTCACCTACTGTTTTCTCCATTAATTTTTTATTAGTAGGGCCCACTTTTATTTGTTTAATATTTTTTTCCTCCATCTCCTCCTTTCTACCTTCCCCCCCCCTACACACTCTCTCTCTCTATTTTTTTATTTCTTAGCCCCTTCCTTCCTCCCTTCATCTTTGCCCAACTTCACCATTAAATAGGCATTCACATTGTGCTATCATCTCTGCTCACACAACCACCTTGTTCATCTAGTTATTGTGCTTCACTTTACTTGTCATGCAACTTTCATTTCCATCGTGACCATTCATGTCTGCTATCACAACATTTGATGTCACTGTTCGTAGCTCATCGTCTTTCATAGAATAGTCTTGTTCATCATCAGTCATAGCTACTTCTCTCGCAACCCCACCCTTTGTTCTTCTCTCCTTTGCTCCTCCCTAGCTATGCCCTCATCATCCACCAACTCAACTTTCTCGATAGCGTTGCTTTACCTTGCTCCACCAACCCTCATCGTTCGCTAAAGCTGCGAGAGAGCTCTTTTTGAGTTCATGGGCATGCTTGACCAAATCGAGGAAGAGATATTGAAGAAGGGGGTGATGCACCATAAGCTAAAGACTTATACGACAATGATGGTTACAAAGCCGATGGACGTGTTGAAGACGAGAGTGATGGACATGAAGGTGGAGGGACATGAGAAGATCCTTAATTTGTTGTTATTAAGGATATGAACCTCTCAAACCTACTTGTTCTTATACTTGTGACTCACTCTTTATTACACAATATGCCTTGTCTCTTTGAACACTCTATATTTAGTTTGCTTCTTGAACACTCTTATAATTTCAAAGCTTTTTGCGAGTGTTTTAAAACCCTGTCCAATGCAAGAGAACATGGCTATGAGGCACACGAACATGGGAGGGAGAGAGAGTGGAAAAAGAGAGAGAGATTTTTATATATTAAAAAAATATTGGTGGGACCCACTATGTAAATATTTTACAATAAAAAATATTTAAAAAAATTAAAAGTGAGCTCCACTAATAAAAAAATAAACGAAAAAAATAGCAAGGTGATGGACTAAAAAAAATTTAAGATTAAAAGATATAAATGATTCATAATTAAGTTTAAGATCATTTGTGATTTTTCATTTGTGTTTCAAGACTTTTTAACCATTAATCCTACATTTTTGTGGGAGAATGATAGGTCTTCAAAATGCTCAGATGATAATTAGATATTGTAAAATGTGATAATTATTATTTTGTTCTTGAAATTTTATTTGTCAATTAATTTTAATGCGTAATGACCTTTTACTCTTTTTTTTTTTTGGGGGGGGGGGGGGGGCGATTGCCAACTGCAAGCGCATTCTTCCTTTATTCTCTTCCTTCTTATAATGATTCTGCTTATTCTCTTCCTTCTTGTTTTTCTCTTCAAGCAAAATACAAATTTGAGCCATAAACACGTGTTGGAGAGCTAAATGTAGGAATTGGCTTGAACCAAATTCAATTCCAAGATGAGAAAACAGAAGCTAGATTGGGGTGGGAATTACTAGATGAAAAAGAGATCGCTTCTAAATTCCCCTTACAAGTCATTATCCTTACTGCCGTCAAACTCATGGCGACCATCATCGAAATCATTTTAAGGTTTGAAAGGGGAGGGCCCTTTCTCCATTGTAGCCATCCGCTTAAAGTAGACTTAAGAGGAATTGAACCTTACAACAGGCAGGTTGCGATCGCCTTGGATCTTGGTGCTGTACCATTTTCAAAGCTTCTCCATCTTCTTGTGTTTAACATCACATAACCAATCGAAAGTAGGAAACAAAAAATACAAAACAAGCAAAACATACAGTTCAAAATACTTTTGACCTCTTTGCGTTCTGTTCTGTGATAACAATAGCCTCTAGGATCTCCCTCAATTGCTCAAAATACCTCATTGATGAGAGCAACTGTCCCCTTAGCAGACCAGCACAGCAATGGAAGGCGGTGAGAGGCGGATGAAGGCTGCAAAGAGCGCAACAACGGCGATATGGACGACGGTGGGAGGATAGCAGGCGGGGTGGTTGTGGAGACAACCGGAAAGGGGGATCCACTGCCAATCTTTTTATTTATTTATTTTCTAAGGTTAAAAAAGTCTTTTCACGTTAAAATTAATCGATAAATAATTCCCAGGTACTATAAAATAGGGGGAAATCACAGCTAAGAACCTTTGTAGCATTGTACCCGCAAGAAGGGATCAAAAGATTTTAAAATCACTTTATGATATTAAGATATTAAAATATAATTAAAATTTATTGTAAAATTACAAAACTACCTCTCGTCTTTTTTTTTTTAACCAAAAAATTCTCCCATCATCACTGGTTGCCAAAACACCACGAGCACTACTTGAAGTCAAACACTAGCCACCGAACCATCACTGCCAAATTGGTCATCTCATCTGCAGCCGGAGCTCTGGTAAAGGTGGCACAATTTTTAATTTTTTAAAGGTGACAAGAGGGTTTACAACCCTTTGACTAGCCAAAAAAAAAAAATGTTAGCCACTAAGCTACTAATAACTCTTGATCATATAATACAAACTTTTATATATACTATTAACTTTTTATTTTTATTTTTTAAGTCAATACTTATTAGAAGCTTAATGATTATTTGTTATTTTATAAATGATTATTTATTAAATTATTAATAAAACTTGTTAAATTACAATCTCGCGAAGACTAGAACTCATCAAAGCCTGATTCTTTACTACACTTCAAAGCCCGTTCTATTGCTCCAATCTTTTCGTCTCTTTCATCACGCCACTACTTCCATCTGTCTTACTCACCTCCCTATAATGCCTCGTTTTTTTTTTTTAATTAAAAGACAACTTTAAATAATAATAAAGGAAAAAGTTCACAATTAAAAGGTTAAACGAGAAGTCCAAAAATTTGGGTCCACCTGCTCCAGAGATTAAAAAAATAAAAAAAGACACCAGACCAAAGCCAAAAGCATGATTCAGATGTCTTGGACTACAACCGACAAGCGTTACTTATTATCGTTTAGAGCAAAAAGAGGCCTGGTAATGTTGCATATAGCAATCCATGTTTTTGCAGTATCACTTCCAGGAAGGAGTTTTGAGATCCAAGAGAGAGCTTGTCGAAGATTACATTCCTAACTCTAAAAAGAATAAAAGAAATTAGTACATGATAACCATGAAGATACAAGTTACACTAAAATCTCCTTTTTCTTCTATCCCTGCTAAACAACAGTTACGAGGAGTCATTCAACTATGCAATGTTATAAGCATTGACTCCAAACTTCCCTGCGTGGACAATTAGAATGATTCAAGTAACCTGATTTCATTTCACCAGAGGAAAGATGAAACAACAGATAGTAAAAGAAAGAAAACTAACGTGACACCTGAAACCATATGAAATAATAAATGTTATGAGTAAATAATGTTAAAAGTCCAAATCATTTTTATGTAACTAATTGGCATTGTAAGTCAACTTAACAAAATGTTTCAAGAATTAAGTAAAGAAAATATGAAAGACTAAACAAAATGTATATTTTAATAAACAAGCATAAGATATTAAGAAAATATATATCAAATGTCAACACGTTCTCAACCTGTCTCATACCTTGAAGTTAAAGTTCAAATTAGCTCACATTAATACAATCAAAAGTGATACAACAACAATCATCATTATCCCACTAAATGGGATCGATTACAATATTTGCATGATATCATTGTACTCTATCAGCAATCAAACCTTTCGGTATATTATTAACCAAAAGGTCTTGTACAGTAATAAAAAATGATACAAAAAATTTAATATGCCAGTGTCCCACTACCAATTCCTCTATCTCCACAACCATCACGAGTTTGAGTAACAGAAGCGTCAATCTTTTAGGAATGGAGACCCAGGGGGGGCAGCGAGACCAAGTTTGCTCATCACTCTCATCCGCCGCTCATTCAACTCCTGGGACGTTCCTCCAGAGGCTATTTCCTGTATCCAAAATGTAGGTGAGTCAACATACCTGACAAAAAAAGGAACTTACCACAAAATGAAATGATAAAAGTTTGAACCCTTACAGTTACAGGGCCTTGGCTTCTAAGGTTATTGTCATTCAACAGCTCCATTTGATTTGAGGAACCTTCCATGTTTTGTGCACCGTTAGATGGCTTTTGTCGTTTTGATTTATTTTTGCCTGAGAATAATTTTCAAATGAAATGAAATGCGGAATATTTAGCAAGTAGATGGAATCACACAAACAGAAAGGGAATAGAATATCCGTTCCTAAAGCCAAAGCAACAGAAGCAAACCGGTTAACAAAGGCAAAGTAGATGAATTATTTGTGCGTTCTTTTCTAAGAGAAACAATGAAGGACAAGATATGAGTTACCAGTGATACATTTCTTGAGTGCCCTATCAACATGCCCTCAACTGTTTTGGGCAAAAACCAATATAATAATTTCTAGACATCCTCAGAAGATGAACTTGTGAACTGCATATAGGAGCATAAACTGGAATATATTCACTCCAAGTTAAGCCCATATAAAGCAGTAAAATGACATTCTAGATTCAGCAATTAAGTGGTAACTTAAAAACATAATGGAATCATAAAAACGCCGAAGCAACAGGGAATAAACATTCACTCCATAGTGGAGAATGACTCTGCAGTAAATATTGCTTCATTTGTCACACCATTTTGTCTTAATCAAATAGTTTTGCCAGATATCATCTCCATCTCTCTTTGGTCTAGATATCATAATTTGACTCAGAGGGGCACATAAGTGATGGGGAAAATCCCTTTCCCCCGAACCCCCACACTAAGCAGATCCTGTGGGGATAAGGGATTTTTTTTTTTTTTTGGGGGGGGGGATGGGGAAGACAAGACTGAAATCAACAAGCCAGATAAGAAATGAGATGCCACCAAAGCCTTGGTTGTTTACCCTACTCTGTTATGTTCCTAGCTACTTGATAAAGAAAGTAAACGTCTATGTAGCTGTATTTGTACACCAACACCATGAGAAAAGGATGATAGGAAATTGGCCAACCTTTAGTCTTGGATCTTGAATGCTTTGATCTGCTGAGTTTTGAGCTAGGAAGGTCCTATATCCATAAACAACAGATGACAGCAGACAGTCAACACAAGACAGAAACGATATTTGCTGTCTAAAATGATTAAGTAAGCTGAAAACCATGCCTATAAGTAACGAACTTGTTACAAAAAATCCAAATAAAGAAAATAGGTTACCTTTTCAAGAGCCTGCCGAAATATTTCCTGGTAAGAGCCATTATGCCGCTTGAGTATCTGAAAGGCCATTTATTTGTCATAATTAGCACATAAAAATCATAATGGTATACAGTGCTCAAAATGATAGGAACAAAGCTGCATGTTTCCAATGGAAGTATGCATCAGATGCTTACCTTCTCAAACTCAGAATGACACTTAATTGGATCCACATATAAACTACAGCAGGGGAAAAACATATCTTCATTTATGGCTGGAAATTGTTAACAACAAATGCAAAAGATATGATCAAAAAGCACTAACTATTCATAGCTCCCATACAGCCGAACACAAACTTTCCCTGCTGATCTTTCACCAGGTCTAGCACTCTTAGTAACAGCCTTTTTATCAACAACCTACCATATAACAATAGATGTGATAGCAATTAAATAACCAATTATATTAATATTAGGCTCAGGATCATGAATTTAGATATGTCTGCCGGATACCTGTGCAGGCCACCATGAACCACCACGAAGCTTGACAGATATGACATCTCCCAAAGCTACTGCATCAGTTTTGACTTGCTCTCTTGATTCTCGTACATCTCCCAAAGCTGCTACATCAGTTGTGAGTTGCTCTCTTGCTTCTCCTACATCTCCCAAAGCTGCTGCATCAGTTGTGACTTGCTCTCTTGCTTCTCCTACATCTCCCAAAGCTGCTGCATCAGTTGTGACTTGCTCTCTTGCTTCTCCTAGATCTCCCAAAGCTGCTGCATCAGTTGTGACTTGCTCTCTTGCTTCTCCTACATCTCCCAAAGCTGCTGCATCAGCTGTGACTTGCTCTCTTGCTTCTCCTACATCTCCCAAAGCTGCTGCATCAGTTGTGACTTGCTCTCTTGCTTCTCCTACATCTCCCAAAGTTGCTGCATCAGTTGTGACTTGCTCTCTTGCTTCTCCTACATCTCCCAAAGCTGCCGCATCAGTCACGACTTGCTCTCTTGGTTCTCCTACATCTACCAAAGCTGCTGCATCAGTCACGACTTGCTCTCTTGATTCTCCTACATCTCCCAAAGCTGCTGCATCAGTCGTGACTTGCTCTCTTGATTCTCCTACATCTCCCAAAGCTGCTACAACAGTTGTGACTTGCTCTCTTGATTCTCCTACATCTCCCACATCTCCCAAAACTGCTGCATCAGTTGTGACTTGCTTTCTTGCTTCTCCTACATCTCCCCAAGCTGCTATATCAGTTGTGACTTGCTCTCTTGCTTCTCCTACATCTCCCAAAGCTGCTACGTCAGTTGTGACTTGCTCTCTCGCTTCTTCTACATCTCCCAAAGCTGTTACGCCAGTTGTGACTTGCTCTCTCGCTTCTCCTACATCTCCCAAAGCTGCTACGTCAGTTGTGACTTGCTCTCTCGCTTCTCCTACATCTCCCATAGCTGCTACGTCAGCTGTGACTTGCTCTCTCGCTTCTCCTACATCTCCCAAAGCTACTACATCAGTTTTGACTTGCTCTCTTGCTTCTCCTACATTACTCCAACCACCATCCATTGAATTATACCTGCACCGCATGCTGTTAGCTCTGAGGTTTTGTTAGTTTTGATGACGTTAAAGATTACATTTCAATCATGCAATGTTTGTTGAATTATCTTTCACTGATGATTATTCTAGAGATTATTACTTTGAGTATGAAGGTCAGATGAAGAATGAAGGAAATCAAATCCAAAAGATTAAAATTAATCAGGATGTAGAATAGAGAATATTCATTGAGCACATTCACCGAATGAAAAATATGAATCAAAATTTTCCTATCTTGGGACAGGACACATGGCAGAATCAACATATGGAGAAATTGAAACCTTTCATTGAAGAAATAAATGCAGAAATGAACACGCATGTGGAAATGAAGGATTTAAAAGCATGATCAAGCAACAATATCAATGAACAAATCATATCGCAAATATCCATGGATGTGATCAAGTAGGACACTTGAACGTTATGAAAAATCACAAAAGTATAGATGCAAGCTTTACTTGTAATGTTATTATGTTATCTAGCTAGTAAAAGCTGCTTTCAGGCATTGTAATCTTTATTTTACTAAGTTGGGATGAGCTTATGCAACCTTCAGACTCAATAAGCGCATGTTCTCTAAGCAAGATGTGCTTTTGAGATTGAGTTTTAGATTTAGCACAAACCTAGTGAATTGATGTTAAGGAAACCCTATAGTTTGAGTTGAAATAGAAGACCTTGCGTTGTAACTTATAAAAAAGAGCAAGAAAACCTTCGGTTTTAACACTGTTACTATAATGAGTAAAAACTATTGAGTATTCTCAAGGAAACTAGTCGTAGGCATTGAGGCAGGACAAGGATAAATTTCGCTGTTGATTTTCTCCTCTCTATCCCTTATATAGCGGTGTGCAAGTGCAATCACCAGTTTGGTTCAATTCAATTGGAAAATACATAAACCAAAATCAGTAGAGGACATGAACAGACAGAAATATTTAGGTTCAATCCAGTGTATTCGATTAGGTCCATTTGGGTATGGTCGATTCAGCCTAATTTTGCTGGCCTTTTTTAATTACATACCTGAGAAGTTTATAGAAATCTAAACTGAAAAATCCATTAAAAAATTACAATAAGCATCCAACCAGATTAGAAATCCGACCAAACTACAAAAGCAACTTAAAGAAAATTTTACATTCACTGCTAAATATATGCACCAACTTAAATGAGTTCCATACAAAACACTGAAAATTAGAAATCTGACCAAACAACAGTTAGCATTTCAAAGGCCATACATAAGTTCAGGTTTAGGGTTAGATATTTTTATCCACTGTTTCAAAAAATAAAGGTCATAACTTTATTTTCAATTCGGATCACTTTATTTTTGTTTATTATCCCCAAAACCAAACCGAGGCAAATAGACTTAACTATCATAGAAAAATAACCAAACTGAACTGAAAACTGAAAAAATCAAACTTAATAGACCGGACTTAATTGGGTTCAGCTTGGTTTTGTACACCCTTTAGTCTTGTCTAAATTATTTGCGTGCTGACCATTCCATTTTTTAGCTAGTTGACTAACAGACGACTATAAGCTATTTTTTTATTGGTGCTCTCATTGTTCCAAACATGGGCCTTAATTTTCAAAATTTACTAAGTTTAATTTCTGCAACACCTATACACCCCTCCCCCTCTAAGTGATATTCCACTTAAGTTTGGATTTACCAGCTAAGAAAACTCAAAGCTTCAATTTGAATTCCTGCTAAAGAATAAAGCCACAAAACACAACTCACCAACTCATCCAGTCATCCTCTGCCTTCGCTATGTAGCACGGATACTTCAAAAAAGTAAACATACCCGTATCCGATACGTATCCGATACGATACTTGTAGGATACTTCTACATACGTATCCCATATTTTAACATTTGTTATATGATTTTTTTTCAATAATTTTTTACTATATCACTTAAAAACTTGAAAAAACACTTAATATTTTAGTTAATTACTATAAATATCCTTATATTGCTTTAGAAATTCTTATTTAAAAATCAAAATACCTATACTTACATCATAAAATGTTGAAATATACATTATAAATATTCCCGTACCCGTATCCTAAAATTTTGAAAATTTGCCGTATCCCCGTATCATGCCGTATCGTATCGGATACTCGTACCCGTATCTATGCACCTAGTGCCTTCGACGAACAAAATTTAATTGTCATGCATAAAAATGCAATGCCTCTCCCTACTTTTGTTCAAAATTCTAGCATACATCATATTAAGCAGTTCTATACTCTTTCTTATCTCTTTTTTAACCGAATCCTGAAAACAGATTAAGGAAATCTTAATATGTCCGCTGTTAGCTATCCACTGCGGCAATCATTCTCGTCCATCATTCATCAGGCACCGAACAGCTCACGTCAAGATAAGAACAGACCAGCCAAATAATAGGGGACAATTTGTTTTTATTAATTAATTTTAAAAGCATATACAGAATAGGACGTATAATAGAAGCATTCAAGTTTCCAGTTTCTTTTAACTACTCACCCACTTCATTCGTCAAGCATCAAATAGTGCATAACAGAATAAAGAAGCTAAATACAATTACCTACAAAGCCTATCAAGATTCAAGAAGGTCGAACAGTGGACGGAAGAGACCCCGCTGACCCAAAGACAAGCAGGAGCCAAGAGCCGGACAATGAGGGGAATAGCAAGAGATCAGAGATTCAAGAATACCTCGCGTCCCGTGAAAATTGAAAACGCCCGACACCGCGAGTCCCCAGCACCACCACTCTTTACCATTTCTATACTTTTTTTCCCTTCAGCATTTCAAATTTCCAGAAAACGAGAAGGAAAGGATGGGTCCAAGGGTCCAAGCCACCGTGCGATTTTATGACGAGTCAAAACAAATTAAAACATTGTTATATTTGTTACCCCGCTCTTTCCAAAAAAAAAAAATATTTTTAAAATAAATTTATCATCTTAAAAATAAGATACTTTAAAAATATTAAAATTTTATTAAATATATTTATTTTAATATTATCATTTTTTTCTTCATTTAATATTAATTTAGAGTAAATTTAATGTTATTAAATGAATAATATTTTAAAAAATAAATTTTATAAGTATATTTAATAAAATTTATTAATATGTAAAATTTTATCTAAAAATATCTTATAATTTAAGATAAAGGGAGTACTTTTTTCAAAAAAATAAATGCTTTTTTATGATAAAATTAATTTAAATCACATCCCACATTTCCTGTTATTCATAATTTATAAATATATTATTTATGTATAAATATGATTTAAAACAACCAAAAAGTATTCATTTATAACAAAAACAAAAAACATTTCAAAATTTTTTCATTTTGAAGTTGTGAGATAAGAAATCATTTATAACTAATATTCATGCCCAATAAAATTTTTTAACTAATTAGATACCTAGAAACTCACGTGATTTTTTATTTTTTTAAGCTAAAAAGAATCTTGTTGTCTAGTTTTATAATATTATAAGTACTATAAGTATGGCAACTCAATGTGTACTCCCTTCATTAAAAAATATAAGACATTTTTAATCAAATCTTATCCTTTAATAAAGTAATTACCTACTTTTTAATTAACCCTACTTTTTATATTTATTCTCATTAAACACCCTATAATAAATATAAAGACATCATTAATAGGAACACTTAAAAAAAAAGCAATAATTGTACCATTAAAAATTAAAAATACCTTATATTTTTAAACGAAGGGAGTATAATATATATTTATATTAGATATTGATGATTTGATAATTTAAACATCAATCATTTATCAATATTCAGTATCTGTAACATGGAGAAAGTCGCAAATTACCAACCGTCTCTGAATTTGTGCAAATGCATGACCTTGAGTTGAAAAAATGAAATAAAAGAAATAAATTGAGACAGGAGGAACTTGGGTGCTTAAAATAAATATAACATCCTAATTTAAATTTTAATAGTTAATTTAGGTTAATAAAAATTTTAAAAAAATAATATTTAGAGGTAAGCAAATTAGTAAGAGATGATTATTAAATACAACTTAGGATATAATTCTAAATTAAAAAAATAATTAAAAAAATAAAAAAATTATTAAATTATTATTATAATAAAAAAGGAAAAGTATTAAAAAAAAGAGGGGGAAGAAGAAGAAAAACGAGTTTGCTTTCGACGGCCGCAATGATTACATGTAAAATAATAAAAAAAAGAAAAGAAAAGAAGAGAGAGGAAAGAGAAAAATAAAAAAAATTATGGGACCCACATTCATTTTTAAAAGCCACCATTCTCTTTTCATTTTCCTTCATTTCCTTCCTCTTTCGTGTGCGATCAGAGAGAGCGTCTGTGAGCGTGAGTCGCCGGTGCGGAAGATTTGAATTTTTAAAGTAAGAGTTTTTAATATGGATATTTAGGGTGTGATTTTAAGCTTTTCAAAACTAAATAAGTATTCTATAAATTTTTCTTAGTCATCCTTCTTCTTTGGTTTCTGAGTTTGTAGTGGTAGAAAATTTAAAATCTGAAAGAGGAATAAATTTATGTTGAATAAATATAGTTTTTGAGGTTGTTAGTAGTATAATAAATGTTTAGAGTATAAATTTATTGATGATCTTTGAATTTGTGGCTTATGGACCAAATTCTAAACTAGATCTGAAAAAATATGTTGATTTATTAAGGTTTAGATGATTATTTGGGATGAGAAATGAATTATTATGGTTATAGGATTATGATTCTCAGCTAGAGACTCAATTTTAATTTTTGGATATTTTAGGTACGAATTTATGAAATAAAAAAAATTATTATAATAGAAATTAGTTTAGAAGTTAATTTTTAGATTATTAATGTTTATTGATAATTAAAAGAGGAGTTAAAAAAATTTTACTTAATAGTATTAACTCTAGATTTGTATTAAGATTGAGATTAGGAATTATGTTATATTTTTAATTCTATTATTAGAATTATTTTATTAGTTTTAAAAATTGAAACTAATATTTATAAATAATATGTTATTTGTAGATTGTATTATTGAAGATTGTGGTGGGAGAGAAATTGTAAGGAATAATTTATTGAAAAAGTCACGAGGTAACCATGCTTTTAATTTGTGATTAGTGTTACTTCATGTTAATTGGGTGATTATTGAGAAAATTATGAATTTTATAATATTGTATAATTGTGCAATATTATTATGAATTTGTTTGATTATTGTGGGAGATGTTGAGAGACTTGCTATTGTTGTTGTATTTATGTGCCACGTGGTATGCCCCTATTGGAGCTCAATAGGTGGCTTGTAAGGGCTCGGGCTAATCTACCTTTGGCCGGGTAATTTAGCACCGAGTGAGGGCTACGGCTCGAGGTTAATGGAGGGATATAAGGATGGTTGTTTGTGTGTATTGTAATATTTCTTATATTTGTTAGAATTATATTATTTTTAATTCTCAATTAGTAAGCACACATTTAACTGTTTGTATACACTATCATAAATTGGCTTTAGTTACTGGGACTTTTGAGTCTCATTATGTGGTTAACAATTTTCAGGAGAAGAGCCATGAGTGACACGTGGAGGAGTCCCAGAGGCTTAGTGGTATAGATCCACTGTCTCTTTTAGGTATTTAATTTATGATTTATAATGTGTTATATTGCCAATATTAGGTTTTCTTTTGTTTATTGTCAATTATATGAATATATAAATGTAATCATGCCTTTCAAACTATTTCTATTTTTGGTACAATTTGGATGACTGTAATTTTAATATTTGATTTACTTTAAATTCGTTAAAATGGCATGATTATAAGGCCAAATAACTGGCTTGTGTTGAAAATTGACTAAATTACTTATTTTACTTGTTGGGAGTATAAGGATGGACAAATGTAATTTAGTTTACTTGTTGGGAGTATAAGGATGGACAAATGTGATTTAGCCTAATGGCATGTGGGAGGTAACAATTTATTCGAAATGTTATAGTGTGTGAGTTGAAATCAATTATAAAATATTTTATATTGAAATTATTGATATAAAAATGTGTTGGGTGGCTGTAACCCAACTATGGTTGAGTTAAATTATTTTAAAAAAAAATTGGTGTGTTACAACAAACCATTAACAGCCAGTTACTTCGTGTCTCTCCGGTTTACTCGAGTGTTCTTTAAATGCAATACACGAGTTCGAACTGGCTTCAAAAAAAAAAACATTAAGACTATATTGCTTAAAACTATAGTTACAACTAATTAAAACTGACGATAAAAATAAATTGAGATAAAATCAATAAGCATGCATTTGAAGTTTTTTTTTTGAATATATATATATATATATAAAGCCCCGTTATTGTTAGGTCATAATAGCGAGACTAAATATTATCAACAAATAAAAGGGATATAATTTATTTATCTGAAAATATTTGGATATTCCAATTATACTTGTATTCATGTTTGTTCTTTATGAAAAAAAAATATAGAATCTTGACACCATTCACAAAACCACAATTAAAATTTTAAGAAATATGATATTCTGATACAACATTTTAAAAATCGAAACTGCTGACATCAAGGGACGGTTTTTCAAGTTTGGGTCTTTTCTCTTTGTTGAACATAGTTAGTTCATGTTGAATGGATTTTGAGTTATCATTCATGGAAGAAGCATTTTCTTTCTTTATAAAAAGATAAACACATTAAAGCCAAAAAAAAAAAAAAGAGATCATAGCATAAGAATTTGATACAAGCGCAACATTGGAAGAAAGAAGTATCTTTGGCAACAAGGAAGAGAGAATAGATGTAAGCATTGTTGGCATTTGAGTAAAGGACGTGGAGGCAAGGAAAGGAATGAGCTGAGAGTGCAAGGGAGCTCGTGGTTTTTGTCTGATGATATCAAAGGACAAAAGTGAAAACAGGCTTGAAGCCTCCCCTCCGGATTTCCCCTCCTTTGAAAGGGAGGGATCCCATCCTCTCCAACCGAAGTACCACGCGGATGGAGGGGGTGAGTCTCTTCATATTTCGTGTTTGAGAGTAAAACAAATGGCCAAACCCCACAGTTAAAAAAATTACTAAACAAATTTGTTTAAATAAATGTGCTTGAAAATTTTATAACTATAATTAATCATTTAATAGAATGATAAAAACATTTGAAAGTATACGCACCAAATTCTTTATTCCATGCAATTATAAATTATTTTTAAATAATATTTATGTTCGAGAGGAGTACTTTGATTCCAACTATGTAATCAATAGGCATATATGATTATTGATGGAGATAAAATCTTAAAATCAGAGAGGACGACTCCTTTTTTCTTTTGAAATAGGTCTATGTAAATTTTGAAAATAATAGAAAAGTCTATGCAATTACAATAAAATAAAGATAAGTTTATTACAATTTACTCAATTATATGCTTCCTCTGATACCAACTTATATGCTCTGTAGTTTTTTTGGTCAAATTATGTCCCCTATGGTCTACAGTGAAGTTTGACTTACCCCAATGGACCTGATAGTGATATGGAAACGAGATTGTGTGCGTTCCTACTAGAACCATGCAGGATAATTCTTAGCAGATGTAGTGAAACCCTCCTTTATTCCCGAAAACAAATGTAAACTTTGACATTCTAGATTCAGACAAGGGATAACAACTTCTCCGAACCTTGAATAACCATGCAAGGGGAGCAATCCATGAGCTTCGAACGTAAAAGACGAAAAAACAAAATCAAAGAACTACGCTCAAGACAAAAAATGCCAAAAAAAGAAAAACAAAAAAAAAATTAGATGTCATAAGAGACAAAGGCGAAAATGGAATGAAACAAAGCGCTTCACTTCACTCTCTTTACATATGAATAAAAGCACTCACACAGCTCCATGCACAAGAGTCGGTCAACACTTTCAGAAATACTACTTACTAATATAAGCTGCTGCAGTAACTCGTTGAAACGTTAGATAACAGAGCAACGGATACTTCTCTACAATCGTTAAATTCCTTGATGCACCACATATACTCATTCTAGATAACTAACCAACCTAGTCTAAGCGCCTAGCATCCAATTCGGCCCGAAAAAGTTTCAGGGAAATTCAAGAATAAGAGAATTTACACGATTTGAGGCCAATCATACAATTCAGATTGCAGCACAGATACAAGCCTTTGATACTGATTACAGCTGCATTACGTTAACCATGTAGTATCATGCATGTCCCCAGCTTTATGTCTGATTAACAAAGTTTGAAAGCTTATAAATCACTTCATTGAAAAAGAGGCATGACCTATGAACTAGCATTGCCATGTGGTTGTCTTCCTTGCTGGTGAGCAAGCTCAGTAAGTAAGCTTCAACTTTCTTTCTTCTTTTTTTTTTAGCGAATAAAAGAGGAGGATTTGGATTGAGAGAAGGGTAAAGAAAGAAATCATAAAGCTGAAATTTCGGAGTGCGCGCCAATCGGCATATGTTAGAAATGCTAAAAATTGCTGTAGTATATATTCTCTAAAAGAAGTTTGAAGAAAGTTTTAGATGTGAAAACAAACTTCACAATGCATGATCATAGTAAATGATGTAAATATTACCTAATTTTTTTTTCACAACAATCACAATCGGGAATGAAATTTCCTAATGCGCTTTAATCGATATATGTTACAAATGCTCGAAAATGCTGTAGTCTAAAGTTCTCTAAAAGAAGTTTGAAGAGTCAAGTATAGATTTGAAAACAAACTTCACTGTGCGTACATGATGTAAATATCTTAATATTTTTTTTTGAATTAAAATGCATTTTTGTCTCTGTACTTTTATTTGAGAAAGATTAAGCACCCTGTACTAATAAATGGCACATTTTTCCTCCTAAATAAATGAAGCATTTTTCCTCTTAAAGCATTTTCTAAAGGAGAAAAATGTACCACTTATTAGTACAGTACATAATGCTCCTCAAAAGAAAATATAAGAACAAAAATACACTTTAAGTAAATATTAGTGACTATCTCAATGTAAGCAGTGACTATTTGTTCCATTTTGGTCATTCTCAAAAAAAAATAATAATCATTATTTAAACTAAAATAATCACAGATATTTACAATATTTGAATTTCAGTGAATCAAAAAGTTATAATTGGTCACTCCATTCAAATCATTGTCAAAAGAAAAATAATTACTTAAACTAAAAGAGTCACTACAGGGATAATTTTAGTTATTTCACGAAAAATATTGATATTAGGAGAGTCCCCAGAGACTTGAGAAGAATCATAATATTTTATAAGGTCTGCAAATTTCAGGGAGTTAAAAGTGCATTTTTTTCATGTATTTTCCTTCAAGGAACCTGGGCACCTGTATGGAGTATTTTTTCCTTTAAACCATTTTATAGGGAAACAAAAATCGAACGTTAAATATATTTACTCCTTTATAAAATAATTTAAAAGAAAAAATGCCCCACTCGTTGAAGAAAATTACCGGAAGAATTTTAACCCTATCTTTTTCACAACAAGCACATTCAGGAAATAATGTTTTCAAGTTCATTTATACTAAAAGTTATTAGCAATGATATTATAAATCTGCATTTAACTAAGATAAATTAATGACATGGAGCTTCTGCAAACCTCTAGCTGAAACAACTATAATAGATGCTACAGAGTCACCTCAAGAATCACCCATGAGGCAGTCAGTGAAAAAACAGCAAAATATTTAGATACAGTCAGGAGAAAACTGGACAGAATGAACAGTACTTACAAGTTTTTCAGCCCAGCAGCTCCGACCTTCGGTCTTCAAACCTAAGAAATTAATAATTCAGCAACAGTAATAACTAGCTCCGCAGTTGCCAAAACACCCAAATGCATTTCAATCGCACCGAACCAAAATCAAATTTCGAACTCCCATCATGCCGGCAAAGGATTTTTCCGAGGCCTTCCTCGCTTCCGCTTAACAATACCCAACTCTGGAGCAGTCCCGTTCGACACAACCGGCGTCGCCCCCTTCGAAGCCGCAGAGCTTGGGGCCGCCTGTGGTTGCCAGTTATGCATGCCATTCGCTACCGGCGCATTTGAGACCGGCGGCGGCGAATTGAGACTGGGTTGAACCGCTGACTTGCTACCCGCATTTCCAACGAAGAATCCCATTGGAAAAAAACCCCAGCAACAGTGATAAGCCTCTTGACCCGGCACAAGCGGCGGCAAAGATGGAATCGAAACGCCATGGAAAGACTTCTCGCAATTCTGGCACCTCAAACAACAGTTCTCGTAAATCTTAGGGTACTCGTATATGTAGTAACAGTACGGGCATGTCGTCCAGAAGGTCGGCCTCCGCCGGGGGTTCTCATCCTCTTCGTCCTCCATCGAGGCGTTGCCACCATTCCTCGGATCATTCCGCCCACTGGGCCCAGGCCCACCCCTACGAACCGGTAATTTGTCTTGTTGAACCCAGCTAGGCACACTCAAGTCTACCCTAGTAAAGAAGCTGAGCTCCTTGTCGAAGTGCGCCTTCTTAGCCTGGTCCGATAGCACGGCCCATGCCTCGGCAACGAGCCTGAAAGCATGATCGGCAAGAGAGAACCTGTTCTTGTCCGGGTGAAGGAGAAGCGCGAGCCGACGATAGTGTTTCTTGATGAGATCGAAGTCGTTGGATCGGCGATCCACCTGAAGAATAGCGTACCAGTCGTGGTGGTTGTTGATTCGTTTATCCGCTGCCAGAAGCACGTCGATGACGGCTAAGATCTGATCGGAACCTTCCAGAAGGGGTTCGGCTTCCTGGGCTAAAATGGCAAAGTCCCTTGAGCTGTTGAGATCCCGGTTCTGTAGGAGTTTTTCGGCGAGCCCGAGCAGCCGCTCGGCTTCCATTCTGCTGGCGCCCATTTCTTTCGACGCAACCGCGCAAGGAGAGAAATCCAGGAATCTCGAATTGCAGGATGAAGATTTATGTCAAAAAAGAACCCTAGTGGGTTTTGTTGGACTAGGATTTTGTCCCCAGCTGCTCTGCAATAAATTTTTTCTTTTTGGAACAATTAAATACTTGACTCTGTACTTCGCACATGTTTGCAATTCTGTCCGTATACTCTTTATTTTTTTCCTAATGAAAAAGCTCCTCCTTCTTTTTTTTGACTTGAAAAAAAAAAACTCCTTTAAATTTGTTCCGTGTTAATCCTTAAACTATCCAAACATTTGTAAACTTGTCGCTAGAATATCAGTTGGCAAGATGCCATCAACTTGAAAGCATGTGTGACAAATATACTAGTAAACACCTTTAAAGGTGATAGAAATTATTATATTATCCAAGTGTAAGTATATTTAAGATGATGTGAAAAATCTAACGTCGAATAAAGTTTGACTTAATAAAAAGAGGGATATATAAATATGAGTTTTAAAATTTTGAGTTAAGACATAACATTATTCTACTAATTTTGCCAATTTCTCCCCCTTTCTTTAACAAATGGTATTAAGGCTAGGTCATGTCAAAATCTCTATAATTCCATTGCTTCACACATGTTTGAGTTCGAAAAATAAAAACCTTGATTACAGTAGATATTTTTGTATGTCATCCCATTTAAAGCTCATGAAATTGGGCTAGCTTTAAAAAAAGTAGGAACTTAGTGTTAGGGTCAGGGATATATTTTATATAGAGAGTTTGTGCACTTGCACCTAATGAGGAGATTGTTATATTGTTCAAATATCAGTAAATTTAAATTGATGTAAGAAGTCCTATATTAAATAAAATTAAGTTTAATAACTAATTATGCCCTGGAGCTAGAACTATAAATTAACATGGTACTTTTTGATTGCATCTTTGCAAAAAGAAAAATACCAAAATGGTTATTTGCCTTACTTGCCAATCTAGTCCTGTCTCTGTTTATTAGCAAATTTCACGTTATATTAGAACGGGATCGAGGATATCAATTCAATAAGGAAGATCCATTACGCCAATTCCATAGCTACTAATTAGCCACACATTGTTCTTATATCGTTAAATTGATGCTTGATTTGGCTTGTAGAATCGAATTGATAATTTATAAAGTGAAAAAAATAGAATAAAAATTTACAAAGTAAAGTAAAAAATCAAACCAAAACTTATAAAAAAAATAGACTAAACAAGAAGCATTCAACTTTAAGATGCAAGAATTAGCCTCAACGCCAAAGAAAGCAATTGTAAACTGATTAATTAAGTTCAGAGAAAATGTCCCTTGGTCCTGTGAGAAATTAACTCATTGATTTTTTACTATCAATAAACCTAACCATTGAAACTAAACATGTCTAGAAAGAGCCAACCTAAGTCCTCTACATCTATATTTTACGAAGCAACCTGAAATCTCATTATTAATTAATGTAATAAGGGTGGCTTCTAATGATTTATGGTTGAAAGTATAAATTTGGCTATGAATTATTTTTTGATGAACACTGAATAGCCTATGCTATGACGTGGTGTGAAGTAAATCATGAACTATTAAAAATGGATCAACAGGCATCTCTCGTTTATTTTCAACTAACGTCCATTTTTTCTACTGTGGGGCCCTTTTTTTCATCTGATGCATCATGGTACTCATGCTCTTCCTTAGGCACCAGGTAGAGCTCCACCTCTTCCCCAACTATTGCTTTAACAACAACCTTGCCATTGTTACTTCCATCCTTCTTCTCTAAGTATATCACAATGACAACAAGACTAATGAAATGGTGAACATGAAAATCACTCACACTCTTAAGCTTGCCCATCGTACTTTGCTTGGTTGCACCAAAGCCTTGACCCCTTGATCACGATACTGAGTCCCAATCTTTTAACTTCCAAGCTGAGCTACTCCCTCATGTCATGGTCTTTGACAATGTGGATTTTGAAAGGGATTTAAGGATCCAATAATGGCTAAGCTAAGTGATAAGATACATTATTTACACACATTTATTAGTTTGTTGAGACTATTTTACATTCCTAAAGAGTCTTCTATTGCATTAATATCATGTTCTTAGTGAAAATTTACTCAAGTGTTAAATTAGATGCATTATGAGTATTTTGGTCATGAAATGCACTTTTTCACCAATGTGAGGTAATGCTTGAGAATTATATATTCTAATAGGTTAAAGTGATTGGTCAAATTAGCTTTCATTGATTCACCCTAAGCCAGGTGTTATTAAGAATAAAAACAACTTTAAGGTTATCTCTTTAAAGGGTTTTCATTTAGACTTTAATTTTGATCTAAGCATGTGCTTATCTACACTTGTGTCTAGTAAGACATTTATATTCATATTCCTTTAGTCATTTTAATATATTGGATGAATTAAAAAATTTTATCTGACTCTAATTAAATAAATGTCACACCATGATGAATTGATTATTTGATTAAAATGTAACTTAGGTAAATAAATGTGAAAATTGAAGGCATAATTCAAGGCAACCAAACAAAGCTTCTAAAGGGGAATTATAGAATGACAAATGCATGTTTAAGAGGGTGCAAATTGTAACCTCCTTAAGGTTAAATCATAATTAACTCTAAATTATGGTAATCTAAGGTTTTACCCTTAAAGATTACTAAACTACAAGATTTTAAAATGAGAATTTCTCAAAATCTTTCAAGGAAAATCCTAATCGTGACAATTTGAATCTTAAACATGATTTAATGAGCCCAAATTAGAGTTTTGAAAATAAAATAAAAGTTTAAAAATTAATTGGGACCCAAATAATGAGTTTTAAAACTCAAAAATAAATTCTATACAAAAAATGACATATGCGTCGTGACTTATGGCTCGTGTGCTGTGATGTGTCCTTTTTGTGCCATGCACCATGGCGTGAGGCACCATGCGCCATGGTGCATTACATGAAATTTGACAAATCAATGCTATCATTTGATAGCATAGGGAGTGAACTTCTAACGCGTCTTAAATCTCCATCCGACGTTCGATTGAGATAGTTTCAGTGTCTACATGAAACTTTCTCCTAGCTCTGGTTAATGGCACAAGTTTCACGTTCAAACTCATTTTTTTATAAAAAGTTGGATACCAAAATCTATTTTGACCACATTTTCACAAAATCTCACAAATGAGGTGTCCCAACTCAACCACATGAGCTAATAACTTACACCAACCCTCTGATCACACTCAATAGACTCTTGCAGACTCGTGACACACCACACTCAACTAAAAGTGCTTATTCATCAAATCATCGCTCAACCCTAATTTTCACAAAATATAAAGGGGGAGGAAAAGTTACATAAAATCAACCATTTCATTCATATTTCTTAAAAATAACTTACATAAGTATTTTGGTCCTATCAACAGGTTTACAACCAAAACTCACTAACCCAAGGCTCAAAATACGCTAGTCATACACAAAATCATGTAAGTAGTACATAAGTCTTGTCAATGAATCCTAGTTGACAATTACATTAACAAATACACATATAAGTAGCAAAAGAGAGGCATATAGAAGATTACTCCATCAATCCTAAGCTACTGTATGTTTTCCCCTACTCAGATCCGATGAGCTAGGTCCTGAAAATATTGAGAATTGAGAGGTGAGTACAACCACTCAATAACCAAGTTTCACTTAACCCTTACAATTATATATTAATTGTAAATAGATGTAATTAGGAAAATAAACATATATTTCACATAGCACTAGGCCACAATTCATAAAACTAACAACTATATGACCGGGTTTATCACAAAATACTATATCATGTTATTTCACAAAAACATAACCTAGGACTGCAACAATAACAACCACGCGCTCTCAACACATGCTGGACCACAAAACTAACAACCATGTGACCGAACTTATATGCATGATCATATACCAACCTTAAACCCTCATGTTACCTCCAACACAAAACTGGTGGCTATCTAGTGGCTACGTCTTTCACGGACTAACCCAACCTTTCACTTGTGAGAAGCTACTGGGCTAGAGTTAACATACTCATTTATGTAATTCGATTTCCCCTAATACTAACAACCATAGGGTATCGTGTCCCTAATCTAGCTTCCTTATGAACTAATGAAGACTGGTTAAGTTTGAGTCCCTTATAAAACAAGTAGGACAGTCTTAAAATAACTATAGGATAAGGACTACCTCCCGATTCTAATGGTCTATGTCAAGGTTAGTTCCTGATTCTAACGGTCACTGCTAATACCACATGGATTTCAACCAATGTACTCCTTTCCCTAGGCGAACTCTCACCAATGATCATGCTATGCACAATTTACACATAATATACATTTAACAATCATTTCTTAACACACAAACTCACATAACACATATGCTTTATAATTTAACACATAATTCACCACAATTTCTCCAACCATAGTAATGAATCACAATCAATTTTGCAAAATATTAAGGGTGGTAAAATTAAGGTTTCTTTTCAAAAACTATTTCACAAATCAAGCATTTACCAATATGCATCATCAATTTAACTCATAAACCACATTTCACAAACACAATTAACGTATAATTATAAAAATTAAGTTTTCCTCGATTACATCAAACCTTTAAAAGGTCAAAGGTTTACCTCTCACTATATCAACTTTCTAAAGTTTCAACAAGCTTGAGTGGTGCTAGAATAAACCTCTCTACATCCATATCACAAGGATATCATCATTATCTAGCTCTTAAAATTTTATCAACATAAAACTCCACAAATACTATTATATCATCTCATAATCACTACTTACTCACACCCAATGGACTCATTAAGTTCTATTAATATATATTATTATAACTAACACCTCAAACCATCATTATTGCACATTAACCTCTATCAACTACCTCATAAATATCAATTTTTGGGTATTAAATGTTCTCATAGACCAACTACCTCTAAAATCATAAATATGTTGTTCCAATACATTAAATAATTCCCATTTAACTTATTTTAACTAATGGAATTGGACCTATACTCTTATGGACCAACAATCCATTTTCCAACTCAAACCTTACCATAAATCATTCCAAATGAGGGAGAGAAAGGAAGAAGAAGGCACCATAATTTTATCTTGAGTATTTAGGAGCTTCAATCTATC